CTCCCCCCCCTCCTCCTCCGCCAACAACACCAAGATGGCTCCCCCCTCCGCGGCCCGTCGTACTCGCGTACGGATGCGGCGTGCTGCTCGAGTTCGAACTAAATCCAGCGTTAGGGTTCGGGTAAGAGGCGGCAGACGCGATCGCAGGCGGATTCGATAACGGCCGCTCGCTCCTCGTGCGCGCGCGGACGTAGTTGCCCGGCACGAGGCTCGCGGGGACGGACGACGGCATCGTCCGCTCGCCCACGTCCGTCATCGCCTCCTCCTGCCCGCCACCCCCTCCCCCATTATTATTATTCGACGAGTGATGGTTCCGCCGAAATCGCGATCCGCCGTTTCGGCCCAATATACTCGAGCGGCGCGCGCTGGGCGGGAGCTCGGGGTTCGCCGGGCTGTGACTCGAGTGTCCGTGCGCGTGTCCGTGGGGTAGGGGCGTCGATAATGAGCTCGAAGGGGGGCTGGATAGGGAGGAGGGCGGGAGGCCGGAGGAGGAGGAGGAGGAGGGCGTGGAGGGCTCGGCGAGGGAGCGCGAGCGGTCGCGGTTGGGCTTTGAGAGGAGTTTGCTGAATTTGGAGCTCGAGGAGGGCGGCGAGGAGGGCGAGGAGGGGCTCCGGGAGGACATCGTCGAGGCGTTATTCGTCGTTGTGAGTCGGTCGGTCGTTCGTCGGGCCGGAGTTGATGTTGGGTGTTGGTGGTGGGCGTTATTTAGTACTACGACTCGCGTAGAATATTATGTGCCCGCTGCACGCCGAGATATGTGGGGTAGAGGTAGACGGTGCCCGGAGGCTGCGGTTGGGCGTGAGGGCGTGATGGTGGTCGTTCGTTGTGAACCAGAGCCACGACGCGCCTCCGCCCTCTCATCCCATCCTCCCCTCCTCTTCCTCCCGCCCCGACACGCAAGGAATACAGTCATCATTCTTCGCTCTCCTCATGACCATGACGCTCAGAACACGTTCACATTTGAGAGCCTAGAATATGCGAGGAGAGCGCGCGCGGGTCGGCTATCGCGGACATCGCCGGCTCGTGTCGCTTCTGGTCTTCTGGATGCAGGATGTGCGACTCCGACTTTGTACACAGAATACGACGATCCCGTCCTCTGCACCCACCCTCTCTCATTTGCCCTCTAAGCAGCTCTGACTCTGAAGCCTGCGTTGACTCAGCGTGGGTGAGCTGCGAGAGCCTCATGTGCTGTAGAATGCACACAAGTCCGAAGTTCGAACGTGTTCGGTTTCGTGCGGAAGCCTTGCTTCCTACGGACCCCTCGCGCGTCGAGTGTGAGCCCGACGTTAGACGCCCATGTTGCTTTCAGCCTTCCATATTGGGCATGCCGTCAAACGCGTCGCAAGTTCAAACTGGGCGCTACTTCCGGGGCTGCTCTTCACTGAGCTGGCGGTGTAACAAGGCTCTACGCGGACCGCAGTGTCCCGAGCGCGCGAGCTCTGACCGCTGTCGACGCTTGACGTCGAGCGCAGTCTGTACGTACATAGGCGCTAGACCGTGTACACCGGACGTGTACCCTGTAAGCGTCCATGACTGGAAAGTGTGGTCCTCGAGAGCTGCATATACAGACCATAGGGCTCCGAGTACGCGGACTCCATAACGACTGCGCGCTTGATGTTGGGCTCAGCCGATGGGCGCCTGAGCGTGTACGCTAGACGCCGCCGGAGGTTGGGGATGTAAGCGCCCATGAAAGTGTGGCGCCATCAGGTCTTCGAGGGCTATATGAGGATACATGCATATATCGCTGTCCGGCGAGCGCTATGTACACTAAAGAAGTACATCCTGTGCACATTGAAACGCATCTCATGATCCCGCGAGAACTACATCATCGCGATTGAACCGTCCCCGGCCGAATGCATCCATACGCTAACCTCACAACATCCTGACGACTGAGTTTCCATTTGCTTCGCTCGTCCCAGCCCGCTCATTAGCTGAGAGCACTCGGCGTCGCCGGCATAATCCGTCCGGCATGCTCACAGCGACGACTGACTCAAGTAGCCTGTAGGTGAAGTGTGCGAAGGGAGGCAGTCCGGCTACAGTCGTGCTGGGCGCTAGCGCTGAATGCGACGGCCTTCGACTCAGGCCGCGTCGTCCCCCTCAAGCTTCGGTGCGACAGCGCTCGAGCATGTCCTATTGCTTGACAATTGAGACAGGAGCAAGAGATGACACAGAGTACGCACCCCGTCTCTCCATCCCGACTCACGCTCTGCGGCTCACCAAACCGAATCGTGTCCATCGTCATACGACCGCTGTCGTGCCCGCGCGCAGCACCCGGAACCTTCCACCCGACCCACGAAGCCCCCGTACGCAAAACCGACCAGTACGACGCGCGCGCCTCGTCCGTGAACCCAAACAGCGCGAAGATGACGAACCCGAGCACAGGCGCGATCCAATCGGTGAAGTAGAACAACGCAACGTCGGCCATGCTCGCCTGCAGCTCTACATAGCTCGTGCTGATCGGAGCCCAACTGGAGTGCGAGAACGTCCAGCCGGGGTAGAACGGGATCGGGCCCTCGTCCAGCGCTAGCGATAGCGACAGGACGAGCGTGGCGATGTTGATGGGCAGCGTCAGGAGGATGTCGATACTGGCGAGCGCGAAGATGCGCAGGTATCGTTGGCGCGATACTGAGTCGTTGCTTTTGAGGTAGCGGTTGACGTCTCGGTTGCGGAAGTACAGGAGCCGCACGATCTGCGCTGCAACATACGACTCAAGTCAACGACGCACATGAAGTTAGATCGTCGGGACGCACGATAGTAGAATACGATGGATAGCAGCGGCGCGGCGATTCCCCACGACAGAATGATCAGGATCATGAGCACCGACTCGTATAGCGCGTCTGCGCAGCCGGACCCTTCTACGACCTGGAAACGAGCAGCTTGCACTATGTAGTCTGTGCTTCGCGTCAGCGATGTAAGTACGACATCCGCAAGCGATATCGTTCCGCTCACACAATGAACCCGCGACCAGCGCGGGTATCACTAGGCCCAGAGACCACTCGAATAGCGCGTTCAAGCACCTCTATTCCGAGCTGGATCAGAAAGGCGTGTGCGAGTCGATCGAGAGAGCGTACCGTACGACGGCTCGGGAGCTCTACGGACTGTAGGTTGGCAATCAAGTATAGCCGGCGCGTTATGATGAGTGTCGCCATCGGTCTGACAGTATAGCAGATGATCTCCAAATGCGATACTATCGAGAGGGCCGAAGTCAGCCGACTGCGTGCTCTTGGCACGGACTGTATTATTATGAAAAGCAACTCACCGATATCGCAGTAGACGTACAGCTTCACATCGGAGTTATCAGACCAGACGATAGCGTTGATCGCGCCGGTAAGGTTCTCAAAGAAGAGCCAGAAGCATAAGAACGCCACGCCGAGGTTCCAGCGTTGGCGGATGAAACTGGTTAGCAGGACAAGGAGCAGAAGTGCAGCGGCTAGGAGGCTGGCGGCGGGATAGAGAGGGTAAGTGGGATCGACTGCCTTCATGATTGCGAAGCCGTCTTGGTGTCGCTTCTCGGATACAGAGCGTCTTTACTTATAGCAAAGGTCGTTCCGTATTGAGACGGGCATCCCGCGTATCGCTCGGGGAAAGCACTTCGTCGCGTTGAGCACGAAGCTCCCCGACACCATCATTCCGGTATGAGTACGTGTCAACGTGCAGAGATGGGTAAAGGGGCCACCGGGTTAGGAGAGAGTTTCCCATTGCAGCAAACGCCCCACATGAGTGGTCATAGCGTGGTCGAACCTTGTCCGAGGAGATGGCACATTGTGCAGAGCTTGCTATCAGAGACGCCGCATGTTAAGTAGAGGAATCCAGAATTCAGCTCATGCACGTACGTATCACGTTTGCAACAGCCAGACAGCTGTTAGCAAAGGTTCGTGGACGCGCATGAACTCGAGGCTACGCTCGCAGATAACGCTTCGAGTGCGCCTATCACCGGTGCTGCAGTGAAACGCGCAACTTCATGTTGAGTTCGATGGGTAGCAAGCTTCCTTCCACGTTGCTAATACGTATGTGCATCGCAGCGGCAAATGGGGTGCGAACGACGGTCGGGAGAAGCTTGATGCTTCTAACTTAGCATATCTGAGGTTACGATGCGGCAGGTGCGCATGCAAGGCTGTCATCTATGCAGCCTCCAGAGAAGACCATGATCTCGTGTATCCTATGTACGAGGGGCGGACGTGTCAGATCAGGGAGGGCGGACGTCCCGAGAGGGCATACGCACTGGCTTTCACATCGGCCACTAATGTCTCTGGACGAGCGCGTATTTACCAGGTTGTGGATACGGGAGTCGATACCATCACTCCATAGGTTAACTTCGGTCACAGAGAGGAGCGCTGCATTCTATATGCAAGGCTCAGAAGAAGATACAAGGTAGTTAATGATGGTGGTTGCCAGTAGAACCTGAGAAGGGTCGCGCTTTGGAATCGCACCCGCGCGCCAGTTATTCTCCCCTCTTGCTCTCAGGCTCATGGTACGACGTGTTCTCGTGTAACAACTCTGCCCTTCATGAACAGTGGACAGCTACTGTACGCTATGCATGTACTGGGCACCCGCGATCTTGCTGCCTATACGACTCTCACTGCCCTGCTAATCGGTACGCATAGTGAAACGCGGCACGCGGACAATCGCATGGCACGCCGTTTCGGTCCGACATGCCGATTAAATAATGCGGGCCGCCCAGCCTCAACCTCTTGCTTCTTGCGATGACCACAGCTACATGTTCATCCACATCTAAAGCTCGAACTCGACTGCTCTTCTGAATCTCATACTCGTATTACTCCACATCGAGTCATCTTCCTCCATCCTCATCCCCTTTTCGAGACACGTCTACTATACCCTACGCGAACACGGGCCACCAACTTTCGCAAACCCTTCAGCGTTGAAACTGTCTCCGTGTGACGCGAGGACGCCTATGGAGCATAGTCAAAGAAGAGATACGGATGGAGTACACGATAGTATAGTGTTCATACATCAATGAAAACCCCCTTCTTCCATGTCTGTTCGGGATCATATTTCCGCTTCGCCTCACGCAGGCGGGGCAAGTGCCGCCCAAATACGTCCTCGACCTTTTCGTCACCAGCGCAAAGATTGACGAACCAGCCGAGGTCTTGGCCAGAAAGCTGCGCGTTCTTCTCGCGCACGTAGGCTGTAGTAGACGCGGTGAACTCGCGCGCAGCGGCGACGGATGCGTCGGTCGTGGATCTGCGTCTAGTCAAACGGAGGATCATACGATGAACTCAATAAAGTACGTGCCTGCCTTGAACAGCCATCCAGTAATGAGGCTCACGCGTCTTCAGCGCAGTGGCGTCTACATCAACTTCTACGAGTTTGGCCGGAGACGTCAGGTCCCACAGGACGGCACTGGCCTTGACGTCCTCGTTCCCTTCCGTGAACGCCACATACTTCTCCCAGACCCCGAGTAGAAGTTCTGGGAAGAAGTCGGAGAAGAACGTTCCGCGGATGGAGAGGCGCCGGGGAGCAGTGGCGAGGCCGGCGTCGCCCGCGTGCGATACGGCGAGCATATCAGGGACGGTCCCATACTTCTCGAACACCGGCTTTGTCGCGCCATCACGGAAAGGCGACAGCACCGACTTGGACCGCTCACCGTCGGTGTCGTGCGCCACCCATGGAAGTAAAACTACAGACGGCTGATGGGGATGTCAGGAGCGCTTTAATGGAGATCGAAGAGAACAAGTACCTGGAAGTGAGGCGCCGGACGAGAAAAGAGCAAGGTGAGCCGTTCTAGAGGAGATTGCGTCGTCTTCCAAGTCTGATAGAGTGTCAGATGTTGTACTCTGGAGGGCCCTGAAGGAGGGAAGAGATACCTGTATGATCTTGATCATATTCTCGAGTTCTTGGCCTTTGTACGCTAGAACGCCAGCGCCGTATGGACCTTCGTTGGGGAACAACTTGAACGTGAACTCGACGACCACGCCGAATTGGCTACCGCCACCTGCGCGCATGATTCAGTCAGCAGTAGCATGGCTGAAACGTCGTTCGTGCCACACCTCGGATAGCCCAGAAGAGATCCGGTTCCTCGGAAAGACTCGTTTTTACGATCCGGCCATCCGATAGGACGACAGTGGCGTTGATGAGGTTGTCAATCGCAAGGCCATGAATGCCACTCAGAGGGCCATATCCTCCTCCCAGCGTGAACCCGCCTGGATAACTCGTGAGAGACGCTCCTAAACGAGATTTAGAGCCACGGACCGACGCCTACGAACCACAGCGGTCCTCCGACGACCTCCAGACCCTCTTTTGCGAGCACTCCATAGACATCTCCCCAAAGCGCTCCTCCTTGTACAGCCACCGACTTCTTGTCTTCGGAGACAGTGACGGCGTTCAACTTTGACAAGTCTATGACGAGTCCGCCATCGGAGCTAGCCCACGTCGAAGAATGAGCGCCACCGCCTTTGATCGCGATCTCAAGGGGAGGTGTGGCCGTCTTCGCGTAAGATAGGATGAGTGGTATATCTGCGTACGCTGTAGGCTGGGTGATTATCTTCGCGGGCAGCGATGAAAGATCCGAATTGCGGCGCAACGCAGCAGAGTATGCATCGCCGTTCTCGGGCGTGAGGACGGTGCCTTGGATGGAGAGCTTCGACATGACGTGAGCGTTAGTGTCCACGTAGGACGTACAAGTTCTCTTATACTTTCCTCGTTCAAAGATCGGCCCTAGAAGACGTCTGGGTCAAGACTTACCCTCCTCATCAACTGCATGAAACAAAGCGTTATTCGGTTCTCAGCGTTAATCTACGATGGTTAATCGATCATCACAGGAATGGGGCTGACGTGGACGGGTATCCGCTCTTTCACGAACGCTGTGTCAGGTGTCGATGATCACGAAGAGGACTCAGCGCTTCCGAACTTGACACCTTCTCGAGGACACAGTCCCGAGATCGCTTCCCCATCGGGCCTACCTGCAACACCGAGCGTCCAGTACCCACGCTCGACCAGCCACTATTCCATCAGTCTGGCACTTTCTGTGCTGGTTTACTCTTCAATCTTCGTTGTACGACGGTGAGAGCCGCGGGCACGCTAGTAGTACACAAGTGCATCCAGAAGCGCCGATCTACGTAGCGTTTGGGACCCGCACGATCTGGAAGGGTACAAGGTTGGCATTGTCTTTGATTCGTCCCACGCTACGGTGCCAATAACTGTCCTGAGTGCCCAAAGGCAAGATACGTTCGTCAGTATACTAACATCAGAAGGCGAAGCGCCCTCGGGAGTATGGAACTCAGGTCCATGTACCTAAGCTAACACTTCTGGTATCCGACGCGCAACCTTGCATGTCAATTATGTATTGTCCATGAACGAGCGAGAAGGCCAGATAACAGATCATGGGGTATAGTATCATGGTAGGGTCTTGACAAGATGTCGTGCTCATACCAGTGCATGGGCAACCTTCACAAGTTCTGCAGCCCTTTCCGCCACTCCATACAAGGGGGCTTGCATATGAGAACCGAAGATCTTGGGCTAATGGTCTTCTATCAGTGCTGTGCCTACCACGTGAAATGCGCAAGACTCACGAAGATTGAGGCGTCGACGATACGTAGACCGTGAACACCCTTAACGAGGAGATCTGAGCTGACAACCCCGCCAGTATCGTTCAAGCCAGCCATACGAGCGGTCCCGATAGGGTGACGGAACGTCTCTGCCTGTTGCCGTATGTACGCAGCGATGGCTGCATCAGAAGTCGTGTTGGCAGAGTCTCCAAAAGACTCGATGATGTAGTCATCCCATGCGGGTGAAGACGTGAAGCGATGTGCAGCCAGCACGGCTTCCGTCAGAATGCGCAGATCCGATTCGGTCTTAAGGAAGCCTGGGTCGATGAGGGGTGCATCGAACGCAGAAGCACTCGCGAGAGATATGCTACCACCTGTGAAGAAGACGTTAGGGATCGTGTGTTCTTGTCGGAGAGAGACCCGACGAACGCGAAGTAGGAGATACAAGCACGGCACCCATAGACATGAAGTGCCCGGTATCTGGCAGTGGTGCCGAGAAGGAAAGATAGGAGTCCTTCGTGTGGTATCAGTAATGTAGATTTCACATAGTCCATGCTGTACACATACCACGATCGCGAATTCGTAGTGCGGGGATAATGGGCCTGTTGTTGGGTCCCCTAGTTCTTGCAGAATAGACGAGTTATCCGGCAGACGGAGCCAAGCGACGTGATTGCCGCCGGGGTTGTTCGCGATGATGCCGGTCTTGGAAGTGTTGTATTGCGCGAATGCGGCGTCCAACATCGATGGTTGCCTCTGCAGCTCGTCCAATGACGTGTCGTTCACCGTCCACTGCAGCGGTACCCACGGATGATCCTGTAGGTTCTTTCCGAGCTCAGGCACGTCTAGAATTGGCGTGATATCGTGCGCGCGAAGCTCATCCGCACTGCCAACGCCGGAGAGCATAAGGAGCTGAGGCGTTCCAATAGAGCCTGAAACATAGCAAAGCTCAGCGCCCGACAGTGATGTGTTCCAAATGGCCGACTAACCTGCAGAGAGAATGATCTCCTTAGAGGCGTGCAGCGGTATGTGCAGACCTTGAAAGTCAGTTAGACGTGCGTGGCGCCGAGAAGGGCATCGCAACTCACTGTGAGCATCGATCGCCACCTCCAGTCCGAGCATGATGGGTGTTCCGGCTCGCATGCCCGTTTGAAGCAGTTTAGTGACGCGAGTACCGACAAGAACGTCTAGGTTATTCCTGCTGACGATAGCCTCACTCAGATACCCTGTAGCGGAGCTACTGCGCTCTCCGAATCCTATTGTCGACTGTAGCCAGCCTGAGATAAGGTTTGCGTGAGCTTTGTACGCGGAGAGAGAACGTCGTGGATCTCACCAATGCCCAATGGGTTACCGGAGTTCATGTCCTGGTTGAAGGGGAATTCAGGATTGTCTTCCGTCGTCAAGATAACCCGCGAGTCGATGTTGCTTGCGTTGCTTGGGAGACTGGTGAAGATCGGTCCGCTTGTGCCGTGTAACGAAACATTGACTTGAGATGCTGCGTCCGGTGTATTTAGTAACAGGGTCTCCGACTAAAAGGACGTCAGAATCGACATGGAAGGCGTAGGAACGAAGATTCCGCTGACTTTGAGCATATAGCGGAACATGTTCTTCCACCCCCAACCCGAGTCACCTGTAAAATTGGCGATGAAGTCGAACTCATCGGACGAGCCGCGAGTATAAAACATGTAGTCTATGAATGTCATGAGCGCTCCACGGGAACATGAGGCAGAACATGTGAGAAGCGCGAACTGATTGAGCTGCTCCCACCGAGAACGAATCCACGAGGATACGGGATCGTCCGGTTGTCGAGAGCGGCCAGTGGCACCGTCGTATAATTCCAATCGAACGATGAACTGACACTGGTGGCGAAGTAGGGCGTCTCGATCAAATCGACATCGGGTCCGGCGGTGTTACTGTAGAAGACCTGGTCAGGACAACTCATGCCGTCGCTGCGCAACGCTATGTTGACGACGAACCTTGGTCCGGCCTCAATGACCAAAACGGACACACCCGGGTCCTCTGAAAGACGGCTCGCCATGACTGCGCCAGCAGTACCGCCTGACAGATCATGTCAAGAATGTACGACGTGGACACCTGTCATACGTGAACTCACCACCAACGACAATGAAATCGTACTCATTCCGGGGCAATTGATCCGGAGATGAGAAGATGCGCGCATCCACGAGTCCGCACAACGAGATTAGCAGAGCAGCTAGCGCAGTTCGCAACGCCATGGTCGGGAGAAGGCGAATGGAGATGCTCGACTGCCAAGGGAGAGTATATATGCTATACACCAACCATGAAACGCGCATACCTAACGCGTACAGTGGTGCTAAGCGAGAAGTCCGGAAATCTGATCAATTCTGCATTCAGTTACCGTTTCCGTCATCCCACGAGGACGTTGAAATGCTGTCCTCTTGCCTTGATGTTGAGATGGGATCTACCACTGCTTTGACACGATGGTCAAAAGGGGTGTTTTGTCTTATCACGCCCAGGATTCCATCATCCGTAAGACTGAAGTCAAGACGCGTAACATGAAGACATCACGGCACAGCATACGAGCGTACAAACCACGCGGAAGGCGGTCGGCCTCTCCTGTATATTCATGTGAGCTAGTGATTCTTGGAACTGAGGTGTGGACGCACATATGAGACCTGGGAAGAACAGGAACCGCACGCTCTTCGCGTACGTTTCCCACTGGCCTTGGAACTCGTTCCTTAGAAAGGCGTCCTCCTTCCATCCACGAGCCGCGATCATGCAGATGTGCACTACTGTCCACACCCAGGCAAGACAGAGTACTTTTCCCGCCGCTGTCTGATGAAGACCCACAGAAGACCACCACATCCCGTCGCTTAACTCGCACAATGTCAAGCCAATGGTGAGCATCAGCAACGCGGTGTACGAAGGGTGTCGCACGACCGCATATGGACCGCTTGTGACAAGCCGATGCTGCTTCTTGATCGACATTTGGAAAGTGAACTGCGAGCCCATCATGTTGAAACAAGTGCGTCGAAGCCAAGCAGCAGCGTACACCAGACACGCCCCCAGACAGAATAGCGGCGAGATGTGCACGTCGGGGTCTCCAAGAACGTCGATGTTCGTGCGCCTGGCGAGAGAAGTGGCTATACTGGAGGCGCTGAAGGTGCCGACTATCTCCATGAGAAGTGTGATAGTGACGATGATCTGTACACGGTTATGGTCGTGTTTGAGAGCGGTTCACATGCTGACTGAATAGTGCCTACCTTGTATAACAATGTCAAAGTTCCCATGTGTGCCTCGACGAACCCCGTTGTGCCTGTCGTTTTGACCTTCGCGCGCTCTGGTGTCGTAGCGGAGGGAGCCGGGGGTGTTGTGCTGATATGATAGCACACCAACATCAGGAAAAGCATTCCCGTCTTGAGGATGAGAAGTGGCATGTCGATGGGGTGGCACTGCTTGATGCGAAGGTGATAGTCAGCCCATAACTTCAAGAGGGGTAAGCGAAGTCCGAGACGAAGAACCTACGTGTATACGGCAATCGCAAGTACTGAACGGAGTCGAGGTGACGGTTCAAGGAGGATCCGCGGCTCCTGACGCTCTTAAAAGTACATACAGCCACTACTGCATGGGCTTAGCCTTCGTCGGAGAACTAACGGGGATGGACGCGCGCCAGAGAAATTCTGCGTCGACTTTCGATGAACTCTGTACGACGTAAACGACTGAGTGACCGCGCGAGATATCATCTGGGCCGGATTGGACTTCCGAGCCTCGTGTGTGAGTGTATCTGTAAGGCACGATGTTGCAGTCGATAGCAGAATCAGATTAACAGTTCATATTCATCGAGACTGCGGGGAAGATCAACTGGACGTCAAGAACGCGTGGAGGTCCTGGAATGTCTCGTATAGCCTGACATTCAGGCCATCATAACCTTAGACACTGAACATTGGCAAGAGGTTAGGGTCCTCAAGAGAAGGACTTTGCGGTGGGACCATGATGGTGAGAGTCAAAGCGCATGTTGTGCGCGGCAGCTCGAAGCACGTGTGCAGCACCTAGCTCAACCGCGTCTCTGTCGCGCACCGCTTGCCAAGGTTCTCCTCCGACCTGAGCTGTATGGATGTGCTCGGAAATGTCTAGTCCTTTCCCTGTAGTGCCCGCACGCCATGCTCCGGTGTAGACTTGGTGGCGCGGGACAGAATCTGTCGCCTAGGCTTGTACCTGTCGACTTGCAGTCGATGGCACTGCTCCATTGACGTCTTGCTTCATCTCCACCTGATCTTCATCACCGTTAGGAGGAAGCGCCTGTCCACCGCGTTTCATTTGCCGCCCTACAGTGCTCGCGCTGGTCTAACCTTGTCTGCAAACGCTCCGTGGACTTGGCAGATCCGTCACGGACGATGCTGTTGTGCTACAATTTCCGTGCGACGATGCTAGAGAACTGGGACGCCGCCATACCTTGTCACGAGTGCGTCCTCGGCACTTTGTGCGACCAAGAAGCTGATTAGGTATGGTTCACTCTCAAGGCGACCTAGGTAGACCTAGGTATCAAAGATTGCCCGACTTCGACTTCCGTCGCTGCAACGCCGACGGACGCGCAGCGTGGGCAGCAGAAGCGCTCATCTCACTCTTGTCCATCAGCCCCTCACACCGCGCACGCTTCCGGTGGCATTCTTAAGTACGGCATGAGAATGTCGACTTTTACCCGGCGCTGCCCTCTTCTCTGCCCCGGCGTCATACCTCCGTCATGCCTATGCTAATCGATGTCGCCGAATTATCTGGTCTGGCTGTCGAAGGCGCGCTCTACGGTGCGCTCATAGTCAAGAGTGCCTGTCACCGCGAGGCTGACTTGACGACTCGCAGGGGTGTTCTTGTGTCTGTTTCTCGTTTGCGCGTTTGATCTTCTAAAGAGGCGCGCGCGGGGGAAAGCTACTCTCAACTGGCCGGTGGCTGTGGCTGGCGTGTTGCTCATAGTCCTTGCCACGGCTCGCTTCTCCGTTGACACCGCGAATGTCTTCGTTGCCTTCATCAGCCACGACCCACGCGAAGCGCGCATCGCATACCTCGCAGATCCTACCCAACCATTATTCACCACCAAGCATAGCATCCTCATCTGTGTGCTACTGGTTGGAGACTCCTTCGTGGTGCGTATCATGATGCATGCTCATGATGACTGTAAGGCTGAACGAAACTTGTGGGTCGACAGAACTACCGTTGCTGGATCGTCTGGGGAAAGAGGCTCTATGTCGTCCTATTTCCTATCGCTCTATCCTTTACGAGTGCTGGTACGTACACTTGCAATCGAGTGAGCTCGGAGACCGCTGACTCTGCGCCTCAGCTGCTGGTTCATACACGATGTGGGCTTACAGCCACTTGCCAAATCAGACCATCCTCTCTGAGGCAAAATGGCTGAAGGCATTCTTCTCCCTGAGCCTGGTGGCCAATGCCGTTGCTACCTGTACGTCAACTAGTGGCTATGCCATACTGCATGCTGAGATCCGAAAGCTCTGCTTGCATACAGAATATGGGCGGTTAACCGTCAGACCCAACGAGCACTGGCTACCCCGGCGCGGGGTGACTCGTCCCGGCTAACGCCTATCATCCGTATAGTCCTCGAGAGTGGCATCTTTAACGGTACGATGGTTTCCCTTGCTATCCGTAGGGTGAGCTAACGTGTGATGCGGTCAGCGATGTACTTGTTCGTCTACGTCATGACGCTAGAGTTTGGCTCACAAGGCCTGGAGATCATGTCCGAGATGGTGCGTTTCCTTACTGCATGCGCATCGGGGGAGATACTGACGAGATCCCGTACTAGTCCGTGCAGCTGACCGGCATCATCTTTTCGACCATCATCTTCCGCATCAGCCGCCAAAGCCACGACGACTCGTACTACAGCACCGCACAGCTCACAACTCTCCAATGGCGAGCAACCAAGAACTCCGGACCCTCGGCGGGTACAGGGTCTGGGACAAGTACTGCGATAACGACTGCTCGCTTCAAGTCTCGCGATCAGTCGTCGACTCTACCCGACGAAATCGAGGTGCCGCTTGAGCAGTACCACGACGGGTCGTATGCGACTTATGACGATATCGACTCGAGCCATACAGACTCTCGAGCATACAAGGCTGACGCTGTCTGATTGTTGATTTGCGGCTGAATGGACTCTGTTGATCCCGATATGCCGACTCTGATGTCTTCTTCCTGTATCTTTACCACCGTGATGCTTAATTTACACTTTTGTTCCTTCTCGCGACAGACTACATGATCCGTTCATTACCTATCGTGTGTCCGTGATGCGATGTCACCCTGCGTTCCAAGTACCTCAGGCGCTGATATGCTGCATGCATATGTGACGAGTCTCTGAGAGGGATGTTCTCCAAGTCTTTAGCACATAGAAGTCGATCGTAGCTATTCAGAGCCGAGTAGGATGAAATGCCGTTGGAACCACAGTGGTTAACGGTTGCGATTCATCGGAAGGGGCGGCCGCACAGCGCATGCCAGTGCGCCGTATCAGATGCCTTTTCGCCGCAACGCACCGAAAGTATAGAAAAGCATGTATACAGACGACGCAAGAGAAAGGGTCAACCAATGACATAGAGGGGGTAACAAACAGAGAAGCGTCACGCGTACGGAATACCGATCGGCGTAGGTCGTCGCGTTTGTCAGGTGAGCGCGTCGGCGGGTCCGGGATTTCATTTCTCCAAATTGACGAGACGTTCCGTTCTCTTGCATCACCTCCACGGGCCAGCTCATGAGTATACTTATGCCAGTCGTCTTCCTGCTACGGAGAGAGATGGGGGATGAAGATACCAGGGTCAGCTCAGCTGCAGAACTTGAGCGGCCTTCGAAGAACATGACGGCGTGGCGCCAACGACTTGCCCGCCTGACCATATCCTGACAGATTGCACCCGCGCAAGCTTCACCATCACTTCAGAAGACCTCCGCCTCGGACAATGAGAATCACAGGCGCGGTGGCATCACAGTCTAGCAGTTGATGCATATAACTGCAGCTCTATCTTTCTAGCATCGGTCCTTTTCTTCCCCCAAACACCACCTGCGCGCCAACAGAACACAGTGTCGAAAGACCATGCCTCCGCCGTCCGGCCCTGAGCGCCTTAACTGGCTCATACACTTCGTCGCGGAGCCATCCCATATCGCTCTTGGAGTTGCATCATATACCATTGGGCTACTGCTGTATCGTATCATCATCAAGCCGCGTTTCATCTCGCCGTTACGCAAGACGCCAGGTCCTCCAATTCAGAATACTCTGCTCGGCCACTTCAAGGATATCATCACGCGCGAGCCTGGAACTGCGACTGTGGATTGGGCAAAGGAGTACGGGCCCGTGGTTCGGACTGTGGGGCCGTTTGGGAGAGAGAGGGTGGTATTTTTGAAGACGGAGGCGTTGCAGAAGATCCTAGTGAGCGATTGGACGGAATACGAGCGCGTGAGCGGCATACCCTTTGAATGCGAATTACGCACTGAAAGTTTGCCTTGAATAGCCAACCTTTCTGCGAGACATGCTTGGACTGGTCGCGGGCTACGGGTTATTGACAGTCACTGGCAATGAGCATCGCCAAATGCGTCGCGCTATGAACCCTGCGTTCTCACTCGCTGCCCTCATGAGCCGTACGTCGTGATGCTGCCGAGGATGCCGACCTTCACTGACGAGGTCCAAGAGACGGAGATGTACTTCGATCACATCGACGTCCTGACTGGCATCATGCGCTCTCAGCTCGTGGGCTCGAAAGAAGGCAAAGTTTTGCACATGTACGACTGGAGTACGTTCCCTCAGCATCGTCATAAGTTACGCTATGGCTGACCATTGCACACAGTGTCTAAGGTTACTCTTGACATCATCTGCGCCACAGCTTTCGGTTACGAGTCTAACTCTCTGCACAATCCACACAACCCCCTCGCGCACGCCTATGAGTCCCTGCTCTCACTTCAGTCCGGACCCAACATGGCGAAGTTCATGGCAGCAGTCTCAATCCCCGGCGTCCCTACTCTGCTGAACTCCCGCCTTGGTTTGGCCCTCGCACCTGTATTCCGTCGCATCTACGGTTTCGACACAATCAGCGTGTTGATCGAGTCTACCCAGAAGATTCGCGAGTTGAGCCGCGGGATTCTACGCGAGCGCATGGCTGAGAGCGAGGGCGCGGTGAAGGGCGACAGCGAAATCGAGGGAAAGAAGGACATCTTGAGTCTGCTCGTCCGTGCGAGGAGAGGCGAAACCAAGGACGGATACCAACTTAGCGACGACGCGCTCGTTGACCAGGTTCTGACATTCTTAGGTGCTGGGCATGAGACTACCGCCAGTGGCTTAGCTTGGGCTTTGTACCTGCTGGCGAAGCACCCAGACGTGCAGGATAAGCTTCGCGCCGAGCTTGCCCCCGTCTTTGCTGCCAACCCTCGTCCGGACTACCGTGAGATGAAGGATCTCAAGATGCTCGAGTGTGTTGTGTGAGTGTGTACGTCGCCTCGTCTTATCGCCTGTCTGATAGTCTGCAGGATGGAATCGCTCCGTGTTATGCCGCCTGTCCCCATGACCATTCGTGAAGCCGGCAAGGACGACTGGATTGATGGCACCTTCATCCCCAAGGGTACCTTGTTCTACATCCCGGTACATCTTTTTCGTATATTTTATTGCGCACTCTCTGAACATCAACTAGATTCGTGCCGTAAATACATATGAACCGATCTGGGGTCCCGACGCGCATGAATTCAAGCCCGAGCGCTGGCTTGATCTTCCATCCGAGTACAGCCCGGCTTTCAGCCTACTCAGCTTCATCGCTGGCGCGCACGGATGCATCGGCAAGACTATGGCCATCAGCGAGATGAAAGCTGTCCTTGCGTTAGTCGTCGTTTGGACTCTTCGCAACTCAACGCTGACGCATCCCATCCAGAGCCATGGTCGCTAACTTCGAGTTCTGTCCCTCATACGAGGGTCAGACTGCTAAACCCACCGCGGCTATCACCATGAGTAAGTCCTTGAGCAATGCGTCGCGAGCTATGTGATTGACAGCATCAACAGAACCCGAGGACAACATGCCGCTTCTCGTCAAGCCCGTGGAGCGCCTGTAAGTCTGGACCGATGACGAGAGATAGAATACGCTCTGGCTCGAAGACTTGTGCGCCTTCGTCACGCCTGCTATCCTCCTGTACAGTTCCATTGCTGGATATATACCTGATGTAAGATACGATACTGTTTTTTGTACAGACTACGACTATGTACCACTGCCATTGTGTTATTACTATGCTTGTTGCGAAGGTTATCTGGTGGGATGCCAACGATGCATGTGAGAATACGAGGATGAAACGCGTGTGCGGGTATACGTATGATCATCTGCATCATGCCCGAGTTTCATGCAGACGGTGTATGTGGCTGAAGATCAAGCAGCCGAGGCAAGCTTGGAGCGCGCCCGAATTTTTGCGCCGTAAAAGTAGAAGACGAATGGAATGGGGACCTGACAAGGCATTCAGCATGTCGAGAAATCTCAGGAGGATCAAACAGAACTCACGATCATCAGTGCTAGGAAGGCGAGCAACGTCGCTGCCCATTCGTTGCCCAGATTATGGAACATTGCAACCTGTAGACGGGGTCAGAAGACATCAATCTCGGGGTGGTGCTAGAGAGTGACAAACCATGAATAGAGGCATAGCCGCCCCAAGACCGCTACGAATGACGGTTTTGGCGGCTAGCGCGGAAGCCACGCAGGACCCGAAGGTGTCTATCAGGTACGCGTTTGCACTGAAGTATACGACGACCATCCCGAATCCGAAAGCTGTCAAGGAAGGCGTCAGAAGCTTGACCTCATAGAAACGGAGAAGATCGCTCACGGATACCCGCGCTCACCGGCCCAACCCAGTTACCTCCACCAGGTTGGACGATGGGAGGTGAAGTCCACGCGAAGATAAAGAGCGCTGAGAGTCATGTGAGATGGAGACGATCGCATGCTTGAGCAATGCACGTACATATCGGGATCCACGGGGCAGCGATCATCATGCCGGGCAGGCGGTCTTCGGGGTCAGCTTTGCCTCCCTTCTTTTCGACCTGCTTGAGAAACCTTCTTTCAAGGATCGGCGTGAACGCGAGGGCCAACGCTACGCCAATCAGGATGGGACAGAACGCCAGACCCACTAGGCCGTCGTTCCATTGGTAGTCCTCACCGAATACGACCGGGAAAGAGAAGAAGTAGGCATAGAGCAAGCCATAGATGATCGCGATGTACAAAGAGATAAGGAGGAGGATAGGCTCGGTGGCGAGCATATCTGTCCGAGAGTGAGTTCGATGACAGCCGGTAAACATTCAATGCACTTACAGAAGGGCCGAATGAGAGTTTCAACAATGATCTCCGAAAAGGGCCGCGGGAAAAGCTCTTGCTCTGTCACGTACGTATCGAGGCCTGTTTTCTCGCGGAGCTTGCGCGCGCGTCGTTTCAAGATCACTGGAGCGTACGTTTCCGGAATGAAGGTCAATAGGACCGAGACCGCCCCGGCAAAGGCCAAATTGACCCAGATGATATCTCTCCACCCAACAGTTTCACCAACAAATCCACCGACAATGGGACCAATTACTGGTCCACCGTAGGGCGCCGCGGCGAAGCTAGAGTCCGTTCAGAAGATGTGTGGAAGATATTGAAGGTGCATACTCACAGTGCAATAGCAAAGCCGCGCTCGTTGTTGTCCTGCAAAGGCATGAGCGCCAAGTCCAACGCTGAGGTACGATGTATACTCACCCAGATATCTGAGATAGTACCTCCAGCAATGACAAGCGCGCTACTGGCAAAGAGTCCACATAGAAAGCGTCCAGAGAGGAGCGTTCCAATGTTCTGGGCTAACCCGCATTGTATATTGAAGATGGTATAGATCCAGAAGGAAGAGACCCAAAGCCACCGGCGCCCGTACATCTCACTGAGTGGTCCCCATGCCAAAGGTCCGATACTGATCCACGATCAGCTCCGACTCAATAACGAACAGCTCGAAGGTAGCGTACCCAAAGCCGCAAACCATCAAGGAGACCGTGAGCGCCGTTGTGACTTCGCTGACGCCAAACTCGGATTCGATGTCCTCAAAATCGCCAGTGACGACGGCGGAGCCAAACGCAGCGCAGACTACGGCCATGGCGACCAGGCCTGTTAAGTCTATTCTCCTCGATGAGTCCACCTCTTGTAATATATAACGCCTCGAAGAAGATACTCACACCAACGATAACGACGGCTCCATGTCCTCGGGTCCTCCGGGTCGTTCGGTTTGAAAACGACAAGCTTGACTTCTTTTATGCGCCTCGCCTTCTCGGGGTCAATTGAGGGTAGTCGAGCTGCAGCGTTGAGGAGACCGCTGCTGGGTGCGACTACGCCACTCCTAGCAACTTCGCGATACTCGTCATCGCCCACTTCCTCGGGGAGGTCGGTGGTCTGGTAGGGATATGAGAGATCTGGGCTGCCCGGTGCGTGCGTAGGAGGCTGAATTGGCTTGGTGGGCTGCGGCAAGTCGGCCAAAGTTGAAGTTTCTGAAGGATCTTGGGACTCGGCCGGCGTATTGCTTGAACTTGGATGAGCGTTCATGATGAAGATGTGAAGAGCAGGCGGAAGGGATGCGGGGAAAGTGTAGAGACAGCGGCAAAGCAGATCCAACATACTTATACATCCCGTCGACCAGGTCGGATGCGCAGAGCGATTGAGACCGGAACAGACATAGCGCACGTCTTAGGCGCTGAGCGCTGAGCGGCAACACGCCTGCCGAGCGAACCCGTTCAAAAGTCGGAGTGACGTTCGTTTCTCGGAGCGTCCGTTCTCGAAGGAGATGAGCCGGATGCAAAAAATCATGATCTCCGAAGTACCTATGTGCTGCTTACGATCCTAGAGCAGGAGATAACGACCGGTCTTTGCAAGTTGACAGCCTCCTCGTCCACTGGCTATTGCATATCGGTTGTCCGATAGTAGACGCTGGCTCGTTGTACTGGTAGTACGTCAATGCCTTATCATGCACCGACGTTCGCATAAGCCGAGTGAGATGAATTGGAGTAAAGTAGCCCATCGCAGATGGAAGGCAGCAGAGCCTGCGTTGCTTCCGGTTGGCCAAGTTTCTCGGTGAGAAATCATGCCGGGCGCACCCGATTGGCTCAATGTGCGTTCTCACGTTTCCCCGCACGTCCCCGGGCGGCAGGCGCTCTCCACAAGCGAAGCGAGCCACAGTCATCGTCTTCGCAGATAATTAGTGAGACGCGGCAAAGGCGTCATACCCAGTATATCGGTGAGGTTCATTGCATATTGGCTCAAGCGTTAGAATCATGAAGACTTTTTCACTTGGGCGTGAGGCGGGCCGACGAAGCCGAGAGCGGCACCAAGGACGCGGCACGCGGCACACCTCAGCTCTCTGTACAACTCGAGTCCTCAGCGTCTTAAGTATCGAGTTCTTCACGTTCATGTACACATATATGTCCGTATCATACTCGGAATGACTGCGCGAGGACGTGGAGCTTTGGCGGTCCGGCCCCGCGGCCTAACTCGTGTGTACCGTACCCCATTGACAGATGTCAACGTATGGGTCAAAGAGAGCACTGGCGACGCTCTCCGCGCGGAGACGCTCTTCGTCCGATATCGGAATGTTGAGTTCCAAGCGCAGGACCTTGATGGGCTTCTTGTAGCGTCGGCGAATGCTTTCAGGTTGATCCCAAAAGGACTTGTGCAGCTGTGACTCAAGCTGCTCGCACCAGTCTACGAGTGTGTCTTCGAGCTCCTCGGTTTGTATAACCCATAGCGTCTCAAGTCGATGCGGGAGGTCTGGCTCAGCTTGTGGGAAGTACGGGAACTCGAGTTCTCCATAGTTCTCGTTTCTGTCGGGCGGAAAGGGATCGGCGTAAACGACGTCCAACGGGTTCAAGACGCGCAGTGTCTCAACTCTGCGGAAGTGCGATACCACGGCCTTGATGTCTGTAAGTAACCAGCCCGCTAAGTCCAGGGAGACGGATACAAAGCGTTCCATGTCGAAGACATTGCACAGAGACAGAAGAACGTGTGGTAACCGGTACGGAAGGCCATTCGCGTCTGCCACGAACCGCAATTTCGGCGTTTCAAGGAGGTACACCTCTTGGCCGCTCAACGGGGACATATCATCGCGGTACATGGCTATGTCGATCCGCGAGGGCTCATCCGGATCGAGCGAAGTTCTTCGGGATGCAATGAAGACAGCATTGAGATCGGGCCCGCAGTGTGAGCGCTCGAGCGACAACGCCATGGGGATACCCAGTCGAGCGTGGGTATTCCAGGTAGGATCACTGTTGGGTTCACAGTAAATGTCTAACTGCAAGTTCACAGTCGGCGGCAAGCGCACGATCTGGAGAAACGACGTTTCTTGTTCGTCTCTATCTGCAAAGTGCAGGGTTCTGAGACGAGGTAGCTCAAGCTCTCGGATGCTAGCGGCGCTGAACCCGGGGGCAAACGTGGGCGTAACACGAACTAGTTCTAAAAACTGTAGCGTCTCTCGAGAAGAGAACAATGCTTCCAGAAGGCTCGACGATGGGATCTTGGATGCACACCACAAATGGATGGAGAGATATGTGAGTGCATTTGATCGCCATGGGACAACAATGTTCCTGAGCATGACGGTGCGTAATCGAGGGGCACGCAGTACCGGGAGTCGCCCCCAGTTTTCTGCGATGGGGTTGCCCAAGGTCATCTGAGCCCTGGCCAAATCCAGGATCTCGAGATCGTCAAACTCATAGTTCGCGTAGGACTCGTCCATCGGATGTACGTCTTCCCTGAGATCAAGTATGTGTAGAGATTGAATGCGAGAGCACAGAGAGGCACTCTCTGTCGGGGTAAGATTGGCCTTCGGGACGGTTAGAGTCCAGTTCTCGTCATGAATATCCGAGCTGCAGACGGTGGTGATCTTCAAAGGAAGTATATTCCCAGCACGGCGCAGACATTCCGCTGTAGCGCGGGGGAGGTGACCTAGATTATCCGCCCAGAGGTGGCAATTATCGACTAGTAGCTTCCGCCAACGTGAACACACATGTGTTAACCGCAACCATTCCAATGATCCTTGCTCGACGAGCGGTATATGACCCCACGTGTTTGTGTCCAAATCGTCAAAGACGTCCTCCTTTACGCTTTGATAGTTGGATAGAGCAGCGGCGGTGCGTGGGATATGCGGAGGCCCGGAGCACACAACCAGGGAGAACACAATCGACAGAACTTCCGCCGGTAGTCGAAATATGGGGGAGAGTGAAGCGTTGCGGCGAACGCGTATCTCAGTGACTAGCAGCTGAAGAGCGCGCTCGGCGCGGTCCCAATCAGCTTCTGCATTCTGACGTCGATCTATGGCCGCGGTGTGCAAGTCGAAAGCAGCGATAAGGGGATGGCTTCGCGGGATATCCTCACTGTAAAGAGTGAGACTTACGGCCGCAGATGATAGTTATGCGACCCTCACTCACACATCTGCACTCTCAGAGATACTCTCCATTTGGGCATAGTATGAGATTCAATGTATAGATTAGCAAGGACTCGACACTAAAATTCGTTGTCGTCGTGGTTTGAGGCCAAGCTTCGTGGCTCGACGCGAGGCAGCGGCGGATTTGGCTTACTAATCAACCCCGCAGGCGCGTCGCGCCTCGTCGCGCATCTCTGACTTCAACGTCCACCACCCAATTTCCTGTTATTTTCGCATCTTGTTTGTCTAATACAGCGGCCATGGGCAATGACGGTGGCAGCATTCCGGACAGGCGCGACCTTGTGAAGAGCAAGAAGAAGGCCGAGCAGGCCGACAAGAACAATCAGACCCGTGCTCGATGGTTCTACTGCGCGTTGTCTAAGGTATGCAGACCCCTGCAATGTTCTCTGCCTAGGACAATCAAACATATGCTAATGACAAACGATAGGCGCCACTTGTTGAACCCATAGTGTCAGATGCCTTGGGTCAGCTGTATAACAAGGATGCAATATTGGAGTTCCTACTAGATCGAGGGGCATATGGCGACGGTGAAGAGATATGTGGGCATATTAAGTCACTGAAGGTTAGCGTTCTGCTTTGTATTTCGATGTGACTGTGCTCAAAACTGGGTTAGGACGTCAAGACGCTGAAGCTTACTCCTGTGACGTCTGTTCGTGAGGGCGCATCCGAGGAAGACGTGCCCAAATTCCAGTGCCCGCTCTCCCAGAAGGCGATGACCGGCCATGTCCCCTTTGTCTACCTCGTACCCTGCGGATGTGTCATGTCACAAGCAGGCTTCCGCGCTCTGTCTACGACACCTCCAGCTTCTCCATCTGGCGGCCCACAACTCGACGTCTGCCCTCAATGTGCGACCAAGTTCGATCGTGAGAAGGACGTACGCCAGATCAACCCGCCAGAGGAAGAGTCGACAAGACTGCGTCTCGCTCTTGCTGCTGCAAAGGCGCAGAAGAAGAGCAAGAAGCGTAAGTCGGAAGCGGTTTCCGATGACCCTCCTTCCAAGGTGGCGAAGAAGGGGACTGACAAGGAGAGCGGTCACCTCGTGGCGAGTCGCGCTGTGCAGAGTAGTTTGGCTATGGAGGAGGCCAAGCGGAAAGCGAGCATGTCAGACGCTGTCAAGAGTTTGTACGGCGACCCGACGAAGAAGCGCAAGGAGACATTCACAACAATGGGCACCTTCACCAGAGTAAGTCCCGTCACAATTATCTTTATGCGATATCTTGCTGACATCTTCTCAGTACGCATAAGGCCCTCATCTTGATGTCCATCGGTCGTTTGTTCGTCGTTGCTATCTTCGTTCTCTAGGCCCCCCTCGTTTGTATCTGTAACATCATTGTATTATCTACACACCCGTTGCTCCATGGATACATGCTCGCACAGTGTTGAATGTGCGTTCCTCAGCGTGTGTAAGCTACCATTGAGTCAAGTCCGCCTCTGCCTCCCCGAACATGCTCGTCTTCTTGATCTCGAAGCCCTCCTCTCCCTCGCCGGGTTCATCCTCGCACACCAGGCCATCGCCTTCATAATACTCCGGAAACTCCGTATGCAAGAAGCGCATGATATGCGTGTTGAGCTGCTCGAACTCGAGCAAGAACCCATCGTGTCCGTCCGGGCTTTGGATAATGACAAGCTCCGCTTCCGGCGCGTGCGCAGCGATCTCACGCTGCTCGCTCGTCATGAATAGTCCGTCGCTCTCTACCCCAATGACCAACGTCTTTGGCGGCAACTGCTTCAAAGCATGTGCCAGTGCCGCTTCTTCATCCAAGTCCTCCGGTGCACGATCGCGTGCGAGGTCGTGAGTGTCGAGCTTGCGTGTGATGTGGATGTAGCAATTGGCGTCGAAGCGCGCGGTGAACTTGTCGCCCTGGTATCGAAGGTAGCTTTGCGCCGAGAATACCTTCGGCGGCGCCGGTGCAACTACGCCAGGTGTTGCAACGGGAGATTGCGGGCGCGAAGATGTGTAAGAACTGCGGTGTCCGTCGTTATGATACGCAAGATGAGGCGACGCGGGAGGAGTTGTAGCTAAGCCGCCGCGCTTCACCAGCTGTGGTTTGCGCCCGAACCGGCTCTCGAAGCTGTCGCGGGAGCGATAAGTCAGCAGAGCGGCCATGCGCGCTGCGGATAGGCCCGAGGCTGGCTGCTTCTTGTAGTACCCATCCTCATATCCTGGGTCGCTGTAGATGCTCTGCCGTTGAGCTTCTCCCCAAGATATGCACCAAGCGCTATGTCGAGCGGAAGTCGCGATTGGTACGATGCGCCGAACATAGCCCTCTGGTGAGCAGAGTGGCCATTCTAGTACAGCCATGCCGCCCATGGAGCCACCGATGACAACGGCGATTGATGAGACATTCAAGAAGTCAAGCACGAGCTTGTGTAGGCTATAGGAGAGAAGAGTTCGGGTCACGAAGGCGATGCAAGATTGAAGATGGTTCTCACCGAACGTCGTCGCGTATTGTTGTAGGCGGGAACTCGGGTCCATAGTTCTCATTTGTGTCAGGATTGGCAGTCACGGGCGATGCTGTCCCGTAAGGAGATCCCATCGTGTTTGCGCAGAAGATGAAGAAACGAGTAGGATCGAAGGCCTTGCCCTTGCCCATGAGCGGTCCCCACCTACAGAAAGTCATACACGCATTAGATCCGGAGTTCTACGAGAGAAAGAAGAGCAGTCATTACCAATCCTCCACGTCTGAGCTTCCAGTGAACGCATGGCAGATAACCATAACATTATCCCGAGCCTCATTCAAACAGCCCCAGGTTTTATATGCGACAGGAACATCGCGCAGCACGGCACCACATTCAAGCTCAAAGGAAGGAACATAGTGTATGTTCTGGTCTATGTTGACAGCTAGGGCAGAGGTAGACCCAATCGGAGGTGGGGAAGTCGGTGGGGAAGTCATCGGAGATACTACGCCGACCGAGACGGCAGTTTTTGAATATAAAGCGGAGCCTGGTTTGAGGGGAGGATGCGGGGAAGTCAGTACGCAGCCGGACACACTATATGTACAGATGATGAGGGTAAGAGTCAAGAGAAGTCCGAGTCACAGCTGTGGTGGTCAGATTTAAAGTGGCAACAGTCGGACGGAGAACCATCCGCATCGTCTGAAGCCGAACGCCGGGGATCATGATGGACCTCCAAGATCATCTAATCGCATCTTGCCGCTGACGCGCTGACGTCGCGACGTCGGCCGCGGTCCGATCCACATCGACGCGCTCAACACACGCATCGAGAAAGACCGCGGGTCTGTCTCTTACCACCACCACCTGGTGGATCTGCAGTCATGACTGCGATAAGCACGCTACTTACGCTACCATCCTCCTCGCGCGCTTTCAGTGCTGTTGCTCCGACCGTGCGCGATGAGTCTACGAACTCCCCGACAATGTTGGCACCGCGTTCCAAGGTAGCAAAGCTCTCCGAGGGAGCTGATTCTGCCTCTGCATCCAGGTCTCGCGGGCCCACTGGGCGATCCTCCTCCTCGGGGCTCGTGAAGCTCGAGATATCTGGGCTTCATCCGCGTGAGTATGCTTATACTACTCGCATAGTGGAAAGTCACAGATATGGGTAACCTCGTCCCGCGCGCTGTTGCGGATGGATGGAGCTACAAGAGATGCAACTTGAAAACATGGGAAACCCATGACGCGTACTCCTCATGAATGTACCGTTACTAACTCGTGGCAATATTTGTAGCACGCCCACCCATAAGCAATACAGAATTGCTTCGACAGGCCAGGCAGTCAATCACCGTTCTATTCGCATACGACACTACGCCTCCCGCGCCACTCACGCGAGAACGACTTTACGCTGCTACTCGGGCTCTCGTCACATCTGGCGATGGCAACTTGCTTAGCGACCACCTTACGGTGACTCTCGAAAAGGCGTCTTCGCAGATGCGGGAAAGACTTGCAAATAGCGCATCCGGCACAGACTTTTTTGGCATCCTGGCTACAGAGCTAGACAGTATCGAATGCCGTATAAACGATGCGTCTGGCTCGTTGGCGTATCTTGACCGCCTTTACATCGCAGAGAAGACTCAGGGAGCCAGTATCAAGTGCGTTCATCCCATACTGTCTGGTATGTATCGTACACTCATGCACGACCTATTGTCACAGGAAGATCGCACATTCTACATTGAAGCGATTCGTTCTCGAGAGGCCGGAGGTCGCTCAACAGCTGGAGACTGCCCTTGCGAAGTGGTTGGAGGCAGAGCATACGAGCGGGTCCGTGTGCTCATCTTGTGTCGTTGCCATATCTGACCCGTTGACAGCGTCGTTCAAGCCATTCGTCCATCGGTGTCAGCAGTTATTCGCCATCTTCAAGTTCATGGTCTCTACGACCTATTTGAAAAGTTCTATGTACAGCGCACACGCGAGTTCCACGGAACATTGTTTGCGCAATACCCGGACATGATGGAGTTCCTTGGGGCTTGCATCGATCGCAGCGATAAAGAGATTGAGCGTGCGCATGCTGTCCTCCCAGAACGCAGTTGGAAGGTGGCACAGCTGGCAGCTGAGGGTGGGTTGCTGGATGGCCATGTGAAGGAACTTGCAGAGGGCGGTACGTTTCATTCTTGCCGTCATACCCTTCTATTGCCTAACGTTGTTCCAAAGTTGTTGGAAAGCTTCTAGATGCAAAGGATCTAGCGAAACTAGGTGCTCTGCGGGCACTTTGTGTTCGGGTAGATGCAGAGCCCCCATTAGTCAACGCGTTCAGGGATGCTGCCGAAGCGCGTGTGAAGACAATCGTCAAGGACATCGCCAAAGCCGAAGAGATGGTCGACCGCCTACTGCCTCTCAAAGAGACCTGCGACCTCATCATCAAAGAATCGTTCGGCGGTCGCGAGAACCGCGAGTACGGCCACGCCCTTTCAGATGCGTTTGCCAGTGGATATCTCGCGCGGCGTCGCGCACCCGCAGAGATGCTGGCGAAGTACGTCGATCGCCTCATGCGTAAGGGTCAAGCGGGTGCCAGCGACGCCGAATTTGCGGAGAAGCTGGACAGAGTTCTGGTGCTGTACCGATATACGGACGACAAAGACGTGTTCCGAGCGTTCTATCAGCGTGCGCTGGCGCGACGTTTGCTTTTGGGTCGCAGTGCTAGCGACGACTTTGAGAAAAGGGTTATTCAGAAGCTGAAGGCCGGTGGGGACTAGTTTCGCTTCATCTGTCAACCATTGGCTGACGCCGCCTCGATAGAGTACGACCCCGAGTTTGCATCTGGGGACCAGATGTTCAAGGATCTTGGCCTATCGCGCGATCTGATGGCAGAGTATCATGGACAGCTCGAGAGGCGCGATCCAGACGCGACGCGACGGCTCACGGCGATGATTCTCCAGCAGAGTGTGTGGCCATTCACGAGCAGGTCTGGAACGGAGCTTGTATTGCAGCCGGACGTGCGTCATTTTGTTGTAACGCGTCCAAATCGACACTGACTGATCGGCACTCTCTGCAACCTCACGCCGCTTTGTCTCCATCGTCATCCCTATTACGTGCTCGGATGTCCAGCTTCACGAAGAGCTCGCTCGTTTTGAGCGTTTCTACGGCGAGAAGCACAAGAGCCGGCGGCTGGAGTGGAACCACTCGCTTGGAAGCGCGGAGTTGACCGCGCGTTTCGACGCTGGTGTCAAGACGTTGACAGTCAGCCTGTATCAGGCCTCCGTACTTCTGCTCTTTGCAGACTCCGGGCCGAGCAAACGATTGGGTTATGCAGAGATTGCCGCGGCGTTGCGCATTAGTCCGTCGGTTCCATATTGTCTGTTGGGACTACGCTGATCCACGTGTGACATAGCGGACGATGATATGCGCCGGACGTTACAAAGTCTCGCATGCGGAAAGAAACGCGTGCTAAAGAAGCATCCCGAGGGCCGCGACGTAAACGATGGAGACTTCTTCACCGTAAACGAATCGTTCAAGGATCCTCATCCTCGCGTTCACATCAACTCTATCCAGGCCAAGGAGACGGTACGCTGCCCCTTAGCTCTCTATCTGACCCATTGACCAATCGTCTTCCCAGCCCGAAGAGAGCCGTAAGACACAAGATGCCATCGAGGGTGACCGCAAGCACTTGCTCGATGCGGCCATCGTGCGAATCATGAAGGCCAACCAGAAGCTTATGTACGAGGAGATCAAGACGCAGACCATAACGGCGGTCTCGAAGCATTTCTTCCCAGATGTCGCAAGTATCAAACAGCGCGTCGACTCGCTCGTTGAGAGCGAATATATGCGCCGTGACGAGGAAGACAGGAACTTGTTCTACTATATTGCATAGATGTCTTCCTTTACTACTGTATATCTTTGTGTATCCAGGGCTGATATAGCGGAGGCGCGAGCATACGTCTTTTGCTCTCGATTGTATAACATTTCTCATGGAACCTGAGGCCTGAGGTCAGATTAAAACTACCGCATCGTCAACAACAATTCAAGAATGAATTCCTTGTCTGGTTACGGCCGTGATTCTACTTCGAAGCTGTACTTCTTGGCAGCCTTCTTCTCGATGTAAGAAGGCCATAACCAATACAGTAGCTGAGCATAAGCATAAAAAGGCGGGAAGAAAACCACCTTCTCCCCCTTGTCAATGGCTGCTATACAACGTTTCGCCACCGCATCTGGCGGTAGGCCAATTGTGTTGTACTCTGGCGCTGCGCTTTCCTGTCCGGCGGCTAGAGGGTCGGCATCAACAGCAGAAGCGCGGAATAGGCCCTGTACAGTCGAAGGCAGAATGTATGAGAAGGCGATCTTGGGATGCTCAATAGCCAGAGCTTGGTACAAGGCAAGCGCGCCAGCTTTCGTGGAACCATAGATAGAGCGGGTAGGTGCGGGAACCGCCGCGCCCAACGATGAGATCAGCAGGATTGCGGGTGCATCACTCGTCTTCTCCATGAGGGGTATCTGTGGTCGATATTCATGAGCTGATCTGCGAAAGAGGATGTTGCCCGTGGGATGATCACCATCGTCACGGCCGTGTTGAGAGGCCCCAGATAGTTGCCGCTCATGGCATTTGTCGCCGCTCGGGCACACCTCTTCACACCCTCAACGCCCGGTCCTTCCGCTTCATCCACATCGCCAGCAATGTCAAGTAGCGCGCGAGTGGCGGACACTCCCGCGCAGACGATCAGAGTGTCGAATCCTCCCCACTCTGATGTAGTCGTGTGATGAGTAGCGTACATTGTGAGGAACAAGGTTCAGCTCACTCTCGTAGAGCGCGTGACGCAACGCAATGAGCTCCTCAGGTATAGTGAAATCGGCGGCAAAGCTCATGATAAGGTCGTCTTCCCATCCTCCCGCAGAAGCAATTTCCTCGCACTCAAGCCGAACGGCTTCTAACTCCGAGTCCTTGCGACTGACCACACACAAACTAGCTCCTCGTTCAGAGTATCGCCTTGCTATGGCCTTTCCGATGCCTTGCGAGGCGCCAATGATGAGAACACGTTCTCGTCGAGACGGTAAGACTCTTTGTCGGCTCTGTGAGTAGCGGTGGAAATATCCATAGAATCCAAGGGCAGCGGAAGCGACTAAGGGCGCGAGAACCCAAGACGATATCATGCCCTCATCCATGTTTATCGTGTATTTGATACGGCCGACAGTGATAGGGCCCTACGCCAGGCAATGTCGTGATGAAGAACAACCCGCGCCAGAACTCGAACGTCTGTACGGCGACGCGTGCGAACGACGGCGGCGTTTGCCGACATTGGATGGATGGGGGTCGAGGAAGATATGCCTTTCATTTTCTGTCCTACTCCAACTAGTATAAGATCAATCGGTGTCTGGAGCAAGTCTTTACTGTAACCGACGGGCTCACGCTCTCGGGTGCTGCCACACCCAGGGTCGCTGTTGAAGTGGTTTTCAAGCGCGCAGGCCTGTGGACATCGGACATCGGTCTGCGGACTCCGCGCTCCCATGAGCTTTTCCTCCGACTCCCATGTTGCAAAATGTACTCTGCATCTACAACACTGCATAGAGCTACTGCCGGTCATGCTCCTGTGCGATACACGCCTACGTCATGAAGCTATAGCCTCGTGACGGCTTGTGGTGTACCCGGTACCAACATCCATTGAACGTGCCACGCACATTTGCCGCCCGCTGAGACTCGGATATGCCGTATGCGCAAACATCAGATCGGGTATCTTTATGATTGCACTCTACACTCGGTCAGCGACCGAACTATCTGCATTTAAGCTGCCAGTCGCTCCGGTCGTGCATCCTATCATCACATCCGCACTCACCCAAGGCTCATTTCTACCCCCCTCAATCATCAAAGCCATGATCCTTCCAAGGAAATCAAAGGGCCTGTGAGCAAACATGCATCTCTTGGCTGCCTCAGCTGACTGACATCCTGAAGCTCTCCCAGAATATCTACGCCACAATCGTCTCCCAGGCCACGGAGCACATACTATATACCTGCGTCAAATCTCCAGGCCTGGCATGCTACGCTGCCAACACCCTCGGTGAACAGCGCTAAGCAAAGGTCACGAAGCCATGCGGCGATGGCTGCTAAGAGGGAGTACGCACCTGCGCCCGTAATACCGTCGCGGATGCGCGCGCGAATGCTTGCCAAACGGTTCGACATTCCGGACCGGTATCCAAAAGCACCCGCGAGCTTTCGCTCTGTCCACGCTACTCCGACCGCATGGAGTGCAGAGCTCGTGTACGCCTCGCCGCTCTCTACCCCGCTATATCATGGTCCCTATGAAGCTGTGTTGGAAGCGCATACTCTCGATGTCGCGTTGGGGATGGGACACTCGCCCCGCTTCGTCCCGTCACATGTTCCAGCTGCTTGGATACGAGCCGAGAGAGAGGAACACGGGTGGCTGGGAGGGGGAGTTCAACTCGAGGAAGATGCCTTAGAGGACCAGTCGGTCTTGGAGATTCAGGTTGCCCCGGCGGTCATGCAGGCCTCGCGCGCCAAAGTGACGCGCTGGCTTGCACAGATGGAGGCAAGATAGGGACTGCACTATGCCTTTACAACTTTGATAGCTCGCTATTACCTTTACTCGGAGCTCTACGGAGTGACTGCTATCGTTTCAATCCGCTTCACGGCCAATGGCGCCCAGCGATTCAGCAATACCACCCGTCACCCCGGGCTGGCCTCGGGGATCACACCCATGCTGCGTTCAACGTGTGACGTCAGACTTTGCATCGCGGCGCGATGATCGCACCAGCCATTCAGTCATCAAGAAACATCAGCCGTGATCGCGTGATCGCCCTACTTATGCTGAGTGCGAGCGTATTGGTGACAAGATAGAAGAGGGAGTATGAGATGAGAGCATTGATTCTCAAAAGCGAATGAGTCCGAATCCTGTACAATGCAAGCGTATATACCGATGGACCGATCACACCATGCCTGTTCACGCCGCGTGCCCCCATGTCTACCCTCATCCCTGGACAACTTGTTGTTTGGTTTTGTTGAGCATGGCAATTGTGGCATCATCAAACCCTAGATGAGCTTTCACGAGCTCTGGAGGGGTAAGCGCCAACCATTGAGTCAAACTGATGTCCTGGAAACGATCTATGACACGGACGTCAGTTGTGAGCTTGTGAGCCCGCCGCAGAGTATACGCACCGGTGTTCGAGATCTCAAGGAAGTGCAGTGTATCATTGCCGACGTTCTCGACGTAGTGGCCTGAAAAAAGAACGAGTGAGCTCTTCATGCCCCCAGTTCCCACCGGAGGGCTCTCGAAGACGCACCAAATGATGCTGGGACGTAACCGATGTCTCCGGCCTACAATGCGACGGTTGGATCAAATGTTATACAGCGAGGAGTGCATCTAGATTCTTGCCTGATAGTCAAAGGTCCGAGAGTTGCTTTGGGCGGCGAAGAGCGTCATACGAGCTTGTCCAGAGCTGTATGGAATGTCGGTCATGAACCCCGCGCTAACCGCACGATATGGGCGCACTCACAGGAAGAAGGTCCACTCGTCCCTAAGCGGTAGCTTGAGCAAACGTATAGATAGCAGAGCGTAGGGAATAACTCACTGAGTGGGATGCCAATGAAGTGCGCGAATGGCACCAGGCTCAACCGTGACGTCAGCGGCGGCAATAGAGGTGGCGATCTTGAACTTCGTCGAATCGATTATCTTGACTGTTCCACCATCCATCTGCGTGACTGGGTCCTTCGAGAGTGCATACGAGAAGGGGTTATCCACCTGTCCCTGAGGGTCAGAGATGGCCGCAGTGCGTGTCGGCGCAGCTGCGAGACGATGAGTACGAACCCCATTGTGAGAGACGAATGTACATACGAGCGGGGAAGATGTACAGTTCCTTGGACGGTATGTGGTCGAAAGCCGAAATAGGGAGCCCGAAGCTCTTCGAAAGAACATCCATGGGAACATGTGCCATCCAGTCAGTCAGAAGGAAAGTTGCATCTTCAAACAGTGTCAGCTCTCTAGTGAAGTCTCGCTGAGGAGGTAACGCGCGCAAGACAGCCGCAATGATAAGCCTCTTCCTCGCGGCTCCTGCAGCACGCCCTCAGAGCAGACACTAACCTTCACTACAAGCAGAGATGGGCTTCGTTAGTTACCTGATGTCGACGACGCGTTAGGAATACGGACCTGAAATCACCCTCGTCGAAAATCTTCCCAGACGTTATTGAGTACGACTTTGGAACCGACAGAGTTCAAAAGACCCTCACCAGAAGGAACTCCGTGCCGTCCGGGTCATCACCTGTAGCCTGCAGCGAGTGTGGGATGCCTGAGGATCGTCAGCTACATGTCCGGAATGAAGAATGAACCACGCATACCTGGAGGGAAGTACCTGTGGTCCCGCAGGGGTCAATACACAGACGGGTTCTAGCACCCACAAAGAACTAACCAAAGGTCGCCGGGCCCCTATAGTGATAGCGCAGTCAGCGGGGCTGCGCCCATGAGCGAACTGAATGAAATACTTACGACATTGGCGAGGAAGTTCTTGCCATCCTTGAAGAAGTATGAGATTTATGCGATATGACAAGAGAAAGAGCCCACCATATCGACGGCGGTGATCTGAGTAGTGCCCTGCAATTGAACGGTGGCGGTGAGTATGGGCATCGGGGACTCATTCGAGCTGCTTTGAGCCACGAACCTTGAGAACATACGCCCATTCTGGCAAGATATTGAGACCGGCACCGAGTGAAGAAAAGGATCCGACGTACCTGCCGTCTTATGCCTATAGGAGCCGTAGAAGCTCGTCAGACGCCTGAGATATAGTTCGTCGCAAAAATAGACCCCACCAATGTAATTCACTAGATAATGCATGTGATTAGTCTTCGCCGGCGGCACGAATGCGGCACGGCGCACCGAATAGCTCCCTTCTCAAGGCGCATGTTCACACCAGCCATCTCTGTAGTGTGTCAGCGTTTAAACGGATAGATCCAAGATCGATTCAGGGTGGCGACTGACGAGTTGCAATTGGCATAACTTCAATGTTCTGTTGCCGAGCCCAACCTCCTGTTTGCAAGCGATTGTGCGACATAGCGAACGGCCATTTCGCGTTAGAGCTGGCTCAGGAGCATGATGAGCCTCTCAACAGTAAGATGAAGGCACGCGTCAACTTACACATCCCCGTTGTCAGTGGTCGGAGGCGCCAGGAAGTCTGGATTCTGTTGACTGATTTGCAGGTTATTAGGCCCAAGGATGTCAGACCCGAGACTGCCTCGAGTAGCTTGAGGATCCTCGAGGCTGGTGTCGCCGACTGGCCATACAGGTGCGTTTGGGTCTGACGAAGCTGGCGTCACGGTTTGAGACTCGGGCGGTGCGGAGGCCGAGGCCGAGGCAGGCAACGGTGATGCTGCAGCCGAAGTCGCCGAGGATGCACTCGACGCAGACGCTGTTCCATTGCTCGGTAGCGAAGCCGCTACGTCACGCTCCTCGACAGCAGGAAGAGCACAGGAGAGCAATGCCCAGTAGACAGGTAACAATAGCGAGAATTGCAGGCGAGCCATTCTTGCGAGAGTGCAGATACGAAGAACACCAAGTTGGTGGGCCCTACTCATTGCAGCATAGCTGCAGAGGCTTTTTATACACGAACCGCACGGTCCTTCATCCGGACTGGATGCCTGTCCAACCTCCGGGACATGTGCATTCTCGGGCGAACGTCATCGGGTGACGATCATCGGGCGCGATGGTAGGCGGTCAGGTTGAAATTGGTAAACGAATCATCCACGCAGATGCGACGAGCTGCAAATAGCAGGTGCTCGGGGTAGACGCAACTACACCGCATATGCGGCATGTACTATTTTCCTCAGTTCCCATGCGAATCCCACCGTGCCCCAGAGAACGGTCGCATATGAAGTAGATGCGTAGATATGACGCAACGCATAGCGACCAATTCACGGGCTCGCGTACAGTCGCTGCTCGACATACGTGTCCATACGCGTTCCTGGAAGTGAACTTGAGATAGAGTGTGCAGTATTGATCCTATAGTCCTTACATGGTTGGTACAGCGCTAGTGCGCCAACAAGAGCCGTCGACGTCCACAGCCGACGAAAATAGAGCAGCTGGCTCGCGGATGTAGTCACAAGATGGCCCTGCTGTCGAGCATCTGGCGATGGGGTTTCCTAACAGGACATGGGACCCGAAGCTGTTGCGCGATTCCCCGTCAGTGAATTGAACCACCAACGTAAAAGAACCCCTGCAACAAAAACAGCGCTAAGAATAGCGGATCGTCGTGACACTATGAACTAAAGTCAATGTCATGAACAAAACAGTGACGCCTCGAGATCGCAACATACCCTCACGGGCTGACCGGACATAACACCTTATCAGAATCCAACCACGGGTGGGTTCGGGGAGCAGGGTGCATGGCGTGCACGCGCGTCCGAGGGCACTCACACCCCCATTCACTGCGGTATCAGTTCTGGCCCAAAGTCGAAGTGACCACGCCGCAAGTTATCTTTAGTACGTCTCATGCCGGTCGTATGCGTCCTGTTCGATCCGTAAGTGTCCGTGAAGTAGGCCAGAAGTAGCTTTGAATAATACCGCACTCGGTAGCTCACGGAGACCTCGGAACAACGCGGTCCAAGATGAGTTGAGTCGATACGCAAGCTTGAGCTTGGGCTGTGGGTGTTGCCGACAACGTCCTTCGCGGGCTTCTTTACCAGGCATCTGGCGTCAGTACTAAGCGTGATTCCATATGGGTTTGCCAAAGCCCGGTGCACTGTGCCAAGAGCATTGGTATTGACAGACAGATCTCTGGGCAGGCGTCACCGTCGAACGAACTCGAGAGAAGGTGGTCAGTTATGCCAGCAAATCCGAGTGGAAGCCGGTGCGCTGGTATGCACCGAGCACTCTTCCGTGAGCGCTAATCCCCTTCAGCGTGACTTCTATCGGTCGCGTGGGATAGAAAAGAAGGGGCATTTGATGTCCCGAGAGTGTCGATGTGAGAGCCCGCGAGGTAGTAGCGTACTTTCAGGTATGTTTGGGATCCCAACATGCGGACATCCGCTGTCAAGGCATCTCGGGAGAGCGGAGGGCCATGTATAGCATGAGTACAGCTCGTCCGCGAGTGAGAGGTGATGTCCGCGATGAGCGAGTGCGACTCCCGAGCTCTCGGGATGCAGCATGGCGCTGTGGTTACGCTGAGAGAAACAACCCCAGCGAGTCAGCTGCTGCGCCATGTTCGACATCGACAATGAAACAGGGACGAGCTGATAGGCAAGATGTTGAACGTGGGATAAATCTCATCACTGTATTCGGCTCCGTACTCAACCGACCCTCGATCCATGACTGCGCCCTGAGTAACGCTCTTTACGGGTGTCCTCTGAAGATGTCGCGTGAGCATATACGGGTCTTCGAGGCATGGCCGTGCGTAGGACATGGTGGGGAAAGGGAAGAACGTGCCGCGGCTGCCTGGCTCGCCGCGGCCGCGGCATTGGTTCGCATAACTGCTTATCCTGATTTACTCTCGACGGCGTACACTCCTTCATCACGACTTGGGTCCGCAGTACGGTGGAAGGGGAGAGGTCTTCGCTTGAGAGCTTACGATACAAAACGGCAGTACCGTTCTTGACTGTTTACTCATACGGAGAGAAACCGCCCGGGAGCGCCTCCCCGGCACCGTGAAGTGAATTGCCACAGCTATCACGATGACGACTTTCGAACGCTTCGGATACCCAACGCTGCTCTACTAAGTTATCCCATATGTATCAGGTAGAATACCAAATATTACTGAACTTCCGGGCCCCGGGCAATGACTCACTGGCTCGAGCCTCGCGAGTCGCGTCGTCTCTCTTCCGCTCATCACGACCGCAACTGCATCGCGTTTCAAAACTTGTTTTCCTCTTTGCTGCTCGTCGTCGCACATACATGACCATAAACGACGCGCGTGCCTTCACAGGTGGCGGCTCGCCTCACGTTCTGCTCTCTTAGCAGACCTATGTAGCTCTCGCAAATGCTGAGGCGCCCAGTCGGCCTCGGGTAGCAAGTGGCGCCGAAGAACCTCTTGTCTCATCGCACACTCGAATGGCGAAATCGCCACATCAACCTCTTGCGCTATCGTGGGCTACCACCCTGACATATCCCTTTGAACTCGGGCTTCGCGACGGACGCCGTCTTTGTCATTTTGTCATGAGACTGGGGTAGACTGGGAACTATAAGTAGTTCGGCGCACACAGTCCCACTTCGAACCCGCAAACCGCATATACCTTTCAACCTCAAGAGCTCTTTCGAATCTACCACTCGCAACTTGACAACGATGTCCTCCGAACCAGCGACTGTCTCCACTACGCTCTCCTACTTCGTGCCGCCTGAAGACGGTTCGAAGCCATATCAGTACATTAACGCGGATTCGACGTCGGGAGAGCGTCAGAGGAACTTTGGGCGGGCGGACGAAGTCGTGCAGATTGAGAATCTGCGTGGGCGCGAGGATTCGGTGTCCCTGGACAAGAACGGTTTCCATTTCTTCCGCCACCCTGCAAAGCATACTAGCTTCGCGAATGACCAGGAGATCAAGGACGAGTACTACCCTGAGAGCGCCGACTTCATCAAGCAAGTCACCGGCGCGAGCCGTGTCGTCTTCTTCGACCACAGTGCGTCTTCTGAACATATTGATCGTGCTTCTTGCTGAATCGGTGCACCAGCGCTCCGTCGTCACTACGCCGAGAAGACGGATGACACCCCTGACAGCCGCCAGCCGGTGCAAGGCGTGCATGTTGACCAGACGCCTGCATCTGCTGCTGCACGCGTGCATCGTCATCTGCCCGCTGAGGACGTAGATCGCCTGCTTGCCAAGCGCTTCCAGATCATCAACTTGTGGCGTCCCATTCACCATGCCGCGTATGACTTCCCTTTGGCGCTCTGTGACTACTCTACGGTTGATACGCACAAGGACCTGGTCCCAACCGCGCTGAAATGTAAGTATCTGGTCTCGCTAAACGATGCACCAACACTCATGATCGCCCTAGACCCTGACCGCGACGGCGAGACCTTTGGCGTGAAGTACAACCCCGCTCACGGTTGGAAGTACGTGCGCGGGTTGACGCCCGAGGAGGGCGTCCTGATCAAGTGGTATGTGCCTCTCGTCTACAGTCAGCAGGACTTTGATTGATAGTGGCGTAGCTTCGACTCTATTCAGGACGGAAGCGTCGCCGTGCTTACCCCGCACACTGCGTTTGTGGACCCCACGACGCCTGCCGATGCTCCGAGGCGCGAGTCCATCGAGCTCCGCGCCCTCGTGTTCTACGATTGAACGACTGAAGGTCGAATTGCCATATAGATAGGAAGGACTGATATGAATCATAATGTGTACTGCTCGGAAATGCTTTCTGTAACTACTGTCGGTGACTGCTACATATGAATCGTGTACTCTGCTATGAGCTCTGAAACCTGAGCGCGGTGCCTTCTTATGCTAAAGCCTCAAGAGACACGATCACTACGCCCCAGGCCTCAACCAACACAAAGCCGACATGGCTTGATATAGTGCGCCGCACGCGATGACTCGTGATCATGGCGCATCTCTTGACAATAGTAGTCTCTGAGCGCTGTTGGTAGAGGGTCTGTGGATGACAAGCCGGGCAAATCATAGACGTGCGCCGGTGGACACTTGTCATCCCGGGAGATCCGTGTCAGCGCCGTCCTGATCCAGAACGGCTTTCACTGTCTCGCTTATTTGAGCATACAGCGCCTCTGTAGCAAGATGTGAGCCAGATTCGTAGCGATTCTGATGGACGCGACATACTTGCGCGGTTGACAGCCCTAATATACTCCTCATTCGCGCGTTGCATGTCCTTCTCGAGCGCAGACAACCGCTTAGCCTGCTACAATGTCAATGATAGTCCGATGTAACGCGAATGGGTATGCGACATACCTGCTCCTCTTCCGGTTCTGGTTGAGGCAGGGCCTGTATCAAGAATTCGACCTGTTTGGCCTTGAGAACAAGGTCTTGTACGAGTTCCTTCTTATTCGCTATGCAGGCGTGAGCGGATTAGCGATAGCTGAAGGACGAAGGGGCATACCCTCAAAGACATCCTCGGGATCGAACTTCTCCGCCTTTCGTTGCTTCGTTACAGGAATATTATCGCTGATTTGCACGAAGTTCGTACGCGTGGTGAGGTAGTTGATACTGTTGGTCATGATGGTAAGCAGCTACCGCGTGGCTTAGTTTGCTGTACCGGCATGCAGCATCAGCATACATACCTTTTGTATCTCGTCCTGGAGCTGAGTTATTCTGTCCATGCTCGAGAGTTCTTGCAGCATCGCGCTGCGTTGGGAGGTGGACAGATGAGGAAGGCGAGAAACGGCCGGCGCGCTTGACGCGCGCTAATTCAGCTCGGCGTTGATCGGCAGGATGGGTGATTCGGAAGTCCCGGTCCGGATCAGTTCCCCGCGTCTTCAGCGCGTCATCGCGCGCCGAGGAGCGGCCAACTCTCCTTGAATGAGAACCACCACTGCACTCAGCTGTGCGCTGGCTGTTGCGCGCGTCGCATTCGCTGTGCCTCATGCCGTGACATTTGCAGGCGAAGAGCCTGAAGAGCCCGTTGGCTCCGCCGCCTTTTGGTGGAAGATATTCATCAGTGCACTGCTAGTGCTCTCAGGAGGAGCGTTTGCTGGGTATTTTCACTCATTCGCAATATAGTTGGATACACACGCTTAATCGAATACTAGCTTAACTCTTGGTCTTATGGGTCTCGACGAACTGCATCTGCGTGTGCTGGCACAGTCTTCAGAGGACGAGAAAGAGAAGCTGCACGCCCGGAAGGGTATGCCAAGCGCTTCGCCCTGCCTGGGCGCTACGTCGACTTCTCTTGCTGATCTTATGTTCAGTCTTGAAACTGCTTGGGAGAGGCCGTCACTGGGTTCTTGTTGTAAGTCATGTCGATGATGGTACAAAGGTTTGCCGCTGACGACTGCGCGCGTTACCTAGGTCCTGCTTCTGTCTAACGTCGTACGTATATGTTCGAGGTATCGAAGGTGTCACGGCTGATACCGAAGAATTTAGATTGTGAACGAGACCCTTCCTATATTCTTGGATAGCGCTGTTTGTACACATGGTCGTATCACCTGTGCATAGCTGAACTCATGTCCCAGATTGGTGGTGGTATTGCCGCTGTAGTGATCTCAACTACAATGATCGGCGAGTCTTGTCCGTACTTTCACGCTCCCCGCGACTGACGGGAAATCTAGTGATCTTTGGGTACGCTAGTGCCAATGTACGGACTGAACGTATTCTCACCCTCACGTCTCAGTGAAATCATCCCGCAAGCTGTTTGCGCCCGTTATGGCCTATCTATCGGCGCGGCATGTGCGCCAGTAGTGCTGGCTATGATGTATATCTTTTCTCCCATAGCCTGGCCTACGGCGAAGCTACTGGACTGGGTGCTTGGCGCCAGCGAAGCCCATACGTACAAGAAGGCGGAGCTGAAGTCGTTCTTGCAATTTCACCGTCAGGGTGAAGAACCGCTTCGGGACGACGAGATCAGCATTCTCAACGGTGTGCTGGAACTAAACACCAAAAGCCTGGAGTCCATCATGACTCCCATCAGTGTCAGTACCTGCTACGGATGTATCCATACACCATACTCATCGTCTACCCAGGATGTTGTCACCATCTCTTCGGATACTATCATCGACCAAGCGAAGATAGATCGTCTGTGTGTCTTCTTTCCAGCCATCTCTACCATTCGAATACTCATTCATGTGCAGGTTGACGAGCGGATACTCGCGCTTTCCTGTACATGAACCCGGTCAACCACTCGCTTTCGTCGGGACGCTCCTGATCAAGAAGGTTGCGCCATATCACAATCAGCCATTCGGAAGTTACTCACTTAGTGTCGCAGCTATTGCAATACGATCCAGCTTCGAAATGGCCGGTCAAGAACTTCAAGCTCTCCATCCTCCCCGAAGCCAAGCCGACCGTTAGCTGCTTTCAAGCGCTAGATTACTTGTACGCCCGTCTCTCGATATTTCATCTGGATGTGATCTGACGAATCGCAGTCAAACCGGTCGTTCGCACATGCTACTTGTCAGCTCTACTCCCGGCGTCGAAGGTGGAGGGCTTGGCGTGGTCACACTTGAAGGTACGATCCATTGCCGACGCATCTTCACTCTCTTATCTTGCTATAGATATTATTGAGGAGATTATCTCCGAAGAAATCGTCGACGAGACAGACCGTTATGAGGACAACCAGAGCAAGAAGCGCGCGAAGCGTCTTACGAACTCGGCTATCATGCGCGGGTGCGTGCCCCTCGCTATTCCAAGATGCCAATGGTCTGATAGACATCGCACAGCATCGTCGAACGTGAGCGCCGCCAGACGGTAGCGTCCTCCGTCCCGGAGACGATTCCTTCCGGCGAACCAACACCGAGGATCCCCGACCGCACCTTGGCCGGCGAGGCGACGCCTCTATTAGTTGACACCAGTGTTCCCGAGCAACAGGCAAAACAAGGTGGCCCAGGGCAGAACGGCGCGCCCGGAAATGGGACTACTTACGGTGCAGCGAACTTGAGCACATCGCCGCCGGCGCAGTAGAGTGGCTATAGGCTATACTCATTTCGCATATCGGTCCGCTTAGTGAAAGGGCTGGAGTATTCACGATATACATTGCCTTCTCGTCTTCAACGGGAAATCATAACTTATATTACTTCCATAACCCTTGCCTAAGGCCTTGTTGATCGGCATTTTCCGGCCGGCGGTCCGGATGGGCTGGTACCTGCCTCTGAAGGTCCGCGAGTAACTTGCCCTCAACCCTACCCTGATCGCTTACAGTATGCGTCGTCACTGAGTATATATCCTCTCCGAGTGATGGGCATGCTCGACCGCTCCCGGCTCCTCCCTCCGTACTCACGCTCGGTCCGACGTCTTGTGCTCAGTATCGGCCGGGAAGCCTGATAGTGAGAAGGTTGCTTCAAGCCATGATGCTGAAAGCCTTTACCGCCTTAGTCGCCCTGAGTACTGGTGCAAGTGCCGCTCAGCAGTGGACAGCTGGTGACACGTACGGCTGGACTGCACCCGACCGCGCCGCGAGCTCGTATCACGGCTTTGCCGGACCTGTCGGCGCATTGTCCAACGTGCGCGGCGATGGCTATACCACCTTCAGCCACCCGTTGTTCCCCGAGTATAGCGCGCGTATCAAAGAGAGCAGGTGGTGTGACTCTGGTGTCAAGACGTATACGGGCTATATCGACATTGCGGCGCGGCACCTGTTCTTCTCGTTCTTTGAGAGCAGGAACGATCCTGACAAGGACGACGTATTGTTCTGGACCAATGGCGGCCCAGGATGCTCCTCGTCCGTCGGTCTTCTCATGGAACTCGGTTAGTACTTGCGGATCACCTATTGGCACAGCCTCTGAGTCTATCCCTGCAGGACCATGCCGCGTCACAAACGCAACTGGCGAGCCGAAACGGCACGAGTACGCATGGAACGAAAGGGCCAATGTGTTCTTCATCGACCAACCTGTCAACGTCGGATTCAGCTATGCTGAGTACGGCGAGACAGTGTATACGTCTGAAGAAGCGGCAGTCGACATTGCCAAGTTTGTCTTCTTGTTCTTCGAGAACTTCCCGCAGTTCAAAGGGCGCTCTTTCCACATGGCCGGGGAGTCGTTTGGCGTAAGTCGCCATCGGATCTTGCTCGTTCGTCCGAGAGGAGCTGAAAAAGGCATGCAGGGCCGGTACATTCCATTGTTCTCGGCTGCAGTGTACGACCAAAACGCGCTGCTTGTTGAGAACGGCTTCGATCCGATCAACCTGACTTCCGCTATCATCGGTAAGGGCGCCAATCGGACTTGTTCACGGTAACTGAACTCGAACGGCATGCAGGAAATGGAATGACGGATAGGTATCGCATAACTCTGTCCAAGTACGATATCGTGTGCACGTCTGCATCCTTGCCACCGGTTCTGCCAATCGAAACATGCGTGCGCATGAAGAAGGCCGTACCGCGCTGCGAGAAGCTCTTACAGGCGTCCTGCGTCGACCAATTCGACTCGATGGGATGCGAAGCAGCAGCAGCCTTCTGCAACACAGAGATCGGGCTGCCCTTTGCCCTAAGTGGTGCGCGCATCTCTTCTCCCGACGATGCCTCTGTTCCTCATGCCCACTGGTCATCTGTAGGTCTCAACGTGTACGACATCTCCAAACCTTGCATCGGAACCCTTTGCTATCCTGTCATGGAGTACGTGCTATCACGCTGCAGCTTCGCCGAATTACACTTACTTAGGCTATACGTAGCGAGATCACAGGATATCTGTCCCGACCCGATGTTCGTGAGATCCTCGGTGTTGACCCAGCCGTGCCCGCGTCCTTCCAAGCTTGCAACATGGAAGTTAATGCGGGCTTTGCATTGAACGATGACGGCTTACACGATTCAACGGCTCACGTCGCGGCTCTGCTTGAGCGCGGTGTGAAGGTGCTTGTTTACGTCGGCACGTACGGTGAGTGCGAAGACGGCGGTTAGCGCTACTAGGGTTAGGGTTGTACACTCATCCCCCTTCGATAGACTGGGGTTGCAACTTCGTCGGGAATCAACGATTCGTCCAGGTACTTACTGCTTCCTTTGCGAAGATCTTAACGCTCACTCTATTCGAAGGCGCTTGAATGGACAGGGCACGATGCGTTCAATGCTGCCGAGGATCGGGCATGGATCGTCGACGGAGAAGTCGCGGGGAAGACTCGAAGCGCGGCAGGGCTCACATTCGCCACTGTGGACGCTGCTGGACATATGGTATGCTCCTTGCCTTGTGCTACGCATGGATGGAGAGCTGATCATGCATGCATAGGTTCCGTACGACAAGCCTAAGCAGGGATTGGCCATGATCAACCGCTGGCTTAATGGCACCTCACTTTGATCCAACCTGCTGTGTATCTTTTTGAGATGCGCTTAAGTACTGCTCACGATATGCGTTATCGCAGTTTGGAATTGCAGAAGCGTCTTGTATACTTCTTTGAGAATCTCATCATGCATTGACTGGCTACCTTGTCTCTCCTGCGGATGAGCCCTGTCCCCAACTTCTAGGATGTCCATGTCCTACAACCTTTGGCGAGTGTATTGGACCCTGTTCCGAGGAGCCTCAGATCTATGCTTGAGAAGCTCTGTCAAGTGCGCGTATGCGCTCCTGAAATCTTTATTTAGACGAGGGCGGCATCATGCGGCGAGGAAGCGCACCTCAAGAGCGGCCAGGTGCGAGTCGTGAGACTCGGGTGCAAGCTCACGTACAGCGGAAGCCAGATTAAGCATGTACTCCTTGTTGGGACCGGATGGGCCCACACTAGACCATATCGTCTTTGCCAGGTCGTCGAGAGGTTCCGAGCCGACTGTGCCGATTGGTGAATGAGTATTCTCGAGGGACGTCATTTTTGAGGAGGAGGTACTGACCGAAGGAAGGGTTGTCGTTTCGTCCCACATAACACACGCAATCATGTATGATGACTGTCTCTTTGCCGTCCACGACGCCATAAAGATTCACTTGTTCCATAGTATAGCCATCCTAACAGATACCTCAGTTTGGTCGCCACTGAGCCCTCGTAGGCTCACGGACCTTTTCACGATAGTCTATGGGACTGTTAGCTCTAAAGATAGAATGATACCGATAGATCGGGTTTCACCTAGGTAGTCCCTGACTTCTGCGGCGTAAAGAGGATCTATAGTGTAGGCAACACCTAAGGAACGGAGAGGTAAAGAGGTTCAAAAGTCAGCCGAGATTCGCGATTAGTACGTACCCCATGCCACGTCTTCATGTGGGAACGGGTCCGATCCGGAGAACGCCTGCCAGTCTTCTTGGTGGATGATCGTGACCACTCGTCCCGGATTCTGGCACGCAGAAGTCAGCCGATGGGCACACAGTATCGTCCGCGAAGCATACCTCCGGAGTACCCCGGTGATCGTGAGATTTCTGAGCAAACCGTCGTACATAACCTTTCAAATATCCTGGAGCTAAGAGCATGCTCGCGTGAGCCAAGGATTGTCGGTCTTTAGCATGAAGAGAACGCTGACTCTGCTTGATGGTGTGCGGCGGAGGCTAGTTTGGTATCATCCATCAGGGCCACAACTCTGCTTGTATGGTAGGGAACATATGATCACCTTGAATATCAAGGACCTATTTAAGAATGGAACTGTCGTCGATACGATTGCACCAGAGAAAAATATATCCGGCGCTTTACCCGTATCCGAACACAACGTAAGGCTTAGAGCCCTCGGGCTCGTCAAGACCAGACTGCGCGAATATACTTGAGCTCATGTGTGGTAGGAAGCGCTGAGCATCAGTACCATGTTTGACTACGTCTCCTCGACCTCTGAAACGGCGATGGTGGTCGAGAGAAAACCCATGGCCATGATGGGCTTTGTCAACTGTGACTTTGTGGCGTGACGAGCGCGTCAACTGGCGTGTCCGACGTCAACGCGCCGAGGCCCGAACTTCGCCGACTTGCCTGTCACCACCATCAATCCTTCGACGTCGCCCGCGCTAGAGCACCACCACGTATGATGCTGTCGAGAACCCTACGAAGCTCTCTGCGGAGAGCCTCATATGTGTCCACCTACTGGTCCGGACTCCGGTATAATTCCGGACTTGCCTCAAAATACGCATCTAAACTCGTAGAACGCGCTCAACAGTGAGGTACTATGCCGCACACCTATATCAGTTTCTTCTGACAAAATATAACGAAACTCTCTACAGGGAGGGTACGACCGTAGATGCTCTACGCGAACGCGCCAAGGAGGCGGAGAAGGCCGCCGCGAAGGAACGTCTGGCACGAGCGGCCGAGGCAACTGCGCAGAGCGCTTCGCTGGATGGACCTAAAGCGACACAGAAGGCGCGAGCTGAAGGCAAGGTTCCTGTACGTCAGGATAGCTCTCCAATAAAGGTGTGCCGCATGTCACGTCCAGTGACGAGGAGATGACACTAATAATGTGCAGCCGTTAGGGTCTATTCTGAATCTGGACAAAATTCTCGAGACTCCGCATACGTTCGAGCAAATATCGGCTCTATGGACTGCGTACCATGCATCGCGCGGCGGTGGTACAGGCCGCGGAGTTGTCTGCGCGTCCGTGCCCCGGGAGACCTACGAAACCATGCTCACTGTAGCATCACGTTATCCGCAGTTCATACTGCCCTTGCCACGACCGGCACCCGAAGGCGAGGAGGAGAAGGCGTATGAATTCTTCATGTTGCAATGGGACACATATGATGCTCCACCGCCACCGACAACCTTGACCGATATTTTCGCTGGCAAAGCGGGCGACAGCAACACTCAAACTTCGCTTCCTCGCTGTGCAACGGCAATCTTCACGCCTCTCGGCGAATACAAGCTGCGGCAAACCTTTGCCGCACCTCACCTTGCCTTGACATTCTATCCCGACCTTGCCGGCTCGCACGATATTGTACTGCTCCGCGGCGAGCTCACACCCCGCACGTCAGACCCGGAACAGTTCTTGTTGAGCCAGCAGGATGCACAGTTGCTCGCCCTAGGCTTGCAACGATTCTATCTGTGGGGTGGATCTGGAGGAGAGGAGAGGGAGGCTTTGCTCAAGACGTTCCATGAGCGCCCGCAAGACTTCAAGTGGGAGGACCTTGTCCGTCTTGGTGACGTACTCGTTTGATGGACGATTCGCGAGGATCGTCGCTAGCTCGTTGATCGCGGTCAACGCCTTTGCCGTACCTTATTGTTACTCACTTCTTAATGAAAAGACACCTTATGCTCAATCGTGTATCCATAATGTCGCTCGAAGTCGAGGCGCAGTCGGCATCATTCGTGCGAGCCAGAAGCTCCGCGCCATCAATCTTCTCTTAGCACGCTTTCGGTACGTAGCTTGTTCACTGACCACGACGTGGCTCCTTATAGGCGACCCTTACAACCATCGCCGATACCTCTGGCACTGTGCTGCTTCGCCATGTCTTTCTCCAGTGAAGCTGAAGGCCCAACTGATGGTATGCGCCCGACTGATCTGTCATTACAATGAACCGAGCTTGATTGAAACCACTTTGACATACGATAGGTGTCTTCGACCCTGACGAGACTGCTGCATTCCAGCACCGAGAGCCCCACTCTCGTATTTCCGAAGGTTTGTATGTTCCGACCTCGCAAGATTCTGTTTATTCACAGGCTCTAGACCAGAACATAGACCGAATGTGGTCGTACTACCTGCGCAAAGCTCACAGAGTGGATCAGGAGATGGCTGACGGCTGGAAGGGAGATACTGACGGGATACTCATCTTTGTGAGTCCAACAGTCGCCCAGTTATTGTGTACTCAAACGCTTTCCCTAAAAGACAGGTCTATTCTCTGCAACAGTAGCATCGTTCATCGTCGACAACTACAAGTCTCTGCAACTAGACCCTAGTGTGGTCCTCCTTGCTCAAATCTCCGCCAATATGACAGGCCAATCCATGGCTGACACCATAGCTTGTGCTGGTGTATCCACCGCAGGACCTCCAGTACACATCAACATCCTCTGGGCACTTTCGCTCTGCATGAGCATCTCATGCGCACTTCTGGCCACACTTGTGCAACAATGGGCTCGTCACTATTTGCGCCTGTCTCAACGACGTCAAGATATACCTGGCCTACAAGGCAGGATGCACGCGTACCTCTCTCATGGCATCTCCACTTCCGGAGTTCGCGTCTTCGTCAACATGATACCCGCCCTTCTGACATGCGCCGTTGCTCTGTTCTTCGCTGGACTTGTAGAGCTCTACTTCACCATAAGCTCTACCGTTGCTTACGCGACACTTGCATTCATGATCGTGTTCTGCTCTACATATCTTGGTTTGACCATCATGCCTCTAATATCGCGCTTCAGTCCTTTCCACACGCCCTTAACGCCGATCCTTTGGTGGATCGTTCGCCAAGGAGTTTTCATCACGCACTCCTGCAAGCGAAGCTTCAGAACGATCGCATACGTGGCTCGTACTCACTTCAAGGACCATGGATTGTGGGTTATGCGCCAGTCAGCGCTGTGGGTAGAAGCGTGGGATTATTCCTTCTTCGCATCGCCACTACGCCGCTTCTTCTCCGCGCAAACCGTCGACATCGAACGGACAGTCTTGCTAGCACCATGGTCCAACACCGAGTGCTCCTCCCTCATATACACCATCGTCGGCTTCGACCTCACCAGCGAGGACGTCAAGCACGTCTTCAACGGTCTTACATCCGTCTTTCGGCGACATTCCTCACGCGTCGAATCGCATCAGATCGCATATGTTCCCATCGCGCGATTTCTCCTCTCTGAGCTTTCTGTGCGTCAAGCGCTCACCCGGCTCTGCGAAGCGCCGGGCGTGGACGACGCGAATGGGGTCAGGACCTGCATGAACCTCGTGTGGGAGTTCGCAACCTGCTTCCCCAGGCCCTCATATGAAGCCGTGGAGATATTCCCACTCCCTCCGACACAGCAGAGACGCATCGCCCTGATGAAGGCTTTGACCGCCCTACATGCTCATCCGCAGCCTTCAGTAGCCATCACTGCGCGATGCTGGCTAGCGCTGGAGCTGGGGGACGTAAAGCCAATCCACGCCATATTCTCTCGCACATTTGCGTTCTACACGTATCCAGACGGGCTAGGCGAGTACAGGATGACGGCCAGTCACGATGCATGGACGCGCGACCAGTTCATCCTCAACGTCGTCGGTTTACTCGACGATACTCTTCCGCACATACGGGATACAGCGCAGAGTCGCGTAGCGCTATTCCTTGTGACCGGCGTCATCCTCCGCCTATTGCACTGGGAACGCTACGAGAAGCCAAATGTACACGAATCGCCTACACCAGTGTTGCTCGCCGAGCTTGAGCAACAGCGGCAGAAGGTCAGGAAGCAACTAAAGGATGGAGACAATGTAGTGAGGAAGATGGACAACCGTTCGGTTCACTCAAGTTTTGGGGTGGCCGAGGGTATCAGAGCGGAGTATGAGGCGTTGGACGAGCTGCTTAGACAAGTCGAGGAAAGAGTCCTTCCTAGGCCAGGCATCCCGACATTGCTCGTGCCAAAGCCCACGCGTTTGAAGATGGTTGCACCAGGAGATGGGTCATGAGAGCATTGCTTGTCTACGTTACGGCAAAGAGACTGATGTGGGAGATACGTATCATAGCGATCTCGTAGAGAGAAACCTGTTGACCATGGTCAAGGCTTCGACAGGCTTGTCGTATGGTACCTATTGGCCCCGATGTCAAACTTCAGCGTTTACTGGGAGCGCCGGTATGACATACCATGTGACCTGCATTATCCACTGTTGCAAACGTTAAGGAAGCTGCTGCACCATGCGCGGTGCGTGCCCGTCCGGCCGCCACACCATCCACAAACCCTCCTGCAATGGTTGCGATGCGAAGCTCTCACGTCCCGTCCAGGCTAACGCAAGCGACCATTCCTGGTTACCATACCAGTTGCAGATCCAATCATTACTGTGGGTCTGGTCAACGTTGCCGCCATGGTGACGAGGAAGCAACCACGTACGTTCCAACGTAGAGAAGCACATCTATGCCGTGCTCCAACAAGGCTCCCACGTAGCCCGAGGAGTCGCGCGTTTCGTCCAAGGTCACGTCAAACGCGATTCCGACGCTTTCACTGCATGAAGTAAAAGGCGACGGAACAAGCGGGTCTACACCAAGCATCTCGCGCACGTCGGAGCGAGAGAGGTAGTCTCTTATCTGTCTGCATGACCGCCAGAAGTCAGTACGTGGTTCAGCAGAAGGGACACGCATAATATATTCACATGGTGACAGGATAGCATAGGCTGGAGCCATCCGTGCACTCCTGCGTTAGATCATAAGGGTTCAAGCCTGCTAAGTGATGAGTGCGAGCTTCGCCTCCCTGCAATCATCCACTAACCTAGCGCGTCGAAGGGATCCATGAGCTCCGTCGTGCAGAAAGAGTTCGCAGCCCTGCATGCCATTTCGTCGTACTGATCGAGGCACGACTCTGTGAACCAGCGCTTGCACCGCGGAATCGTTTGCTTCATTCGCACACACGAGCTAATGGATGTGAGCACACGAGAACATCTTCGCTTAAACAGATATTACCTGATGTCAAGCACCGGAAAGACAGATGCAGGCGTGCATAGCATATCATAGTAAGACGTCAGCGCCGTGAGAGGCTCGGTAGCACCATTCCCTGGATATACTTAAGCACTATGTCCATGCAATGCGAGATATGCTGCTGCATACCAATCATGATTGAAGTCAGGTTAATGGGCGTTAGGCCGGCGCTGGTCAAGAGGGCGTTCTGATCGTACACAACAACAGCGAACAACGGAATATAGCGGCCCTAAAGCATAAGATATGTCAGAATGCGACGAGGCGGATGAAAGATAACTATTTACGCCATACGATTCGCCGGCCATATGGAAAGGACGCCCCTTGAACTGAGGGAAGTTCTCGAAGAACACAGACGCGAATCTGGCCACATCTATCGCAGCTTCTTCTGTCGTCGATACAGTTTCTCCATATTCGGCATAGCTGAAGCCAACGCCGATGGGCTGGTCGATGAAGAATACGTTCGCATTCGACGTCCACGATTCCTTGAACGGATGCGGCCCTTCGGTCGCGTTTGTGATACGACACGGGCCAAGCTCCATCAGCAAGCCAAGTGATGACGAGCATCCTGGACCTGTGTGCGCATGATGATGAGGTCAGGCCATAGGGCATTAACAACTGGGTACAGACCTCCGTTGGTCCATAAGATGACAGGGTCGTGGTCGGGATCGCTTCTGCTCTCGAAGAAGTAGAAGAAGAGATGGCGGGCCTCAATGTCGATGTAGCCCGTATATGACCTGAGAACGTAGTTGTGAGCTCCTTCGAATGACACAACAAAGACGACTCTCGTGGTCATGGCATACTTCACACCAGGATCACAGAAGTTGGTCTCCTTGATTCTGACGCGATACTCAGGAAACGATGGATGGGCAAGGACAGTAAATGTCTCCGCGCCGAGTGCATGCAGCGAAGATAAGGGCTTGAAGTTACTAGCACTCTTGTCGGAAGGCGCATGGTCGATTTCAAACGGAAGACTAGTTCGGGTGTCTGTAAGCGGCTTGTACCTCTCCTGCTGCGCGGAGCATCCGGCCAAGACGCTCAACCAAAGGGCACAGATGATGATTCCTGAACGTAACGTCAAGTAAGACGACACCATCGCTGAGCGAGCACCACGAGCAGCGCCGTTGCTTCTCGTGGTGGCGTAGGAGAACCCTCGGACGCGTCGCGCGCTGGTTCTTGCATCACGGCAATTGCCGCTATCGTGATTCGTGAACGCGATCATCTGACTTCCGAAATGCGCGGTTTACTTTCGGGCCGATATCGCGCGCACGTCGCTGCTGACGCCTGACATGGCTTTGGAAACGAACTTATTATCCACACTTTAGAAGTATCCAATGCTATACGTATTTTTGGGAGTCATATCTAGAAGAGACACGTAGATACTGAACAATGAATGATTTAGCAGCGAGATCTGTCATAAGAAACGCAGTTCGACATGTTCTGCGACCTTCGTCAGCCTTTCAATGAGACCATCCTCATCCACGCTCTGAATAAGACTCGACTCGATGAAGTCCGCCCGCAACAACTTGATACGCGGCGGTTTGAGAAGAGCGCGGCCTCTTTCTTCCGCAGGCGCGGTTTCGTACTCCACTCGTTTGGCCAAGGTAAAGCAATACATCGAAATTCGCTCCGGTAACCATTCGCCATGTTGCACAATCCAAAGCTTCTGAAGTCGCGCAGTAGGTGACCGGAATACGACCGATAGCAGTCTGAGAGGGATTTCCCAGCCACGAGAGTCCATGATGCTCTCGACTGGATCGATTATACGAAGCTCGCGAATGCCCTTGTCCACGAAAGCCTCGGCCAATACACGCGACTCTGCAACAAAGTCCCATAGCGGGAAGTCCAAGTCGACAAAGCGGACGTTCCGCCAGATATCCGGGAGGCCTGTGCCCAGCGCACGACACGTCTCGGCGAGACAAGTCGCATAGGAAGAACCGACATGGCGCGCGTTTTCGATGGCGATGGTGAGTTCAGGTGTACGAGATGCCATTGGCAGGCGGGAGAACGCGAGACAGATGTGCTTGTGGAGCGAGCCGAATATGACGTCGTCGTTGTGCGCTTGAGTGGCGGACATAAGAGTCAAAGGGTCGCCGACCCGCAATAGGCGCACCGCCCTATCGACTATGGTCTTGATCGAGTCCCTCCAGTGACGGCCGTCGGGATGTATTGTGAGGTCCAGTTCCGTCAAAGATATCTTCGAGAGCTCGAGTATCTTCAGGAACTCGTCGGCGCAGTCGTCCGTATCGCGAAGATACAAACGCCGCAGCTGAGGAAACTCGTACGGGGCCTGAACATGTTCGGAGAATCCGCCCGGCAGACAGTAATCGAGTTCGAGAACCTTAATCGTAGGCGCGACCAGAGTCAATGCGTTCAGAAGAGCGGGGCTAGGAAGGCCATTGCAATGGCCAAGGGAGATAGATAGGTGCGTGAGTCCAGGTGCTGTCCACGGAATGAAGTAGTTTGTGAAGCGTATCTCGCGCAACTTGGGCGCTCGGACGATGGGCGCTCCAGGTTGTAATAGCTTGTCCTCGTCGTCGAATGAGTTCTCGTCTAAGTGAAGATGGTGCACTTCCAGTACGCGAAGGCTGGGAAGACCGTTCAAGGCGAAAGATGGGGGATCATCGACAACACGCCGCAAGTCGACTATGCGCACGGACTCTAATCGCGAATAGAATCCCGCGCATCCGGCTTCCGACCACGAGAGTACAGGTTTCTGTACAAGATCCCACGGCGACAGAGCCGCACCAGGGGCGTCCTCGCCCGCCGCGGATTGCACAGACACAAGCGTGCTCTCTCCCGCTCGGCGCAGCATCACCTTGACCGCACCGGGCGATCGAAAACAGCCGATATGCTGCGCCCAGAGAAGAGGCATGCTTTCGCAGATATGACTTCTCCATGCGCGACAGACGTGGCTCAGCCTCATCCACCCGAGAGAGCCTCCTTCCACGATATGATCCCATAATCTCTCGCGCATGCGTGGATCGGCTGCTTTGTGCACGAGCTCACGGTCACGGTCAGACACGGGAGGGCGCGGCACTTCGATCGCGGCGACGGCTTCCACGATAGCTGAGAGCAGTTCGGGAGGCAGGATAAAGATGAACGGCCGTAGGGCATCCGCTGGCGCCATGTGGCGTGCACCCACTGCGGGTGCAGCCATCGAGGGTCACAGGCGCGGGGCACAAGAGAGGGTGATTTGGGTCGAGATAAGTGAGGCCTTCAAGGAGGCGCTCGGGGCAATGAGTAGAGTGAAGATACGGAGCTACTGGGCCGATGGAAGGCCTATGCGTGGTGGATGCGCGGGAGAGGAAGGGACGGTGTGGACTGCAACGTCAACCGGCTATCGGCCCGGTTCTTCGTCTGAGAGTTTCTCTCAAGCGTCCCCGCCGATATTTCCTATACTTCTTGCATTCTGCCGCAACTTTGTCGTAAGGTCGCGGCGGCGCTTGTTACGTTGCATAAAGCAATTGTACAGGTATAAACTCATGACATATTCACGCTACATCCTTCCTGCGGAACGCGCAACTCAAGGTGCTCCGTAGGGTCGCAACCTGGTGATCTGTTGATGGGCGATATATGATAGTCCCCGACTCGTATGTATACGAGACGAGCAGGTGTCGCTCTCCAGTATATATGTTGCGTTTGTGTCGGACAGCAAGCGCTTTCGGTTCATATTTGCGTGAGCAGGTGCGGTCGTAACCGTCATTAAAAGCAGCGATAATATACATGAAGCCAATGCAGTGCGGTCACAGAACGATGCTCGAGCACGGTCTAAGCCTCGAGAAACTACAAAAGCAAATCCTCGCATCAGTTCACGTCGAAACCCCGAATAGAGATTGCCACGTACCCATCCTCTCCCCGTCCCTCATCTACCAAGTCCGTCTCATACAGGCACCATAAGCTGCCCATACCTCCTCATGACGAAGATCCCACCAAAGAACACGCCCAAGCCCGTAGCGATGGAGATATTGCCGGGCAACTTCTCAGGCGAGAATATCTGCTCGCGGAGGAAGCGCGAGAAGGCGCTCTCGTTCGGGTCGACGGACGGGCCGCGGCTCAGGGCGGCGGGGTTGTAGTAGGCGGGGCCGGAGCCGGGTGGTGCTGCGCGACGGGCCATTGTGTATTATTTGGTTTGTTGGGTTGGGTTGAGTAGGTGGGTGGACGGCGGGTGAGCTGGTGGTGGCTGAAGGCAGGTCGCGGTTCCGCTGGCTTGTGACGTGACGCGCGCCCTTCTTTTCCGCGCGAATATTCCGCTCAGTCAAGTTCGCCGCCTGGTTCGCCGGCCGCGTTCACGATCCCCCTTCCGCAGTGAAACGCGTCGCTTTACGATAGTACTTATTAGGCCGTATAGCGTGGCCCGGTGCTATACGGAACTTGCTTCCCGTCTTAGACGTGCAAGGGAAGGCGATCTCGAAGCGCATCAGCAATTCTAACTGTTTACGGACTATATGAACCGAACGTGAAGACGTATAGAGTACAGCACCGCTGACTCCGCCCACCTTTCCTACCTACCACCACCTGCCTACGCGTACCAGTCACCCAGTCAGAGTACTCGAAGTTGCACAGTTGTATTGCCGCAGCCGCTTGTATATCAGAACGAACTTGATCGTGTGCCCTCGTTTTCGTCTGTCTATCCGACAAGGGTGACATCACCGCGCGACAAGGTCTCGACGACAGCCGCACCACGGCCCACGGCACCAACAGGATAATCGCTTTCTCGATTGAACGCCCACGACCGCGACGATGCTGAGCGCGGTAACGGAGAAGGTGCTGCCCCAGCCGGCTTCGTTCAACAAGAAGAAGCAGTATGAGATCCACGAGGTCCTCGGCACTGGCACCTTCGGCAAAGTCATGGTTCGTCGCCCCTATTTCATCTTCCTTTTCCCTCCTTCTCACTCAAGTTCTGTGCTGTAGCGCGCGACATGGCATGTCCCGCCAGAGCAAGTCAACATCGCCATGCACGGCGCCTCGGGCGGGAATAATGGCAATCTGAGCGCGGGGCCCTTCACCGCGTCTCCGCCGTCGACCCCGGGCGTCCCGTCGAGCCCCGGCAGCAGGCTCTCGGCAGCATCGGCCCAGTCGTCTGCGCGCCCCGGTGCATCGCCCGTCCACAGCGGCACTGCGTCCCCCGCCGCGTCGTTCATGTCGCGCCGCTCGACGAGCAACGCCAGTATCAAAGATTCGGGGATCAAGAGGGACGTTGCGCTCAAGGTCATACCGAAGAAGAAGGTCAAGGGGAACGAGGCGAGCGTGTGGGGCGAGATGGAGGTGCTCAAGGGTCTTGATCATCCTAACATCGTGCGTTCTCTACCCCTCTATCCTTATGCTCAGCGCTAAGTATGAATGTAGGTCAAGTTCTACGAGTGGTTCGAAACTCGGACCAAATACTACCTCTCCTTCGAACTCGCCGTCGGCGGAGAACTCTTCGAGCGCGTGTCCAAACGCGGCAAGTTCACAGAGGCGGACGCCGTCACTGTCATACGGTACGTAGCCGTATGGTTAATCTTCGCTCGATGATTGCTCGTTCCTTGCAACGTGCATCAATCGGTGCCACTCTGACAGCGGCAAGTACCGCCGGTCTGCGTATGGGGTCTCGTTTGCCTTTCGGGTCGTATCTCGGTTCCGTAGCTTCGGAGGGCTGACGGGTTTGTACAGGTCTGTGTTGGAAGGTGTGAAGTACTTGCACGACCATGATATTGTGCATCGTGATCTCAAGTACGTGTTTCTCTGTTCGCATATACGATGTGCTCATCACATCGATAGACCCGAGAACATCCTCTACCGCACACGAGACGAAGACTCTGACATCGTCATCGCGGACTTCGGCATGTACGCCCCATCCCCCTCCATCCTCTACGCCCGATCTCAACATTCTACTCCTATAGCGCGAAACACCTGCACTCGGACGACGAGCAGCTCACATCGCTCGCCGGCAGCTTCGGCTACGTCGCGCCCGAAGTACTCAACAACTTCGGCCACGGCAAGCCCGTCGATCTCTGGTCAACCGGGTAAGCGCTCTTCTCTCCCCTCACCCATTCCGCGATATCTGGAGACTGACTGGTGACGATGTGTGGCATGTGTAGAATCATCACCTACGTCCTCCTGTGCGGATACTCGCCCTTCCGCTCGGACGACGTGAAAGAGCTAGTCCGCGAAACGACTGAAGCGAAGATCGAGTTCCACGACCGGTACTGGAAAGCCGTCTCAGCCGAAGCAAAGGTGCGTCTCCCCCATTCCCCTCCCCCCCATCCCCCTCCTTCCTCTGCACCCTAACTAACGCACCCACTCAAACAGGCCTTCATCCGCGCCCTCCTCTCCCCCGCGCCCCACTCCCGCCCCACCGCCTCCCAAGCGCTCCAACACCCCTGGCTCGCCTCGGGCGGCACCGACACGCAGCTCGACGGCCTGCGCGACAACTTCAACCCCAAGGCGCGCTGGAAAAAGGCGATCTCGGGCGTGCGCGCTATGGGGCGCATGCGCTCGAGCATATCGCGCACGAGCTCGGCGGGGAGCGCCGTGGGGAGCGGCAGTGCGAGCGATGATGAGGATGGGGGGTGGAGGACGGGGGGCGAGGAGGATGATTTGGATGGGGAGAGGGAGGGGAGGGAAAGCCCGAGCGTGTTGAAAGGACCTACGCCGGGGTTGAAGAGGCTCGATACGGACCACCCAGGCGAGAACGACAACGTGCGCGTAACGCCCGGCACACCCGTCGCGTCCACCCACCCGCACCCCCACCCTCACCCTACCACTACACCACCTCCCCCGCAAGCCCCGCCCGGACACGCCGTCGCGGGCAACGACGACGACGACGACCCGATTATGCCGGGCTCTTTCGATCTGGGGACGAGGAGCCAGCGCGCGAGCGAGGATAATGGGGGGCAAGGGGAGGGAGAGGGCGCGGAGGGCGTGCTGGAGGCGCTTTGGAAGCGGTTTCAGAGCGTGAGGCTTGGGACGGCTGCGAGTTGACTCGTTGGAGGTGGGGTGCTTTGGCTTGTGTTGGGCGCGTGAGGGCGGGAGGCGCGGATGGGGTGCTTGCGCTTGTGTAGGATGGAGGAGGGAGGAGGGCGTATGGACAGTTGTGCTTGTGTTTCGTGAACCTTGATCAGGCGGCTTGGATGTTTCGAGTACTCTCCTTTCGTTTTCTTTATGCTTGATGTACTTATTTTCGATGCATACATGAAGTCTTGAGTAAAACGGTTCTGTTTGTATAGTATATCATCCAAATATTGTTGCTCTCTTGTGTCGTTCATGTTATGAGTGCTTCGCGCGGGTCCTCACTCCGGTCAAGCCTGCGAGCATAATCAAATCGTAAAGAGATCGCAAGGCAGGTGAGGTTCATGATATAGTACAAATGCTACGAACAACGAATCGAAGAGACAAGAAATTCCAATATCCATCCATCCTTGAGCAAGGAACTCCACCCTCCTCACACCAAACAAACAGCGCGCTCACGCCGCAACGCTCCACTCAACACTCGGCACGACCTCCTCAATCCCCCTAACGATCCCCACCGCCTTACTCCTGGCCATACTCGGCACCACCGGCAAATAATCCACCCGCATCCTCTTCGGTGCCTGAGGTGCGAACCGCGTACCGCTAACCCTCACCTCGACGGGCATCGCGCGTCTGAGCTGTCTAGCGAGCGCATCGCACCATGAATGGTACGACGTTCCAAGCTTGGCATCGCGCTGGACGAGCCAGAGCGTATCCAGCGCTTTCCTCTCCTCGTCCTCCTGTTGCCCGTCGACGGGAAGGATATACGGAAACTCAGCAGCCGCATGCGTGCTCACGAGCGGATTGACGACGTGCAACAAGCTCAAACGCGGGAACATCGCCACCGCCGCTCTCCGCGCATCCCCCGTCCACTCGTCCGCGCAAAGCCGCAGCGAAAGCGCAGGGAAGCGCGCAAAGTCGAGGTACTCGCGTAAGCCGTGGAACACGCGTTCGGGCTGTTCGGGGTACTGGTACGCCGGGAACCGGATGCCGAGCGTGAGTCTGGGCGTGGACGATGCGAAAGGGTCCGTGTGCGTGTGCGTTGCTCCAGCGTTGAGCGTCGATGAGATGATGGATTGGGCGGAGTCGTAGAGGTCGATGGAGAGCGTTGTGCCGCGCATACTGGGCGAGTCGCGTAGAACGAGCGCGTTGAGCGAGGATACGCCGTCGATGCGCTCGGAGGCCATGCGGAAGAGCGTCGAGAAGCCGCGCAGGATCGTCACGTTGAATCCGGGCAGCTCGAGCGAGAGACGTGTCGAGCGCGGGAACGTCACGCGCGTAAGGAAAGAGTGTAGAGCGTGGCTCGACACTTTCAGCTCTCGCAATCGCGTAAAATCGATGATTTCGTCGTCCGGCGCGTCGGAGAGATCGATCGGGAGACAACATTCCAGCTCGAGCGTCTTGAGCGTGTGTCGTGCTTGTCGGAGGGTCTCTAAGAAGAGGCTGGAGGACATGTAGATCGATGTGTGTTCGAGGCTGACGGAGCGGATTGAGAGGTTCACGAGACAGCTCGAGCGCCAGGGAATGAAGTAGTTCACGAATTTGACGGTGTGGAGCTGGGGTGCGTGGACTGAGCGTAGGCCGCGGGACCATGCTTCAAATGGCTGGATATCTTCTTTCGCGCCGCGCGCCATAACATCTAGGATCTCGAGCGCGGGGAAGTCGAAGGGTACGAGGCCTTCGGGCCATGGGAAGGCGAAGGGGAGCGGGTCCTCGTCTTGTCGGAGTTCGGCGATGTGAATGGCTCGGACGCGGGAGGCGTCGAGAAGTGGGTGCATCTGGTTGCTGCCTGGAGTCGGCGAAGGGAGGGTCGGCGAGCGGAGGACTGTTTCCCATAGATCCGTGTGGCGCCGGTGGATCGTCGAGCAAACTTTGTGCAGGGTTATAGGTTGGAAGCCGCCCGCGCGCCGTAACATCTCTTCGAGACCGAGCGGCAATATCCCGACGCATTCGCCCCACAACCTCGGCTGGCCGAGTAGGACTTGTCTCCATCGCCGACATACATGGCTCAATCCGATCCACCCCAAAGACCCTCCTTCAAGCACAGGCTTCCACTCAGGGAACTGCAGCTCCCTATCAATGCCCTCCTTCGCCCTCGCAAGCAGCGTATCGCGTCCCTCTCTATCAATAGGCGCACGCGGCACATCCGCCCGCGCGATATATTCAAATATAATCGCCAGCACGTCATCCGGCACGGCAGAGATGTCCGAGCAGAAGGCGTTATGCCGTGAACGGAGGTCCAGCAGGACAAGCTCGAGCACGCGCTGCTCGTCCTGGAAGTCACGCACGAAGCGGTGACGGTCTGATGTGGACCGGAACCTGGATGCGACGAGCTTATCGAGCGCTGTTATGCGTGATTCTGCGAGGGTTATCCATGGGTTCGGACGCGGAACGTCAGAGCTGAATGAGCAGGGTTTGTCAGGGACTGGTTGCTTCTACGGTACAGTTTAGAGCCACAGGGCTGCTTACAGAGTGTGGTAAGGGTGCGTGTCAATGTCCATGGCGTCCATGGCGTGCTGTGGGTGTGGCTGCCGTTATACACGACACTGTACGACTGCGAACAAGAGACTAGTAAACATCAGATTGTGGGCGCCGCAAGTGAGCGGCCCTTACCTGATGGCTTGACGACGACGCGGGACGACTTGCACGGCCTCCGGGAAGCAGAGAACAAGAGCTATAAAAGGACTTAAATCTCTCAGGCGTTGAAGCTGTCGAAGCGGGGCGGAGGAAGAGGTCCGTGGTCAGACGAGGGTCCTTCGAGCATTTATATGGCTCATGACACGAGCGCGGGGAAGGAACCCATGTGCCGTCACCCGCTAGCAGCTCCCCAACGAGATACGGCATTGCGCAGGTGATGTCGTCCCATTCTGGGTTGCTAGACAAGAAAGAGACTCCCAGGCGCCGAGGATGTGCAGGGGTAAAGCAACGCTAATCCTTGACACCCAGACCGCCTTGCTGCGTCGCTCGCAATATAATGTGCCTCACGCATTTCTTGGAGTTCGGGCAAGTCGACAAGTGAGGAATGGAATTGCGGAGGTGCTCATAAGATAAGGAAGTGGTGTTACCAAGCAAGATGCTCGGTGGTGGTCTGTGGCGAATCGCGAAGCGGCTGACAAGCGCGCGACGACGTAGCGTGACCCCGATCTAGGGTTGGCTCAGATTACGACCGCAAACGCCGGTTCAATAACTTTATCCGCCATCGTCATGTCCCCGCACCCGCCCGTCTTCACGATCACGCCGACCGCCCAGCAGTACGACTGGGGTAAAGTAGGGCTGTCTTCCAAGGTCGCGCAGTTTGCGAAAGCGACGAATGTCGAGTCGATCGATGAGAGCAAGCCGTACGCCGAGGTCAGTTCACTTCTCCGCGTTCACTTTTAGTTCCGCGGTTCAAACTCGAGGTTGTCGCGGTTTAGCTGTGGATGGGCACCCACACCAAGTCTCCGTCTACTGTCGACGGCAAGCCTCTCTCTGATATACTCGCGGCAAACCCCGCGTTCATCGGGAGCGACGTGGCAAAGAAGTTCGACGCCGCGAACGGGAACTTGCCGTACTTGTTCAAGGTGCTCGCCATTGCGAAGGCGTTGAGTATTCAGAGCCACCCGGACAAGAAGACCGCAGAGAAGCTGCACGCTGAGCAGCCTGATGTCTACAAGGGTGCGTATAGGCTCTGCGTCTGTTTGCTCGGGGTTGCGATGCCCTTCACAATGCATTCCTGACTTGCCTTATGCGTAAGTGATGTCCCGATTGCATACCAGCTGCCGAAGCAGACACGTTCGCTCTCTCCGCCAATCAAGCTGCTTCATGATATCGTACTGACTATGCGCCACTGACAGACCCCAATCATAAGCCGGAAATGGCTCTTGCGATCTCACCGTTCACGGCGCTCTGCGGCTTCCAACCTTTGGAAGACATTGCCAAATACCTCTCCTCGACGCCAGAACTGGCCCAGCTCACGTCTGTGACACCCGAGCAGCTCACAGCATTCACTTCTGCCGACTCTGCCGACGCCAAGTCTACTCTTCGCGCGTTGTTCTCTGATGTTGCTGGCGCATCGGACTCCAAGTTCAAGCCTGCGCTCGAACAGTTGATTGCGCGTTACGAGGCTGGCAAGGAGCACGAGGACGAACGTTCTATCAAGAGCCTCATCCTCACTCTGAACGAGCAGTTCCCTGGCGACATCGGTATCTTCTGCGCCTTCCTGCTGAACATCGTCCACCTGCAACCCGGCGAAGCGATCTTCCTCGGCGCAGGCGAGCCGCATGCCTACGTATCCGGCGGTGCGCTTCCTCTTCCTTCCTCGGTTCTTTCGATGTTCTTGTGCTGACGAACCTTCTTCGCGAAGATATCATCGAATGCATGGCCAACTCCGACAACGTCATCCGCGCCGGCTTGACGCCCAAACTGCGCGACGTGCCCAACCTCATCAGCACGCTCACCTACAACTCTTCCACATCTTCGAAGCACACCGTCAACCCTACGTCGTTCCAGGGAAGCCAGTACACCATGCTCTACGATCCGCCGATCCCGGAGTTCTCTGTGCTGCAGAGTCTGCTTCCGGCTGGCGCGAGCGAGAAGCAGGCTGCTGTTGCTGGGCCGAGTATCACGATTGTTACGGAGGGGACGGCGGAGGTGAAGTGGGATGGAGGATCGCTGAAGGCGCCGGTGGGGACTGTGTTCTTCGTTGCTGCTGGGACACCTATGGAGGTGGCAGCGACCCAGGATAAGGCGGTGCTCTATAGAGCCTTTGTCGAGGCTTGAGACATGGGAAATGGGGTTCTTGGACAGAAAATCGAAGGGACAATGTGTGCAAGCTTGTGGAATTGGGATCGGAATGTACTACTAGCCAAGATGTTCACGATACGAGTGGGATAAACTAAAAGTTATGTCTACGGTTTCATCGCTTCGGGAAAGCGTCTTGACGAGAGACTTTCCGTCAAGATTCCGAGAGACATGGGTTAGGGTTCGGTACCGAAAAGATCAACATGCGTACGCGGAGTCAACGCGGTCATGTCTGCCCGCCCTTACCGGCTGAGGCTGGATGCGTAAAAGCCAACCTTTTGAACTCGAACCACCATCTTGTCTCCGTCCCTCCTCCAAAGCACCCTCCACTCCGTACCACCATCTCCCGTTCCCCAGTGCGATGAGCGTTTGTCTTCAGTCTCGCTGAATATGTTTACAATGTAGTAATAGACTGTATACCATATGTTGCATCTCGTCAAAAGGCCCTGCGCCCATACTGTTACTCTACGCTACATATAGCTCTACTTGAGCATGTTCTCTATCGAATACTAAAATGCGCTACGTTTATAACTGAACTCCAGCGCGCCCAGTAGACCTTGGCACGGTCCCGCTCGCATTTTGTGAGCCGCGTGTTGGCGGCTTACGGCAATACCCGCGGCCCGACGCGTCCGCGGCATTGTCAACGAGATAATCCCCGTATTCCTACAGGTCCCCGGAGCAACCCGTCAATAGCGGGGATGGATGGAGAGGCATGCAGGTGCGTAGTGACCACTATGTTTCGAACATCTATTCATTAAGATAAGGACATTCTTTCAGGTCCATACAACTACGCCCTGTCAAAATACTCGCGAAATGTACACGCTCAGGGCCCAGATCTAGTCCAGGTCACATCTGTACGTTTATTCCTATCTACCCACGCTGCTCTATCTAAGCTTTACTCCAGAATGACGACGAGCATGTCGTCTTGCAATTCATTACAAGCTTCGCATCGCTCCTCGTCTACACCTCGCTGGAGAACATGCAACTCAGCTAGCTCCTCATACTGCCAGACATACATCGCACTAGTCAGCCGCCATCTCCCAGACTCCATGAACGTATCATTCAAGATGACGCTTGGCGGTACGCCGCGCGCCGTGGGCCGCCGACCCGCTGCTGCGGCGAATCTCGGGCACAGCGCGCTCGATAGCAAAAATGGCGACGCATGGTTCTACGGGTCTCGCTCATCGGCCCCTGAACCTGCCTGAATACGTTCTGCGCCCAACGTCTCCCGCGCCCCTGGCGTCTAGCATAGCACAATTCAGCTGTGTGCGTCGTGCTATGTCCGGGACAGGCGGTGCGTGTGCTGGAGAGATCCGGTGCCGCCAAGCTCAGCAGGGTGCGTGGGACGATCGCTGCTTATCTGCATTCTGCTGTGGCACTTGTGGCTGGATCTATACAGTTTTATGCAGGAACTGCGGTCTTATCGCAGCCGGAGCACCATGCTGCACCATGCACAGGTGGTACTCGACACGTCGGCCCCTTGGCGCAATACGCTTGACGACGTCTGCGCCGTCTGGCGTGCTTCGCGGGTGCGGCAGCGACGGTGCAGCTCGCGCAACTTCGTGATGGCATGAGCGAGGGACATGTTCTTGGAAGAATGGTCGTCCACAGACAGTTCTGTTGATCCCAGTCCGCGGGGCCACCAGGCACAGCGGAGGCAGATCTCCTCAGCGTCTGTCGCGGAAAAACTGGTCGTCCACATGGACACCCGCGCCGAGCTCATCGCATGATGTCCGCCACATCGGGCTGAACTTCAATTGCCTCTGATAGCGACTGTGTAGTCGTATTCAGAGTACTCCCTTGGCTTCACACAGGCAGGTTCGTGCGATCAACTGTTATTGTGCTTCTCAAACTTACGATGCGCTGCATAGTATACCTTGCGTCTTACAGCTGGTAGCCCAATTCGATGCTTGCATTCAAAGCGACTGTATCGCGGAGGGACAGTACGGACTGCGGGGGCCATGTGCGGTTATGTCGGGCGTCTTCTGACACCGAACGCAAGATCCATCGACCTCTCTAGCTCCTCCGGCTCGCCTCATGCTGGCATGTCCCGACGTTCCCGTTCGCTGAAGCTTTGCGGAACTGGCGGAGTCAAATCACATTGGACTCGACAGGACTCGACAATGGTCTTCCGCTGCATCCGAAAGCGACCTGTACTGTCCACTTCGTGCATATATGCTGCATCTACGCGTTCTATTCTACGCGGAGTCGTTATCTGGAGGAGGCTCGGCGACAATGGGGATCATAGGCACATCATTCGGACACCTCTGGTCCACTTGGAGCTTCGTTCTGTGTCGTGTGAGACGCAAAGGGCCCGGTCCTTGAACCCGCCCGTCTGGCGGAACATCGTTGATGGGCTGCGAGCTAATTCGCCTTGCAAGGCACGAGCAGAGATAGCGACTTACGTTCGCACAGTATATAATATCCGGCTATAGCTACGGTGCTATCCCGAGTCCCTCCGCACCTGCGTGAGCCCCTTTGCACGGCCGTTCTTGTCGTTGCCTGGACCATATTCCGCACCATGTCTTTCGACGGTGACGAGAAGAGGCTTTCTGCCGACCTCGATATCGAGAAGCAGGGCCTCCCCTACAAGGAGCAGGTCGCGCCTGTCGCCGGCCTTGACGAAGAGGATCCCAACTTCGACCCCGAGGCGGTACAGGTATGCATTTCTACCTTACTGGGCGGGATTATACGTTTCTGACGACCCTTTCCCTCGTCTAGTTCGAGAATGACTCGCCCTACCCCGAGGTTCGCTCCGCCGTGTCCAACACGGACGACCCCGACATGCCGGTCAACACCCTCCGCGCTTGGGTTGTCGGCCTCATCTGGTCCATCCTCATTCCTGGCGTGAACCAGTTCTTCTTCGTGGGTCTTCTCATTCTACCTTTTTCGATCACCTACTCATACGCATATCGTATAGTTCCGCTACCCCTCGGTCACTATCGGTCCCCTCGTCCCCTTGCTGCTCACTTTCCCGGTTATGCGTCTCTGGCATCGCATCATGCCCAATGTCAAGCTCTTCGGCGTTTCGGTCAACCCCGGTCCTTTCACCGTCAAGGAGCACGTTCTTGTCAACGTCATGGCCACTGTCGGCGCTAGCTCTGCTTACGCTGTAAGTTCCTGCATATAGATGCGCAGATTTGACCCTTATACTGATTACTCCTACTCTAGACCGACATTGTAGCCGTCCAGAAGGTCTTCTACAACCAAGACCCGTCTTTCGGCTACCAGTGGATGATGGTCATGTCCACCCAGCTCATCGGTATGTGGTTTTCAGCTTCGAACGCCAAGCTTTGCGCTTATGGCAACCTCAGGTTTCTCTCTCGGCGGTATCTGCAAGCGCTTCCTCGTTGCTCCCCCGAGTATGATCTGGCCCGCCAACCTTGTCTCCGCCACCCTGTTCAACACCCTCCACGGCAGGACGACCGCCGGTGACAACGCTCGTGGCGGTATCTCCCGCGAGCGTTTCTTCCTCTACGTCTTCTGCGGTTACTTCTGCTGGAACTTCGTGCCGAGCTACCTCTTCACCGCCTTGTCCTACTTCCCGTGGGTTACGTGGATCGCCCCCAACAACAAGGTCGTCAACCAGCTCTTCGGCACGGAGACTGGCCTGGCTATGTCTCTCCTCACGTTCGACTGGGCGCAGATTGCCTACGTGCAGAGTCCGCTTCCGATCCCGTGGTGGGCTCAGGCGAACATCGCCTTCGCCGTCGTGCTCTTCTACTGGATCATCACGCCCATCGTCTACGTAAGCGCTCACTGAACTCTTCGCCGAGCAGCGTACTGACAGCTTTCTCAGTACAAGAACGTCTGGTATGCGAAGTTCCTCCCGATGGTCAGCAGCCACTCCTTCGACAACACCGCGGTTCGTTACAACGTCACGGCCATTCTCACACCCGAGGGCAACTTCGACGAGGCGGCGTACAAAGCTTACAGCCCGCTTTTCATCCCCGCCGTCTTCGCCATCTCTTACGGTCTCTCGTTCGCGTCCATGACCGCCATCATCGTCCACATCTTCCTCTACTACCGCAAGCAGATTTGGACTCAGGCGCGCCGCTCGCTCTCGGAGCAGCCCGACATTCACGCTCGCCTCATGTCCGTCTACAAGGAGGTACCCGAGTGGTGGTATGCCATCATCTTCGGTGCGTTCTCTCCCTACTAGTCAGCCGTTCTTGTGCTGATAGCATATCCAGTGACCATGTTCATCTTTGGTATCATTGTCGTCGAGGTTTGGCATACCGGGATGCCCGTCTACGCCTTTGTCATCGCGCTCCTCATCTGTACGTTCACGACGTTCAGTCGAGCGATCAAGTTTATCTGACCCAACCGTCTATAGCCATCTCCCTCACGGTTCCCATCGGTATCATCCAGGCCATCACCTCCAACCAGCTTGGTTTGAACGTCATCACTGAGTTGATCATTGGTTACATGGTTCCCGGCCACCCCATCGCCATGATGCAGTTCAAGGTATGCATGTTCAGCGCTTTGGCCCGGCGATCCTATACTGACCCGCTGTTCATCAGACCTGGGGCTACATCACCATGACTCAGGCCCTGCAGTTCACGCAGGATCTCAAGCTCGGTCACTACATGAAGATCCCGCCGCGCCCTATGTTCTGGTGCCAGGTCGTCGCGACCGTCATCGCCGGTACCGTCCAGCTCGGTGTCCAGTCGTGGCTCTTCTCCAACATCGCCGGCATCTGCACGAGCGAGGCGGACAACGGCTTCTCCTGCCCCAGCACCACTGTCTTCGGCACGGCGTCCGTCATCTGGGGTGTCATTGGTCCCCAGCGCCAGTTCTCAAAGGGCCAGATGTACTACGGCCTCACGTTCTTCTTCCTCGTTGGCGCTCTTGCTCCCATCGCTCAGTACGTGATGCACAAGAAGCTCCGCTGGAACTGGATGAAGTATGTCAACTTCGTGAGTAACCTTTCATACCCATCGCATTGCACTCCGAGATTGACTCCCTTTCCAGCCCGTCATCTTCTCCGGCACTGGCTACATCCCGCCCGCGACGCCGCTCAACTACGTCCCGGCCGCCATCGTCGGTTTCATTTTCAACTACGTTATCCGTCGCCGCAACTTCGCCTGGTGGTCGAAGTACAACTACGTGCTGTCCGCCGGTCTCGACTCGGCGTACGCCATCGGCACGATCATCATCTTCTTCTGCCTCCAGTACCCGCGCAGCGGCACGATTGGTGCCAACACCATCCAAACGTGGTGGGGCAATGCCGGCTGGTACAACACCGTCGACGGCAGCGGTACGCCGTACTACGAGCTTGCTGAGGGCCAGACTTTCGGCCCTACGTCTTGGTAATGATCTTTATGTATGCCTGGGGTTTCTCTGTAGGATTTGGATGTAGGGTTGATAGATAGTGTAATACGAGCGTGCTGCACCTCTCAACCGCACCGTGTGACAGGAAAGAGGATCATGGGCCCACGCCTTCCGCCGAGTTGCCGCCTAACGACATGACGACGAGTGTAGACACTGTTACATGAGGTTGGTATGCGAAGCGAGAAGTACTCTATCCTGCAATGCAGACGCTTGTGACAGTATCAGGGGTGCAAGATAGAAGCCACTATCGGTGATATGTCAGTCAAGTCCACGAGGAACAACATGAAGAACGAACAGAGAGCGTCGGCATCATCAGGATCGCCGTCAAACGGGTTATAGAACTCATCAAGAAATTCTCTATGGGACATGGCGTCGCGCGCAATGGAGGCAACTTGGTTACTTTTCGTGTCTCCGAGTTGCGCGATTCCCTGGGATAGAGCCTACAAGCGTGTTCAGGATATTTGAAACGCTCTGGAGCGATCGACACATACTTTGACATCGGCGGTGTTGTAGATGCGCATAGTAAACTCACACCCATCCCTCTCAATGACTTTGACCTTGCAAGGGCGAATGCGGTTAATCTGGTTGTCTTCAAGCTAACGATGCGCAAGATCAGCTGAGATGTGGAGGTATATTCAAACAATGACGTACATGGTATCGCTCCTTAGCTTCAGTGCGTGTGAGAGTGCCGCCGGCGATCCGAGGCACAACTTTCCCTGCCGGCGTACCGGCTTGCAAGGTCTTCACCATCTCAGCAACTTTGGCGTGGATACGCTTCACGTCGCGGAGACTATGCTTGAGAATCTGTCCGTTCTTTGGGGCGTTAGGCTCGACACTGTCTAGATCTGTTCGCCCTAGACAGAACCGAGAGCACGCTTCCTCCTCGTCCTGAGATACATTAATGGTTAAAACACCAAACTGTGCCCTACCGAATGCTACTTACGATCAAGCGTTCAGTTTCGGGCGCGCGACCGGCTTCAGATTTACTGGTCTTTGAGGTAGAAGCTCGAGGCATGAGTACTGATGAGTGAGGGTGTGGGGCAAGATACGTTTAATGGGGAAGCCACTCAAAGCCAGTCATATAAACGAGCGGAAGCAACCAGGGATCGGCCGAAGAGCGCACATTATGTGTGGCGTAGTCGCGGAGGTCAATAACCGCCCAATGCACGCGCCGGACGGTGGCAAGCCGGCAGGTGTCTCCGCATCGGTCCTTGATCTGAGGCCATGAGCGAAGGGAATGTGCAGGACGAGGACCGAAGATAATGCTACTCTCTGTTGTAAAGCAGAGACTAGACTGCGTCGGTGCCGGGAAGCAGCAACTTCCGCTAGGCTCGCATTATACATCCGAAGGGCTAGTCAAGAGCGCTATGACTTCCAATATCGCCCTCGATGGTACTTGTAGCATCACACAGCTCAAGCGAAGATAGGGGAGTACGAGTATGGCATGACAGTACACCAATCCTTTCAAAGCGGAGTAGTGGTGGTTCGTGGGCAGGTTGTAGTTGAAACGTTCAACGCCGAAACTCGAACCGATGGCCCCGGATCCGTGTCGGCCGAATTATGCCGATGAATCTCCCCTCGCATCCCTCAATTCAATGCTACACGACAAAGATGCGTAGCAGCATAATGGCATATGTTCTTGGAAGGCTGCATACACTCCAAGTGTTGCTCATGTCACTTGTCGCAAGGGAACGGGCCAACATCCAAGCATCGAACGTTGCGCAATAATTGGCTGCGTCGTGTTCACAAGCACTTGCCGATACATTGATTGCATTAGTAGATACAAGTACACCGGTATGCTGTAGGGGATTTGCCATCATTAACGAGGCTCCATCATTTCGGGCTGATGGGATCTTGATAGCACTGGCATTCAGTGGCCGGCCCACTTGAAGATACCGGCCACTACATGCATCCATTAGCCAGATGTACGACTCGGATGAGCGATACTACTTACTGTCCGCAGCGGCATCATCAGCAGACATCCCGTCAAAGCGGTTACGATCGTTGTAGTAGCCAGAGTTACGTCCGCGTGAAGAAGTGCTGGGGTATTGCTGCTGTGGCGCTGCCGCCGCAGGAGCAGGTGTGCTTGACAAAGAGGCAATGCCATCGCGAAGAGCCTACGGCATACGCTTAGTATGACTGTCTTCTGACTCAAGATACAATTCAACATACCCGTACGTCGGACACATTGTAAATCCGCATCTGCTGACCAGGCGCATGTGGGTTCGGCTTCACGATACAGGGAAGGATCCTGTCTATCTGATTGTCATTGAGCTATGGATCGATAGGCAGTGTAAGCAGAAAGGCATGTACCAAGTCAAAAGAGCAGCGTACGTTGTATTCCTTCTTAGCATTTGTGCGAGTAATCGTGGCTCCGCGCTTGGGCACTGTGTCTCCTGCAGGTAGGCCTTGCTGAAGAGTCTTCCGCAATTCGACGACCTTGGCATGGACCTGCTCCACATCGCATAGGTTATATTTGATAATGTTGCCGTATGCGCGCGAGTTGGGTTCAATGCTGATCGGCTTGATGCTGTCGAGATCGGTCGAACCTAAGCCGTAGCGGCTGTAGGCGTCTGTTTTGCTCTGTGAAATGACCTCTGTTAGACAACTGCAGTTCGCACACACTGAGGTGACAACATACGATCCAGGGGCCATTAGGGACCGCAAACTCTGTAGTCATTTTGTCTAGGGAACGCGCGTGGCGATGCTGGTAGATGGCAAGCGAGAGGGGAGATGGCAGCCGTGGCAATGGTAAACCGGGAAAGGGGATGGATGTCGTGTGAATGCCGAGCATACAGCAGCGGCCAGCTTTATACTTGTGGACGAGCGCTTACGCGGCATCTCAGGACAGTCTTATTACGCCAATCTGCACGAGATCGGAGCCGAACAACTCGACGTATCAACGCCACAGACCTAGGAAAAGAGGCCGTACAAAGCCAGAAGAACCAAAAGCGGTCATCGGGCGTCGCCGCGTCGGTATTAGTCGTGGTGAGTAGGCAGTCTCGATGTGCTGTTTTGTCATCTACGTATCCAGTCTTCTGATGCCTCACGCACATATAGTGCACAAGCCAAACGTTGTACATTGTTCTTTGGATACAATGGGAATGGCGGTGGTGGTTCAACTGCAAGGACGACAAGTGTCATGTTCGGCGTCTCCGTTGACTTCGGCCGGATCTTGCCGTAATAACACGATCAGCGTGACTTTATTCCGCATACGCGTCCGCAGTCGCTGCAACCTGCCTGATCCCACGTTGGTACCGAAGTTGCTTCGCGACGCGCGCAAGGTGCCTCGCTCAGGATGCAGATCCACTAGCGCGGACACTGGGTACATGATGATGTCTATTGGGACAAGTAGTGGTCTATTGGACGACAGAACGACGCGGTCTAGATAGGGGCATAAAAGCTCGTTTGGCATCAAGGCTCGAAGCACCGAAGGGATACGCCAACCAGTAGGCTCTTCATCAGTAAGGTGCGGCGCGGCCGCGCGAGCCCTTTCCAGAACGGCGTCGAGGGGCTGGGTTCATCACACGAGCGACTTTAGGATGTCGTTAGGTATGTTTTCGAATAAGGAAAATGGTCAACTCACAGAGATCATCGGCGTCATCGTGGGGCATGTTGCTAAAGATGTTGTAGTCTGGATCGTAAGGGCCCGTTCGGCAACCGAGTTCAGCCCGAATTCCGCGTGAACTCCAGAGTTCAGCTGCCTTTTAAGGCAGGATTAGTCAGCAAGCTGAATTTTCCAGAGCCTTCTGTCCAATCAGGTGGCGCGAACTCCGCTGAACTTCTGAAATTGTGGCCCGAACTTTGTTACCGAACGGGCCCTAAGGGCTTCCGTATGGGATGGCATTGTGCGCCGCGAGCGCGTCCGCAGGAGCAGGTCGATCCTTGAGACTGGCAATACCGTCCGCGAGTGCCTGTGGTACACGTTAGTGGCGGTGTCATGAAAGCTTCGTTGAGTATGTACGCACTTGCACATCACAGACGTTGTATATCCGCATTGGAGAAGCGCTCGAGCGGTGGGGGTTGGGCTGAATACGGCGCGGTCGAATGCGGTCCATCTGGTTATCGTCAAGCTGAAGACTGTCATAAATTTCGTGGTTCACAAGTAGCGGTTCTCGCACGCACCTTATAATCCCTCTTAGCCTGCGTCCGTACGATCGTTTTACCATTCACGGGCACAGTATCTCCCTCAGGCGCCCCAACTTGCAATGTCGCCACCATATCGACAATCTTGGCACGGAGGAGCCGAACGTCGCATTCGTTGTACTTGTGAATATAACCATTGCCACTACTGTTGCGCTCAACGCTGACGGGTAGGATGTTGTCGAGGTCCGAAGGGCCGAGAGAGTAGCGGTCATACGCCTGCGTCTTGGTCTGCATGGGTCTGGTAAGCGCACGCCGATCATCTTGTGAGAGTAGGTACTGACGCACAATCCAAGCGCCGCGCGCAGGGGCGCGTTCGGCAGCGCCACGGGTTGAGGTAGAAGCGCGAGGCATTATGCGGGGGTGAGGATGCGAGTGTGAGGATGCGAGATTGAGGATGCGAGGGTAAGGATGCGTTGGTGAAGATGAGTGAGTGGGGCTAGCTACAACGCCCCGATTCGACGTATATATGACCGATGTACGGTTCAGAGCGTGGGTCCGGATGCAATAGACACTCGGCCGCCGAAGTGCGCAACATGAGGCTGGCTTCTTTCAACGATGATAGGCGCCCACAGTGACGACGCCCGACCCACTCACACCGAAACCGAGCCCGAGGATGGGGATAATTCAGCGCCTTCATGTGTACGCATACTGTACACATACTATGATAAGCTGGCATAGTATGATACAAAAGCACTCGAAGTCAATGAGAAGAACAGGACTCAAGCTGCGAATCAACTGTAAGAGATACTAGACGAAATATATGCGTAAGAACATCGGAGCGGTATGGCATTGGACTCAAACGCAAGAAAATCAAGACAGCGATGCAGGTAAGTACTTGGTAATGAATATCCCTGCATGTCCGGGGCCGAGGGCCGGAGACTCGTATCGGTCAGGGAGGAGTGGCGCGGTTGCGCGACTGGCGGCTTCTAGGTTGAGGGCCAAGAAGGTTCAACCGTTCAGCACGTAGGCGACTGATATCATTCTTTAAGCAATAGCTAGATCGCAAGGGGATGCGGACTCACGAAGATTTGCGGCATCCAACGATGAGAGACCGTCGAACGGGTTGTAATCATCATCCCAGCGGTTTCCATAAGGTATGGCGTCGTGTGCGATTTGTGCGTCCAGAGGTGCCTCCATAGCTCCGAGTCCTTCAATAGCATGCGCCAGGGCCTGCGCGATGTTAGTATACGCGTATGCACAGGATTGGCATGAGGATCACGTACCTGAACGTCGACGACGTTATGAGTGCGCATCGGAGTCCGTTCTGCATCATACGGGTTTGTTTCTATACGACAAGGACGGATGCGGTTGATCTGGTGATCGTTCAGCTGTGAGGGGTATGCCGGGTCAGCCTTACTAGGCATACACTGTGCAATGCAACGATCACGCACGTCATAGTCCTTCTTAGCCTTCCAGCGCACGAGCACATCGCCATTCTCGGGCACGGTGTCGCCTGGAGGCGCATCGACTTGCAAAGTCTTGACCATTTCGGCGACCTTGGCGTGGATGAGCTTCACATCGCACAGGTTGTACCTGTGGATGTAGCCGCGGCCGTGGGGCTTGATGTCCGTGGGATGAATGCTGTTCAGATCTGTGGCTCCCAGACGGTATCGAGAGTACGCTAGCGTCTTGCCCTATAGAGATGATTAGCAGGCCATTGATTCGCTGAAGTAATTGCGGCGTACAATCCAGGCGCCGCGCGCAGGCGCACGGCTGGTGGAAGGAGCGCGTGGCATACTGTGCGAGATGAGGGTAAGGGATGAGAGGTAGCGAGGGGCTGGCGGTCAGTTCAACACTGGTTTTACAGTGTCTGACCGGGGACAACGGAAATTCCGGCCGCCGAGGTGCACAACACGAGGTTCGCACTGGAGGTTGAGACTAGGCGAGTCATAACATCCGACATCCTCGCGATTAGTGAACGATGTTTGCAGAATTTCAAGGTCGACAGACATGATATTCCGTGAAACGTGTCCGTGAGGACACTCCTCTATAACATATAGAGTGCAAAGGCGTTGTACAGCGCCAAATTGGGCAACGTCGTGGTTGAAAGTGAGTCATTTGCCAAGCAAGTCCGAGACAACGTTCTTCGGCCGGATCTTGCCGCAACGCGATCACCGTGACTTTACCCCGCATTCTCTGCAACTGCAGGTTGCTTTACCCCACGTTGGTCCCGATGCTGCTTCGCTGTGGGTCTCGCTCTCTGCTGTATCGGTCTTACGCGCGCTTGCTGCACTCTACCTCGATAGTGCAAGCGCGTAAGGTGCTTCAGAAGTTCAAGCTCGCGGACATTGGCGAAGGCATCACCGAATGCGAGGTCATCAAGTGGTACGTTCCCAGCGACCGACATCTACGCCTAGTCACCGAGCATCCAGATCCTTTAGGAACGTGACGCCGAACCGAACTGTTGCTCAATTCGACCCACTTTGCGAAGTACAGAGTGACAAGGCTTCCGTGGAGATCACTTCGCCGTACGATGGGACTCTTAAGGAGCTGCTGGTGAAGGAGGGCGAGGTTGCACGCGTCGGCGAAGCGTTGTGCATCATCGAAGTTGACGACGAGGCAGCCGAGCAAGTGGGTGGCTCGGTCACCGAACCGGTCGAAGCTGAGGCTGCGCGGCCGCCGCTCACGCCCGTGGATAAGCGAGAGACGGACGCCATCGAGAACGCCCGGCCAGCGTCCGAGGAGGCGTCTGACGCTGAGCCGCCCGCTCGGCCACGCAAACCACATCCCCTTGACCCAAATGCGCAACCGTCTTCGATCGACACAAGCTCGGATGTGCTTGCTTTACCGTCCGTTCGACACTTCGCTCGGCAAAGCAGCGTGGACATATCACTGTTAGCGCCTGGGTCAGGGAAGAACGGACGCGTCGAGCGTTCTGATGTCGAGCGTTATCTGTCTCAACCGAAAGAAGCGCCCGCTTCTACTCAGGCTGTATCTCGAGAAGACGCTGTGATCGAACTCGGTCGCACACGGTACGGCATGTGGAAGGCAATGACGAAGGTATGCGTGCCACAATGAACGTGCGTGTGGCGATTTCTGACCCGCCTTCTGCAGAGCTTGGAGATACCGCACTTTGGCTATACGACGTATCTTGACTTGACAGCTCTCGACGCTCTTCTACCTCAGCTGAACCAGCATATACCCGCGCACTACCTGCCATCATCATCCTCACCGTCAAGACCACCGCTTGTATCACCATCAGCCTTTGCAGCACCACCTTCACATCCCGAAGTCCCCGAGCATGCGCGGTACCACAAGTTGACATACCTCCCAGTACTGCTCAAGACGCTCTCCCTGGCTATGTCCGAATGGCCGCTGTTCCGCTCTTCACTCACGTCCGGATGGGAGGGCAAACCGACCATGACGCTGCGCCCGCACGCAGACATCGCGATCGCGCTCAGCACGCCGACCGGGCTCTATACTCCGGTGCTACAACGCGTTGATACGCAGCCCGTATACACACTCGCGTCCGAACTACGCCGTGTCGCGCACCTCGGTCGTCAAACGCCCAGCGCCCTCACACCAGCAGACATGCCGAAGCGCGGCGCCACACTCACCGTGTCCAACGTCGGAGCCGTCGGAAAGGGTACCGGCGCGGCGCCTGTTCTGGTACCCGGCGGAGGCGTTGCAATTGTGGCGCTCGGGCGTGCGAGGTGGGAGATGGACTATGATGAGTTTGACGGGGAGAAGAGGTTGAGGTTGCCGATTAGCTGGGCGGCGGACCATCGTGTTGTTGAGGGCGCGGAGCTTGCTGCGTTTGTTGAGACTTGGAGAGGATGGGTTGAGAATCCGACGAGGCTCGTTGGGACTGGGGTTTGACGAAAGAAGACAATGGACTGGATTTCGAATGTATCATATTATCACAGTGCGGTTGATCTACTACAGGCTATCGCAATTACAATGGACGGCTTTTTGCGCTCGATGCGCAACCTGACTTTTCGTGGACTGCCGATTCGAACAGGACCACTCCTATCCGCAACATTTTCTTCCTGCTTCAGACCAGCATCTCTCGCGCGACCGCCGAAAGTCTGACCGACAGAATAGCAACGAGCAATCCAGCAACAAAAGCCAGCACCGCGACCAAGCTCGTCGGCAAAGCCGCCTTCTGCGCCGAGGCCGCAGCTTTCCTCTTCGTCGCCACATGGGTCGGAAGGCCACTCTTCACCTCGGTGATACAAGCCCTAGGAACCTTATCCGTCTCAAGGGCCGTCTTCAAAGCAGGCAGCCCATCGATACTCTGCGTGTTCCACTCTTTCCACAACTTCTTCAGCCCTACACCCTCGTCCTTCTCGGTCTTGACTGCAAAGTTCGTCAGAGTATCCCTGGGGCCGACGTATTGATAGAATGGGACCGCAAAGCCGCAGGACTGTCAAAGGCGCGCGTTAGTAGGTGGCAGAGACGGAAGGGTGGGCGATGGCATGAGACGCACCGTGCCAACTTTGTGTACGTCGATGACGATCGCTGCCCGCGAACCCGGCTGGCGCTTGCCGGGCGGTAACAGCTCGTCGTACTCCGGCGTCCCGAACTCATGCACAGTCCCTCTGCCGAACAGACGCAGTATACGTGGCCCTCCCTCAAAGGCCTGAAATAGGATCGTGATGCGCCCGTTCTCGCGCAGATGTGAGATCGTCTCCGCGCCTGTTCACTTCCTCTCATCAGCGTTGATCGCATCAGTGCAAGGAGTATGACGCGCACCGCTGCCTGTCAAGTCCTCATACCACACCCTGTTCTTGTCCACGATGTGGAAGGTCCCTTCTACGCCTTTCGGTGAGACGTTGACGTGTCCTTCACCGTCTAAAGGCGCTGTCGCGACCCAGAAGCACTTCTGAGTTGCTGCCCATTCGATCAGGCGCTCGGGGATGTAGTCGTGGAATGTGCCCATGATGGTGGTGCCTAGACAAGTCAAAGACGTAGCACTGAGCAGACTACCGCATATCCCCCCAGGCCCGGGGTTACGCGTTCTAGCGGCAGGGCTAGTCACGCTGTTTGCACGTTCAACCGTCCGCAGACCCAGTCTTGCATGGAGAGAGGCTTCGTGTACGGGGACCACTCGCCGAAGGTTGACGTTGATTATACACGCCGAACCATCTACGAAATCTGATAACCAAATGGCATGATCAATGTTGTACATACAATCGTAGAGTACACTTCGAGGCCCTCGCCCATCGCGATGCGCGACTTGCTTCAGACCACCATCTCCCGAGCCACGGTAGAGAACCTCACAAACACAATCGTCGCGAGGATGCCCGCGGTGAAAGCCAGAAGCAAGTGCACGACTGAATGCTGCGCGCCTTTCTGCGCCGAAATAGTCTGTGTAGATCTGTACGTTGGAAGGCCGCCCTTCACCTCCTTGACAGCGGCGTCCGGGACAACATCCGTCGTCGGCGCCGTCTGCAAGCTAGGGAGACCATCCACGCTGCGGACGTTCGTGTCGTTCCAGTACTTCTTCAACGCCGCGCCTTCGTTCTTCTCCATCTTGACACCGAAATTGGTCAAGGTGTCCCGCGGGCCGACGTATTGGTAGAACGGAACACCCCATCCGCAAGACTGCAGACCTGCATCACTACGGGCTCAGAGAGTTTCGTTTGGAGAGGGGGACGTACCGTGCCGACGCGGTGAACATCTACCACAATCGCGGCTCGTGAGCCTGGTTGCCGTTTGCCTGGCGGGAGGAGCAGTTCGTACTCCGGCGTGCCAAACTCGTGCACAGTGCCTCTCCCAAAGAGGCGCAGGATGCGCGGGCCACCGTCGAATGCCTGGAACAAGATCGTGATGCGCCCATTCTCGCGCAGATGGGAGACCGTTTCGGCGCCTATCAGCCTCGCGGCTCATCAGATCCAATCCTCGCGCAGAGGTGCATACCACGTACCGCTTCCCGTCAGATCCTCATACCACACTCTGTTCTTATCTACGACATGGAACGTCCCCTCTACGCCCTTGGGAGAAACGTTGACATGCCCTTCGCCGTCTAGGGGTGCTGTGGCGACCCAGAACGCCTTCTGCTTCTCGGCCCAGTCGATCAAGTCCTCTGATATGCAGGTTGGCAGGACGGTTGTGGCAGTTGAAACGAGGATAGCGCACCGGGGATGTAAGTGTAGGTCTTGCCCATGATGGAGGTATCGGTGTAGTTGAATAGCGCTCGGCAGTATTTATCGTCATCATGAGCACCTCAGCTGACGTCGAGTCGAAAGTCCGATATTGACGTTCAAGTTGGCATGCATTACGCAGTCTCACTCTCTGAATCAACGGCGGCACAAGCATGCTACAGTCATTGGCCGTCACGTTGCACACCCCCGCCACGTTGCACGGCCTGCCTGCCCGACCCTCACCAGTACGTATTTCGCGCTGGAACTTCGTTAGGTACCTATTTGGGCTGCGTAGACACAATGGAATTTTTTTCGCGCTCAAAATCCGTACCGTATTGGCTACAGCAGGCCTGTGAAGCACATCAAAAGACGGATGAGCTCGCCGGCGGTCAAATACCGGCCATTTTAGACTGAAAAAAATATGATAGGTGCACCATACTACAAATATTGGGTGTACAAAAAATCTCGGCGAGAGGCGGAGGAGTCGGTCTCAGAGAGTCTACGCAGTTTGAGCCTGCACAGATGTTGGATTGATGGGATCACGTGGCGTTCAAGACGCGTCAAACGCGGTTGCCCACATCTTGCCGCCCTCGACTCCCGACTGCCCTGCGCGCGTTGTGCGCTACCACTCGTATTTCAGCACCGGACTCTGACGTACATCTGTCGAGAAGGTAGAGACACACATTGTGCTCCAATTAACAGCTTACCAATTCCCTAGTGCTGCGAACTTAAGGCATGCCTCGAAAAGCAAAGGCAGACTCGGTGAAGAGGCGGGAGGCACAGCTGGAGTACGATGGACTTGTAATGCGAGCAGCTGAAGAGTATGCATGGGAAGTGGAGAAGGCTGAGGGGAACCCACCACTACGAGGAGTTAGAAAAGTCAGCAACGATGTCTCGCAGGCTTACTACGAAGAGACGGGTCGACGCATCTCTGTCAAATACCGGACTGTTCTCAATCGATACAAAGGCACACCTAGTCTTTTAGAAAAGCGAGAAGAGCAATCATTGCTTCATGATTCGGAGAAGCGCCTCGTCATCAGTCTATGCGAAGAAGGTGCCGACTGTGGCTTTCCTCTCACACACATGCCTCTCAAGGACCTCGTGGACTCAATCGTGCGCTCACGCGACCCGCATTTTGTTGGTGTCGGCCAGAACTGGACCAAGCGGTTCATCGAGCGCACACCCGAGCTTAGCACACTTTGGACCCGTGGGCTTGAGACGAAGCGCGGGCAGGCCGTCAATCCCGCTGCACATGAAGCATGGGAGAAGATGCTGGCCGAGAAGGTTGATGGGACACCCGAAGAATGTCTGCTCGCGGCCGACGAAGTGAGCATGACAACCAATCACGGCGAGAAGCATAAGGCCATCGGACGAGCGGGAAAGAAATACGTATACGAGCAACGATCCGGCTCGCGCGAGAATACCACAGTTATCGCAACAATCGTCGCAGATGGAACATACCTTGCACCAGCTGTCATATTCAAGGGTACTGCATATCAGACATCGTGGAAGCAGAACAACCCTTTGAACATGTCGTAAGTACTTGTTTATCTACTAGCCTGGAGACAATCCTAACCTTCTACAGTATTGGTTACTCACGAAAGGGCTGGACAAATGCCATAATTGGCACAGAATGGATCAAGCAGGTCGAGGAAATGACACGGGAGAAGGCTGCCGGTCGTCGCCGTGTCCTCATTGTCGATGGGCACAATTCGCACTATGCCTACAAAGCAATTCGATATGCTCGCGAACACAATATGGACATGCTATCGTATGCTGCACACACCACCCACGTCTACCAAGGGCTTGACGTCGTTGCTTTCGCTACCCTGAAGAAGTTCTGGGCTCAGGAAAAGTTGCTCTGGGAGAAGAAGCACGCACCCATCACGAAGCAGAACTTCCTCGAACCGTTTGCACGCGCGTGGACACGCGCAATGACCCCCGAGACAATTCGTTCCGCCTTTCGGGCGACCGGCGTCAACGTACACGGTTCTGAGGAGACCGGTGTCCGCAGTGACCTTTCCGTCATACCCGAGACCGCCCTCGCACCGAGCCGTGCCACCACAACATCTGCAGTCATGCCCTTCACCTTCGCGTCACCTTATCGTGCCCTCGGTCGTATTATGCGTCATGCCATCACGAGTATCGACGAGGATGAGGTCGATCCAGTCATCCAAGGTTCACGAGATCTGCAACGCGACCTTCTGAAGACGTCAGCACATTTCCTCGCCAGTAACAAGCCACTCAAATCGACAGACGAACTCCCGGAGCTCGTACCCCCGGCCATCTCACAGCATCACGTCCCCCAGGAGCTGCTCGAGCTTGTGCCCGAGACTGCCATTGAAGCGCAGATGCAGGAGCAGATGCGCCTGCTCGCAGAGGAGAACAGGCAACTCCATTGGGCCCGAGAAAACGAGCGTGCCTATCTCGTGACAAGCCAAATGTATGTTGAGAAGGCACGGATGGAGATACATGGGAAAGAGGAGAAGGCAGAACAGAAGAAGAAGAAGGGGAGGATTGATATGGGGATGCCATCTCTACTCACAGGAGTTGATTTCATGAAGGTCGTCGAGAGGCGCGAGAACCTCAATCAGGCAATAGACGATGTGAAAGAACTTCGTCGGGAAGCACAGGAGCGGTACAACGAGGAGTGTGCGCAATGGCGAGAAAGGAACGAGAGGCGCCTTCAGGAAAACCAAAAGCGCAGGGACCGGTATCACGCGATGTTGCGCAAGTGGGAGGAAGTGCGCGACGAGGCGAGGAGGGAGGGACGACGCGGGAAGCTGCCCGTGAAGCCGAAACAGGGCAAGCTTTTGCCTCCGGAACCGAAGCCTGTGCAGGAGAGATTTCCGGACCCCGAGATTGAGTCGGATGATGCAGAGGATGATGCAGAGGACCAGGAGGTGGAGGTAGACGGAGAGGAGGAAGACGAGGTCGAGTGTTGAACGCGCGTGCACCGCGGCGCGACGCGTTCTGATAAGATCGCGGAAAGAATTTCCTTTTTTGGCGTGTGCAAGCTGACATCCGCGCATCGCGTCGTCGCGATCTTTACACACACGTCTCTGGCTGCAGCCACACGGTAGATCTTTTTCATATTGCATACGAGTAGTCTTACAGCTAGCTCAATAATGACTATCTAAAATTTTAGAGCAAAAAGTAGGTACAGCGTGGGAGCGAGGCGGTCGAAATTTCGGCGTGCAACGTGACGGCCAATGACTGTACATCCAATCTGAGCCTGCGTAGTCTAGTGTATAGGTTGCGCCGTAGGCCATGATAATCATTTGTCGCCACCCAACACGCACAACTTCAAGTGCCCTGCCATCGGAGCGGATCGTGAGGCCCGGCTTAAGCCAGAGCCGCTACGGGGAACTCGCCAATCCTCAGCTTCGTAGCCTAGAGTCCGGGGAACATCGGTCAAAGACGGATTGGTCACGGAAACATGAATGGACGTACGCCGTATGGCCAGAGCGTGATGTGCTTCTCTTCGCCCACGCACGCTGGGTTTTCAGGCGGAGGTGCAGCAAACATGTCGCCATCGAGAGCCCATTCGACCTCACATGCCTTCGCGGAGATCGTGGTCGGAGGACGGCCGGCATCGAAGATAGGAGAGGGAAGCTTGTCCACCTTCGCATTCTCGAACGTGAAGGAAGATGGATCGAGAGCGTAGCGCCATTCACCGGTGGGTGTGAAGGCGTAATCCACGGCACGCGGCTCTTTGGGATCCCGAGCGAGAATGGTCGTCGCTCGAGGGATCTCAAACGCGTAATGGAGTGGACCACGGTGGACGGCAATGGAACCATGTGGGCGCGACTCTGAACATGTTCGTGAGCGGCGAAGTGCAGGTTGTGTGTAGAAGATCAGACGCGCCTGTCGTGATCTCGGCTGGTAGACCAAGTATGATAGTCGTAGTGCCGGCGCTGACGGATATTGCTTGCAGCCCATCCACAGGAGATAGGGTCACAGCCGATGCGTCGTTGACCGAAAGACTCCCTTGCTTGATCCAGCTAGGGATGCGTACGTAGTAGGTGAAAGGCTTCTGCGCGGTGATAGTGACAGTGATAGCATCGCTGAACGGGTAGAGGGTCTCAACACCAGCCGTTACAGCATTGCCTATACACAGCGTCAGCGTGAATATCGCGTGCAAACGACATCTGCAGTACCGTTGAGGAGCGTGGTAGACGCGTTGAAGGGACCCAGGTATAACTGCACCAGCGCGTCTCTGGCTTGTGTAGTCACGAAGGCGTTGGTGATGAACTTTGGCCAGCCTACAGGATGGTCAAGGACGGCGTGTGATGAACATTATGATTATTCACCTTGATGGAAGTTGACAGTACAGCAACTGGTGGCATGTTGAGTTGACCTCAGGTATTACATCGCAATCACTTACGGATAGTTAGGCTCCAATCCGAAGACGTTCGAGTACGGTCTAAGGAGCAATAAGGGGTCGGCTGCATGGGAGAAGCATACGAACTTACCCGTCTTCGGGGAATGGGTTCGGGGTCATGTTCTTCGCGGCTACCTGGTTCTGCTGCTGGAGATACTGCCTTGTCCACATGTCTATCGAAAACAGTCAGAGATGGGTATGTTCCTCCGTACGGGGAACGTACCTCCAGTCAACGTCGCAGGCAGCGCGTTGTAAGCCATGCGCTCAACCTGAAGAGGGGTTCAATCGGACGTTCGAGCGGTCGACATGTGCCGTACCTGATCAGCGTACTTCAGATCACCGGTGACCTGATAGAGGTAAGAGCCTCTGCGCAACATGAGTGGGCCTCGGACACATGAATGCCCGTAGATGCTTACGAGAACATCGCCTCCTACGCATCATCAGCGGAGTATAACAAGAAGCGTGACGGGAAATGACCAACCACGACGAGGCAGAGCTCAGTACTGTATCGTCATGTTAGCCATGTCGAGGAATGCGTGTGGTGAATGAGACGCACCCGCGAACAGGATCCAAGCCAGCGAGGAACTCGTCTGCAGCGAAGGCACCTTTGACGAGTTTGATCACAAGAGTGTTTCAAGGGGCTGCCTGCGCGGCCTTGCTCACCGGAGGGGCGTCCGTGGTACTTGAAGAGCATGTCCCAGCCCTTACTGATCCTCTCAAGGTCTAGATAGGTTTGGTGACGCGTGAGAACGAACACGATGAAGAAGACGGGCTTCCGCTTACCGGTCACATTGTGCGTGAAACGGTATGTGGCAGGAAGAGCTTTCAGTCCCTCTGCGATGTTGACACCGTGCCAAGTCAGCTCTTCGAACGGATTCTCGTAGTTCTCGGCTGGTCCTGGTGGGAAGAACTGGGATTCAGTCAGCCACCGCGACAAAGTATATGGCGCACGCACAGTTACCTCCTCACTCAGCACTAGCTCCCAAGGATCACCAGTCGCCTTTGCCATCTTCATGGTGTCAATGAGAAGCTCTTCCTGCCCCGGAGAGTGCCCGTTGTCGTACATCCTGACAACGTCGAATCAGTCAGCCGTAGCTCAGGGTGCTCGTAAGAGACAAGCGAACCATTGAAGCATGATCAGGAAGTCAGACCAACGAGTTGCAGCCCACTTATCAACGCCTTCGCCTGCGTGCATCATCTTGTTCGCAAGAGGAATGAACCTATTGAACGCCGCTACGACCCGCTCGGTCTGTGACGGGTCGTACTCGACCATCTGGATGGCGCCGAGGAAAAAAGGATATCTACCAACATGAGATGAGCGACCATATCAGGTAAACGAGGTTACACCACTGACCTTCCCCACAGCATTCTGGGTTTCGTGGTATTCACTTCGGGCCCAAGCCAACCACTCTCATCTTGATGGTCGAGTACATAGTCGAGAAACTCTTGCGTTTTCGCGAGAAGTTCCTTGTTGCCGACGAGCACGGCGTTCGGCACCATCCCATTCTGTGAAGCATTTTGAGCGCAGGAACGCTCCAGGCATCAGTGCCACGTACAAACCAGTAACTTCCAGCTGCGCGTCTCGTGAGCGTCTGAATGTGTAGTTGCAATCCATGCGTACCTTCTTCGAGGTACGAGTAGTACGAGTCACCGCCGATCCAGTCGCTCTGGGAGACACTATAAGAGGTTAGTTGCTTCATACAGAGAGACGCTGGTGGTTGAACGAACAGATCGTAGAACTCGTGCATATGCCCCGCTAGGCCATTCGTCTGCACGATCAACTGTGGTACACATGATTGAGCTTATGAACGAATTCTCAACAATCTCGTTCAACCTGATCAAGAAGCCATCCTTGAGGCCGAACGCTCCCCAGTGGTAAGCTCAAGAACTTCATGGGCGCAACTGACCCCGCACAAGTCAGAACTATCCGCACGATCGGGTAGTAGAACGTCTCTCACGGCCTTTCGTCGTCAACGCTACATCCTCCGCATCCCCGAACAGCGTGAACACGGTCTGCGCGAGCTCGATAACGCCCGATGGAAGGCGCATGGCGGGCGAACAGTCGGGGTTCGCATGATACAGTTGCTCGGTCTTATATACCCACACGTGCCTGGCCGGCGAATAAAGCGAGAACCTGATATGGGTCCCGCACGGATATCCGTCATATCTCTAGTCTGATGCAGATGATTCGAGGGGTACGGAATAAGTAGCCTCTGCGCAATGGTCTAGCATGCCAGGAGATAGACACAATGTCCTGGCCAAGTCCTGGCTTGGTTACTCTTGCTCTGCCGCATGCGTTCACGGTCTTATCTTCGATTCACCTCAGGACCCCTTTTGAAAGGTATGCGACGCGTAGGGTGCACGCCTATAAACCAGTTTTAGTCATCAGTCCAGTCATAATATTCACTGTCACTCACCACCCAGTGTCTACCAAAGGCAAGCCCGAGTCCAACGTCTTCCCAGTCCCAACACCCTTACGTCCGGATGGCTTTCGCCCACATTATCCATGCATCCGGTACAAGTTGGCGGCGCGTTCTTGCATTCACGAGCTCGCTTAATCAAGCTCTGTTAGGGGAAGGTCACAAAGTAGATTTCAAAGCCGCTCAGCGTTGTGCGCGGTGGTCATGGAACGTCCAGAGCCCGCCCGTCGAGCGATTGGTGCTGATTGGTGACGCGACGGCCCGAGCTCAACACGATCACGTGCGTTATTCAGTACCCCTCTCGAGCTCGGGATGTTGGTTTCCTTCGCAGTCTTTGGGTACGCTGAATGTCTTGGTTCGTGTTCAAAAACGAATATTATAACGTATGGCAGCTCTCGCTGCAAGATCCGAAAGCAGCGGATATGCAACGGCAAAACTATCGTAGAAAGCGCAACTCAACAACCTCAGCAATCTCTCCAAGCACATCGAGAAGCTCCCTCCCGTCCTCCTGCTGAACTGTGGTCCCAACCGTAACAAAATCCAAACGCAGCCGCACAATCGGCTTGTGCTGCTCGATGGCTGTCTGACCTTCCTCCTCGGCGAGCGACGTCTCCTGTTTCACTCTCGCAGCCAACGCGAAGCAGTATACGGCTGCCTTATAAAACGTCCAATCAGAGATACTCTGCACAACCCAGAGTAGGTCCAATCGCGAAGCGGGAGTTGCGAACGCGGTGCGCGGGAATGAGAAGTCGTCCAGGGTTGACGGCCCAATCACGTCTTCGATGTGGAGCGGATCACGCACGCGAAGCTGGTGGATGTGTGGGAAAGAAAGGAGGGTCTCCTCAACGTTGTATATGGATTTCCAAAGAGGGGTGTCAAAGGCGAAGGATACTGGGGCTGGCCAGTCGCCTATAATGCGGAATATCGCCCGATGAAGATTGATTAGATTGTGAGATCCGATCGTGCCGCCGTCGTTGCCCACGCGGTAGGGCACGGGATGGGTACCGTCCATCGCGAGGGAATCCGTAATGAACTGAGAGAAGAGCGCTGGCAATGCATTGCTTTCGTGAGCATGCGCGGGTGTACCCAACGAGATGAGAGGAGGTGCAGACGAGGGCCTGAGAAGCGCATGCATGGTGATAGCTTGCGTTATTTCGCGCCAATCCACGTCGATAGGTTTAAGCATCAGCTTCAGCTCCACTGTATCCGGGATACAAAGCCTCTGAAGTAAGGCGTCAATGCATGCGTTCATGTCGCAGACACGTAGCGTCTGTAGGTGTGGCGTTGTGTACGACGACGGGCGTGCATCAAGAAAGTCGCCATGTACGCAAAAGGTGAACATGAGCTCTTCGATTGTAGCCGCTATCGAAGTCAGAGCGTCATGTAAGAGGAAAGCAGGAAGGCCGGGTCTGACGCCGTCGAAGGCAATGCAGAGATGTGTCAATCCCGAAGCGGTCCATGGTAGGAAGTAGTTTCTGTATAGCACTCGATGTAGGCAGGAAGACCGGATGATGGGCAGGTCGGGATGGCGAAACTTGGAATCCTTGATATGGCATGTATCAAAGACGAGGTATTTCACTGTAAGAACCTCCAGCCTTGATAGTTCGTCGATGATAGGAGGAGCGGCGTCGTGTTCACTATCTCCACCACACATGTCGATGATGGAGAGAGAACGTATGCGAGATCTGTATGCGGCCGCTTGGATTGAAGACCATGACTTGGCGGGCTCTTCAATGATGGTCCAGGGCTCACAGTAATCGTCCGGGGTAGTCCTGGCCGAGCCAAATCCAACGGTGATCGGTACATCATCTCCGGCGCGTCGAACCATCTCCTCCACCGCTCCGGCGGTCCGGAAACAGCCAATATGTCGTGCCCAGAGCAGCGGCATGTTTCCACAGATTGTTGCCCTCCAATCCCGGCAGACGTGCGTCAATCGTATCCATCCCAAGGTTCCTCCTTCTATTAGCGAAAGCCAGAACGCCTGCCGCTCCGCCCTTCTTCTGACGTTGTCGCGTTCGTATGTAGATACAGGGGATCGCGGCTGCTCCTGCTCGGCAACTATTTCCACAATCTTCGACAATAGCTCAGATGGAAGGTTGAGAATAAACGAGGATGTGGAGTGGGACGAGGGCTGTTCGGCGTGTGTTGTGTCGGTGGAGATGGTTCTCGGGCTCTGAGATGCGGCCATTTTCCAAAATCCTCCTGTTGCCACGCAGACGAGATGAGTGTCGGCCGGAGGTTCGGCGGGGAGATCAATGAGTGTAGTTGTGGGCGCGAAGGCAGCGCAGACGAAGGCTAGTAATACGTTGGCGGAGTGGTTGGAGTAGACCGGTGTGGAAGCGCGCTTGAAGTGGATGATGGCAGCAAGACGAAAAGGGCGTCGCGCGTCCCGGCTCGCGTTCTGCGCCCACACTGCGAGCACCCAACAATTTCCTCTGGAGAAAAGGCGCGGAAACTTTCGGCCAGATCTATAAACTTCCTTCCCATTTTGGCCAAATACAAGGGCTCAAGAAAAGTGTCACGCCCGACACCCTTTTCACCAAGGCAAACGACCCTTTCCTCGGTTTCCCCTTCAGCGGCCGTGACCGTCACGTACACTTTTCGGCAGCCCTTGTATTGGACCAAAAGGGGATGGAAACTTAAAGATCCTGCCGAATCTTTCCGCGGCTTTTCGCGAGGTGAAATGTTGCGATGTTTGCAGTGCCATGTACTTGCCCGCGCGGCATCCGCAGTCCTCTTCGTTTCGTAAAACGCGTCTGCTACATAGTCCTCATGATTTGGCGGGCTGCGGCTCATGCTACCGACCCATGTACGGATGGCATCGTTCATGTATTGGTCTACCCGACTCCGGGCTCCGACCGGGCCAAAAGTTACTTGAGTCGAATATACATGACTATGGAATCTTGAGCGCCAATTATCAAGCATCATATGTATAAGTTTGGCCGTGCGAGCTAACTGTCTTTTTGCCTACAGGAACCTCAGCTCTACCTTCTCTGCAACCATCCCGAACATCGCCATCAAATCCTCTTTAGGCTCCCACGCGCTCTGGACCTCGCCAGACTGTTGAACGATATCCAGGCGTAGCCGCACTATGTGGAATCGACCAATTAAGACGTCGGCTCTATAATTGTTGTTGACGAGCGAGATCGCGCTCGCCAGCGCTTCAGCTAAAGCACGGAGGACCAACTTGTACACATCTGGTGTCCACTCCCCGCTCTGTACTATCCAAAGTTTGTCAAGGCGAGGTATGAAAGGGCCGAAGATACCCTGAGGAAACAGGATGGTCTTCGTGGCCTGCGTGAGGAGGCTCTCTGGATCCATGGGGTCAGAGAGCCGGATGCAGCGAAGGTTCGAAAGTTTATTGATCAGACATTGGACAACGGTGAAGTGCTTCCAAAGAGGCAAGTTGAGCTCAAGGTCAACGATATTGTTCCAGATGTTCGAGATCGTATCTGCCGCCACATTTAGCATCTCTGTGACGCATTCATGGTACTTGTTGCGAAAGTGACGCTGGTTTTCGATGGCGAGGGAGAGATCGAAGCATGCAGTATGGGCAGACCATCCGGGAGAAGGGCCCTCTTGAGCCAAGGTCAGCCGAACGTAATCGCGCGATAGGTTCAGCCCCGCTGCACAAGATTCTTCAGTGACAGCCAAGAACTGGAGCGGACGATCTACGTCGTAGCGCAGTAAACGCAGAGCACTGCGTATAGCAGGTCCTGCCTGATCGGGCCACAAAGACGAAGACTTGAGGGTGAAATTGAGCTTAGTGACGGATGCATTGTAGAAGACTTGCATGAACGGGTTGACCCACTCATCTCTGTCGCGTATGTGCAGCTGGTGCAGTCTCGGAAAGGAAAACACAGGGCGGGGTTCCTTGAAGTAATTGATGGGTAAACAACTATCAATCTCGAGCACTTCGATAGTGCGCGCTATCAGGTGGAAGATGCTAATCAAAAGCCCACCCGGAAACTCATCTTCGTCAAGCACGAGAGAGAGGTGGGTGAGCTCGGTAGTCGCCCAAGGCAGGATGTAATTCGTAAAACGCGCTTCACGTAGATTGGGGGATGTGATCATGAGCGTATCGTCGATGAACCTATCTTCGTCGAGGTCTCTAGAGCGCAGATACAGGCAATGCACTTCTACCACGCGTAGCTGAGCGAATGTGCTGAAGATTGAAGGCGGGGGATCTCGACTGATCGAAGGATGGTGGGGGGACAGATTGATGACCCGAATAGATTGTATACGAGATCTGTAGATCTGGCAGTCGGCTGGCGACCCGAGATCGGAGACGAGGTCGTCCAGAAGCCACCACGACGAGTTGGTCATCCTGACGGATACGTCGTTGGGACCGCACGTGATAGACAACGGCACAACGTCCCCAGCTCGTCTCAGCATCACGTCCAGTGCGCCGCGTTGATAGAAGTATCCAATAAGTTGTGACCATAGGAGAGGCATGCTCTCGGAGATGTGTTCCCTCCACATGCGGCAAACGTGCGTCAATTTAATCCACCCTAGGGAGCCTCCCTGTACGACTGGCTCCCACAGACGCGCACGCAGGTACTCATCGAAGAACCCCGTTATGTTCTCCCTATCAAAGGGAGACACGGGGAAGCGAGGCGGATCGCACTCTGCGACGGCTTCTACGATTATGGACAGCAGTTCAGCGGGCAACGTGAGGATGCGCGGCGGATCGGTTTGCAGGGACTCCCGACCGCCGGTGGCCTGTTCGGCGGTCGGCATAGGTAATGACTCCACGTCAAACATCTAGATCGGAGGAGAATAGAACGTAGTTTCTCGGAGGTTGCAAGTTGGCGACTGCAGATGATGACGGTTCTGAGGAGAGACGATTCGACGCAGCTCGACGCGAGGCCGGGCTTGACGCGATCACATGTCTTATGCTCCAGCGCGCAGGCCGCAGGGCACGGCAGATCCTCGGAGGAAGCGCAGAGCTTTGTACCAATCTTTAGCCGGGCATAGACGCATACGCAATTAGAAAGTCGGGTTGCGGCAATCTAGTATCGTATATGGTTGCGTATGTAACGAACACGATGCTAGGGATAAAGTACAGGATGAACTCAAACCTCAAGCCTCAATGAACTCTAGCTCCACCCTCTCCGCAACCCCATCAAACATCGCGATGACGCTCTCCTTTAACTTCTCCCCCACTTCGCAGATCTCGCCAGAGTTAACCATATCCAGGCGCAGAAGGGCAAGAGGCGCCCTGCGTACTTGGCTCCAATCAGCAACGATTGAGGTCGCGGCCTTTAGTTCGCCAGCTAGAACGGAGCCATACGAAGTGATCACTCTGGGTGTCAACTTCCCGCTCTGTACGATCCTTAACTGTTCCAAGTGCGGATTGAGAGAGTGAATGCTGTCCCAGGGAAGGACTGTGTTCTCCGCGGACGAGAACTTCGCCAGGTTGCACAACTCGACGATGCGTACTCGGCATAAGTTTGGCAGCTTCTGGAGCACATGCGAATAGATGAGCCGGTGCTTCCATGAAGGCAGGTTGAGGTCACAACTGATGATATTGGACCAAAGGTCCGGCATGGCGTCTTCCAACGCGTTTCGAATCACGAGGAAACACTCGGAGTAGAATACGTGGATATCGCGAGGATTTTCGACAGCCATGATAGACAGATCAAACTCGGCCGCAAATGGGGAGGGCCGAGCCGAAATCGAGTCTCGAAAGAAGCTGAACCGGATGTGCTCTCTGAGCACGCCATCGTCACGCTGTTCACTGAATTCCGGGGTGACAGTCAAAGAGTCGCAAAGCTGACCTGAAGCATGGCGCAATAACCGTAGTGCGCCATTCATGCAAGGTCCAGCTATACTCTTCCAGTTACGTGTGGGTTTCAGCGTGAGATCGAGCTTCGCCAAGAGCGCATGGTGAAAGACTTGTAAGAAACCCGCAAGGCACCTATCCTGATCGCGGAGGCGTAGGTGGTGCAGTTTCGGGAATGAGAACGTCGGGCGAGGGTGGTCGAAATACTCCATTGGAAGACAATAATCGAGCTCCAACACTTCGATGGTCGGCGCGACCTCGCGCAGTATTTTGACGAGTATGTCACCAGAAAACTCACCACAGTCCAACGCAAGAGAGAGATGGGTAAGGTGTGCGGTCGTCCACGAAAAAAGGCAGTTTGTAAGGCGCACTTCGCGAAGAAGGGGCGAGGATATGACCAGCGGGCTAGTGATGAGATGGTCTGGTCCGAAAGTGCCACGACCATTGTGCAAGAAATGCATCTCAAAGACGCGTAATTGGGTAACTGCGTTGAAAATGGATGAGCGAGGATCGTGGTGCAGATCATTATGATCTCCTCGCAAGTCGACGACGTGGATAGAACGTATACGAGAGTCGACGGACGATCGCTTCGCTTCCGACAGAGTAACAGTGGCGAGGTGGCGATGGCGAAGAAGCTGCAACGGGTACAGTGCAGCGATAGATTTCCCATCTAGACCAGACGTCACTGATAACGGTGTGCTCTCTCCTGCCCGTCGGAGCATCTCGTCGAGCGCACCGTGGCGCGAGAAACAGCCAATATAATGGCCCCATAGCGTAGACATATTCTCGCAGATATGGGTCCTCCAGGCGTGGCAGACATGCGAAAGTCTAATCCACCCTAGCGTACCGCCCTGTACGAGAGGTTCCCACAAGCGCGCGCGCATGTATGGATCGAGTTCCGTTCGCACTGCCTCTCGGTCGTAAAAAGACACCGGAGAACGAGGTGGTTCGCACTGAGCAACGGCTTCTATGACCACTGACAGTAGTTCGAAGGGCAGGATGAAGATAGATGGTGAGGACATCTGGTTGTCGTGAGCGTGTTCAGCAGCTCCCACGTTCAAAGGCTTGGAAAGTTTGTCAATCATATCTGGCGCAAAGTGTTGATACAGTATGCGGGAGTAGTCTGAGTAACGAGGCTACGATTCGAAGGCGATGGTGGTACGGGGCAAGATGCGTCGACGCGAACAGCAGCAGATAACCGCAGCGTGCCTGACTTGTCGGTTTGGCTTATGCAGGGTTCCCAATGCGCAACCAAGTGCATCATCCGTTCCGCCATTATACCCCTCCGACACTCCTTTACTTTCGACCGCCACCACCACTCTCTAATAGCTTAACCTATACTCTATGCCACACAGTACTCAATGAGAACAATCAAACTGGTCGTCATTGGCAACTCGGGCGTCGGGAAGACTTCCCTCCGCGGGCAGGTGCGTCCGCAACCCTTTATGCTCGCAAGACCACGAATTCCTGACAGATTGTATAGTATGTATCTGGACGCTTCTCAGCAGGCTATCGCGCATCTATCGGCGCAGACTTTATCTCTAAAACACTGCCGCACCACTCGAACCCGGAGGAAAGCGTTACACTGCAGATCTGGGATACGGCCGGACAGGAGCGCTTCAGCTCCCTTTCTTCGGCTTTCTTTCGAGGAGCAGATGCGGCGCTGCTCATGTACGACGTCACGACTCCTGAATCTCTAAAGTCGCTCGAGCGCTGGTGGTCCGAGTTCCGCGACCGCGCGCCCGTCCCAGACGAGGAGCTGGAGAACTTCTGCGTCGTAGTGGTAGGGAACAAGACGGATCTCGTACCGGAGGGGGAGCCATCGCCCGTGAGCGAAACAGACGCCCAAAGTCTGATGAACATACTCGTACCGCCACCATCACCGCTGAGCAGCCCGCTCATGCCTGAGAGCGACGCCGAAGCCGAGCCGGTGCGCCCGCTGACGTTGTACGAGGACGCATATGATCATTACGCGGATCAATCACCAGAAGCGGACGGTGGCGCTCAAGGGGACGACGCGATTGCTATACACGTCCCGCCGGCGAGCGAGCCTATCTCTTTGGGAACTAAGCGCCCGAAGAGCCTCGCTAGCCGCCGGTCAAACTCGCTTGCGCATGGGACGATGAGCAGCGTGCGAACGGGGCTGTCGATGTACCATACGCCCTCATCTTCCGTGATGGATTCAGACGCGGATTACTTTCAGAGCGCACGGGCCACGCCGCTTGATATGCGCTCGCCCACTTCGTCATTGTCCCGCCCTGGATCGAGGAGTACGAGTCGAAACAGTCTGTTGCGGCACCGCTCCATCAGCATGTCCAGCACCGATACAGCTAGTACGAGTACTTCGGCCGCAAAGACGATCACACCCTCGCTTTTCACGCGCAAAGCCCAACGCTCCTCAACACCCGACACAGACGAGGCGCCAACACCACACGCGGTCTCACGCCATGTATCTTCCTCCTCCCATCCGGGATCCATTCCGCTTTCACCTACCGCCGCCTCCCGAAGACCTCAGCTAAGTCCACCGGATACTGGACCCCGCCACTTCCGCGCCTCAGCGAAGAGTGGTGAAGGCGTAGCGGCGGCATTCGAATATGTCGCAGAACGCGTCGTCAAACGGTGGGAATGGGCGGAGGCGGAGGATGCACGGACGTTCAGGCTCAGCGAATCGCGCGACGATACGTTGAGGCTCGAAGATGAGCGTGGACGGTCTCGCGGGAGGAAGCTCGCTGCTGCGTGTTGTGGGACGTAGACTGTATCGTCATTACAGTGTGATAGTGCAGACGTTGTTCACTTTGGTTTGCTACGGACGGTACTCTTCTATCTTTGAACTCGGATTTCTACTTGTAGCTCGACTCGCGTTGTTTGTCTTCCAGGGTACACCTATCCTTATATCTACATTTCGTACATTCGTGGATTACTATACATGAATTCAATAGCTCTTCCCGCCCTTCTCCTTCCCTTTGCTCGACGCCCTCTCCGTCTCGAGCTCGCTAGAACCCTCCTTCCACTCAATAACCTCAGCAAACTCCTCAAACAGGTCCTTCGGCTTCTGCCTCCCGCGCACGATCTCCCTGATATCCTCCTTGGTAAACTCAACGAGATACTCGACGCCCAAGCACTTCAACTTGAAAGGCGCCCCATCTCCCCGTGCGAAAGTGGCGCGTAGCTGCCGCGAAAGGATCAGAGCCCAGCTGAGGTACGAAAAGTCGTACAACCGCTCCCTCTGCACAATCCATACCCTCTCCAGCGGCATCGCCCCATGTCCACCCGTTGACTCCTCATCTATAGCTCTAAGCGCACTGAGATACGGCAAAGGCGTATCCGGCACCCTCGGCAAATTCCGCCTATCGAGCGGATCAACCACGCGGAGCGCCCGTAGGTTTATGAAAAGCTTCATACACTCCTCGATCTCTTTTGGACGCCAGTGAGGGATGTCGATCGACATTGTCGTGAAGCGTGCAGGGGAGAGGATGGATGCGACGAAGAGGAAGGCGGTGTCGAGGTCGCGCAGGCGGAAGGAAGACGCGTTGAGGATTGAGAATGTTAGACTCGGCGTCCTGTCCACGCTGAAAGGACTGCACTCAGGAGTAGTAGTTATTGTTGTTGGAGTCGGCTTCGGGTGTGAGGGAACGTCGTAGAGCGCGAGAGAGTCGGTGTACAGATCTACAACCAACTCGTCCTTCTTTGTCCCGGCCCTCAACACCAGCCCATTCAACGTCGGACCAAACTTGCCGCACAGCAGCGCAGCCTGAATATTGCGCTCGATCTCGGCCTTCTGGTTCTCAGACGCCCATTGTCCGTCTTCGATCTCGACGTAAAGCTCGACCGTGATGTGGGCGGAAGGTGGTGGGGAAGCGCGGAGGAGGAAGCCCGCGGCGTTGTCGTTGTCGTCTGCGACGTGCAGGGTGCGAAGGCGGGGGAAGGTGATCTTGGGTGGCGGCGGGGGCGGTTGCTGACCCTGAGCGGCAGTGACAGAAGCTTCAGGAGGGGGAGATAGTTGCGCTTGTGCTTCGGTTCCGAAGTCCCGGACGAAGACGTATAGAAGCTCGAGCTCTTCGATGGTATCCTTCAGATTATCCATGAACTGCATAAGCAGATCGCGTCTGGGCAACGGCCCATTATAGCAGTTCAACGAGAAGCTCGTCAATTTGCTCGACCTCCACCACACGAACCCGTTGACCAACTTCAACGTCCTCAAGTTCGGCGCCTCGACGAACTTCGTAGAGTCCCCAGCGAACCAAACGGGCTCATCCGCCGGGCCAAGGAAGTTAATGCTGAGTTCTTCCAGTCCGAATAGGACGATAGAGAACAGCTCGTCCAGGGGCATATGCCCGCCGAACGCCTCGCGCATGTCGACTATGTGCAGCGATCTGAGGCGATCGCGTATGGAACTTGGAGAGGGCTGTGGGCCAAGAGGCTTGAAAAGGTGCAGAGCGGCCGAATCGGTCCTATGAAACGGTGCAGCGGCGACCGTAACATCGAACGGACTCCAGCTCCCACTTCTCGCGAACATCTCGCTATCGCCCATCGGCAAGCGTCCCATATTCTCCGCCCACAGGCTCTTCCGCTCTAATATCACATCTCGCCATCGTCTACAGACGTGCGTGAGGCGTATGAAGCCTAGGGAGCCTCGTTCGAGGACGGGGCGCCAGATTGATTCGTTGGAGAGGCGGCCTGTGTGGTCGGGTTTGTGGGCGTTGTAGAAGACGCGGCGGTCGTGGTCGTAGACGCCGGGTCGTGGGGGGTCGTTTAGGGAGGCGAGGAGGAGGATGGTGTCGAGGATTTCGGGCGGGAGGAGGTGGAAGGGGAATATTTTGGGTGGGGAGGCGCTTGTCATGGAGAGGTGTCGGATAGAGGTAGATGCCAATGGTATCCGAAGCAATGTGGCGTTGTATGAGTAAGAGATGACGACGATAATCTATAGATAATGGGAAGGTTAAGTATACAGTCCCGCTAATGAACTGGACTGAGACCCACGTGGGTAAATCGACTGTCAGTCCAAGTTGAAGAACGCAGCCGGCGGCATCCCTAATAAAGTTGTCAAACGTCAGTGTTTGACGTCTAGAGATCTCCCAGAGGTGCTTTAGCAAGCGGGTAGTAGCGATCCGTCTGTTAGACATGAGAAGCGGCGCGCTCACTCGCTGACATACCACTCCCTGTCGACTCAGTAATCTAGTCACGCGAAGAGATGGAAAAGGCGACGAAAGCACCACAAAGCAATGGGATGATTAGAAGCAGTATAGTAATAGCATGAGTATTTTATCCAGCCATCCTCAGGTGCCAGGAACAACGAGTGAATGGGGTCTGAAGATCTGGGCCCGGGCATCACTACCGCGTGTACATAGGCGACGGGATGAGAGGACCCTGAGGACCGCCCATCCTCTGTATAGATTCCCGCGCAGCGTCGACGAGCGTGTCCGGTAAACCCATCGGGCGTTTGGGCTGTATCAGGTGTGGAAGCAGTCGTGTTTGGAAGACACGGTGTGCGATGGAACCGCCCTGTCGAGTTCGTGAGTTCGTGACATTACGAGTCGTGTGATAGGTTGGACGTACGAATTGGTGGTAGATTCCTCCCATTACTGCTTCGACGCCCATTCCTCCGACTTTGTACAGGCCGACCTGAGCTGCGTTGCTCGGCTCCTCGCCCTCCTTCACCTCGACTTGTGGCGAAGACCACCGCATACGGCTACTGATTCCCCATTTCGGCGCGACCAGCTCGCCGAGCGTATATGTATTCAGGACACGTGCACATGTGCGGTCGTGGTCGTAGCGTTCGCTGAGGTCTGGTGGTAAAGAGTGTAACCAGAAGAGTAGGTAGCTCTCGGTGATGCGTCGACCTATTTCAGTTGTCAGAACGCGTCAAACATATTATTGAAAGCAAGATCCTGACCGAGGAATGCGAGTCTGCCGTTGTGGCCGTTCACCGCGTCACGATGACTGACATGGGTGAGCATGCGCGCAGCAAGCTCAGGCGGAAATTGTAGCGGCTTGAACGTCTCGTTCAAATGCGTGGCCAGCCGTGCACCAGCCTCAGCCGGCGGCGTCGCGCGCTGATATTTCGTCGTAAAGCCCTCGTCCGCATACGGCCGTGTCCTCGTCTCCTCCTCGTGCACCTCCTCTACCACCGGTGCCCGCGCGAAAGCCGCGGCAGCATACCGCCTTCGTGCGCCAGCGAAAGCGGAAACAGAGCCGGAATTTGCCGGCGCGTTGAGGCGCCTTTTCAGGGTGCGAGACGCATGCTGGAGAGGGCGCAGACTGGACGACATGGAAGCGGGAGCCAAGCTGGACGTCGGCGTTCACGGCGAGCAGGTCGAGCGAGCTGGCAAACTCGGCCGTGCGAAAAGTGCGGCACGTGGCGATTATATTTCCCTGTTCCACGAGCAGCCCGCACTTGTTGTTCTTGTCTGCCACAGTAGTCATCTTCAATAGACTCGCTACAATGGAATGCTTTCCTTCGATCTGTGCGGAGGCCACGGATTCTCACCAAGACACTGTATGATCCTTTGGGTGACACGGTGCCTGCGTTGCAGCGCCCGTCGAAGCCGCGAACCCCGTTGTCCGGAAGGTTACCTACGGCTCTCGTACAAGTCAGCAAAGGCCCTGCAGCGCTAGGATGTCGTATAGCCGCAGAGGCTCCGTGCCCAGGCTTCTCGAGACAGTTGACTGCGGTCTTGGGCGTATCTGTATACCCATTATGGTGCTGGTGTACGCATTGTGTCCGTACAACGGAGGGGTCCCTGATTGCTCTTAGCCCCTCTAGGTGTGCGGGTTTCCTCAACGACATGGTGTCTCGTAGCTATGCACTCGATGAAGAGCAGACAAGCTTTCTGCATGGAACGCGTCAAAGAATACAGTCGTACTACCCGCGCTCGCCGCGTCGGTCCTTGGCACACCGGTGGACCGCCTCGTCGCAACACGGACTCTCCAACTCCCACAGATATTCCAGTCACGACAAATCTACTGATGAGCAAACTGATGCTACGGCGAATAGGCTCAATGGACTGTATACGATTCTCCAGCGTGTTTACAGGTCGTGTGAGGCGAAGAAGCCAGCGAATGATCGACCGGCGCAAACTTACTCTTTCGCTTCATCACGCCCTCATGACATCCCGCGTGCACGTTGCGGCGGCCCCCAGATGGGTCAGTCGCAACACCTCGCGCGGGTTCCTCCACAAGGCTAGCTGTCCAAGGCGGAGTTCTTGGAAGCCGCTCGGTGCACATGGAAGTGGACAGCTTTCCCCGTCAGCTCCCTCTCGGATCCTCGACGAGCGCCTGATAGCATCCCGACGCGCAAACCGACCGACGCCGACGGGCGCGCAAATAGCTATTGGTCGCCATCAGCTAGCTCTCCTAGGACGGCACCTGTACGTCGCGCGGTATATCGCGCATCATCGACTAGACCCAACAAGCGATGTTCTGAGAAGGGTGCTGTGGCGAAAGACTGATTGAAGTAATGGCAACGAATCACTACGATCTCTCTTCTCATAACGCTACTGCAGCGCATCCTTCGCGACCGACTCCGGTCGTCGCGGCTCCCGTCGCGCACATCTCTATGTAACCTGCGCTGGTGCATGTATTTCCCGAAAGATAGGGAGGCGCTGACCGGAATAGAAGTCGCTGCCTACAATGCCGGCCGGTACTTCAGAAGGGCGCAACATTCCCCACCCACGCCCGGCGCTAAGTTGCACATTGAACCCGCCCGAGCGCTCCACATGAATTGATGGCCCGCGTGGGCGGGTCGTATGCGCGCATTTTAATATAGCTGATAAACAGGAAGTCTACCTCGGCACGCGGTATATAAGAAGGCCACTGCTTCTTTGCGCGATTCCTGCAGCGTCCCCGCTCCCGTTACTCGCGTCGCCCCGACCGCTTGAGTCCTGCCATCGACGAACATGTCGCTGCACGAGGAGTCTCCCGAGTACGAGCTCAGGAATGAGAAGGACGCTTCCCCCGACTTTGATGTCGAGAAGGGCGAGGCGAAGGACCATGTAAGTGTCTGGCATTGTATGGAGCGCACTGTGGGATGGAGAGCTCATGTGCATCATTTTCGTTAGGTTCTTCCGATCGCCGACATCGACGAGGAGGACCCCAACTTTGACCCCAACGCGGTCCAGTTCGAGGATGACTCGCCTTACCCTGAAGTCCGCTCCGCCGTGTCCAACACGGACGATCCGGAGATGCCCGTCAACACTTTCCGTGCTTGGGTCGTCGGCATCATCTGGGCGATCCTCATCCCCGGCGTCAACCAATTCTTCTTCGTACGCTTCCAGGTCATTGATGCGACGTCTGGCAGCCTATTGACATGCAGTACAGTTCAGGTACCCGTCTGTGACCATCGGCCAGCTCGTGCCGTTGCTGCTCTCCTTCCCTGTCATGCGGCTCTGGGCCCGCTTTGTCCCCCGCGTCAAGATTTTCGGCGTCGCACTCAACCCCGGTACGGCGCCTAGATAAGCATACCCGACAGCGCCTAATACCATATGCAGGACCCTTCACGATCAAGGAGCACGTACTGATGAATGTCATGGTCAGTCTCCACACTCTAATTCTTAACTCCCTGATGCACCGCTCTGACGCGTTTTACACAGGCCACCGGTACGCACTTGTCTATTTCCGTTCTATGAAGCACATGTTTTCTGAGCGGGTATCGCTGTCTTAGTCGGATACCAGTCGGCATATGCGGCAAGTCTGCTGCGCTTTTGTGCGACGTATTGCGAGCCGCTGACCCGACATCTCGTCTTTCCCACAGACGGACATCGTCGCCGTCCAGAAGGTTTTCTACAACCAGAATCCTTCGTTCGGGTACCAATGGATGCTCGTCATGTCTACGCAGCTTATCGGTGCGTATTTCACCTGCGCTGTGCAGCTGACAGAAGTTAGTCGTTTGCTGAGTATTGCTTCTTTCGTGCGCAGGCTTCTCGCTCGGCGGTATTTGCAAGCGCTTCCTCGTCACGCCCCCGTCCATGATCTGGCCCGCCAATTTGGTCGCCGCTACGCTCTTCAACACGCTTCACGGCAGACAAACGGCAGGTTCGGAGGCTCGCGGCGGTATTTCGCGTGAACGCTTCTTCCTCGTGAGTATCCTTTTCCGCTCGGTGCCTTCAAACACAGCGCTTACCATACAACTCGTCATCTAGTATGTGTTTTGCATCTACATCTGCTGGAGTAAGCGCGGTGTATGCACTATCTAGGCGCGTGTCGTACTGACGCAGGGTCGCACAGACTTCGTCCCGACGTACCTGTTCACCGCCTTGTCGTACTTCCCGTGGATCACATGGATCGCGCCGAACAACAAGGTCGTCAACCAGCTGTTCGGCACGGAGAGCGGACTGTCTATGAGTCTGCTTACGTTCGACTGGGGCCAGATCACCTACAACCAGAGCCCGCTGCCCGTTCCGTGGTGGGCGCAGGCGAACATTGCGTTCACCATTGTGTTCTTCTACTGGTTCATCTGCCCGATCATCTACGTACGTGCCTCTATATGCGTCTCTTTTGCAATGAGTGCTGACGATTGGGACAGTACAAGAACGTATGGTTCGCGACGTACATGCCCATGATCAGCAACGGCTCCTTCGACAACACCCAGAACAAGTACAACGTCACGCGTATTCTCACGCCCGAAGGTACCTTCGACGAGACGGCGTACAAGGCCTACAGCCCGCTCTTCATCCCTGCGGCTTTTGCCATCTCCTACGGTCTCTCGTTTGCTTCGATGACTGCCATCGTTGTGCACATCTTCCTCTACTACCGCAAGCAGATCTGGGTTCAGGCTCGCCGCTCGCTTTCCGAACAGCCCGACATTCACGCCCGTCTCATGTCCGTGTACAAGGAGGTGCCGGAGTGGTGGTACGGTATCATCTTCGGTGGGTCCTTCGTCTTGTTTTATAGCTTGTTCGCGTGCTGACTTGCCAATCTAGTTGTGATGTTCGTCTTCGGTATCGTCGTTGTCGAGGTCTGGCATACGCAGATGCCCGTCTGGGCCTACGTCGTCGCTCTCCTGCTCGGTAGGCTTGAACCGTCACAATCATCGCTCGCCACCGCTGACGAGTTCCTTCAGCGATGTCCCTCACCGTGCCCATCGGTATCATCCAGGCCATCACCTCCAACCAGCTCGGCTTGAACGTCATCACCGAGCTGATCATCGGCTACATGGTCCCCGGACGTCCCATCGCCATGATGCAGTTCAAGACCTGGGGCTACATCACCATGGTGCAGGCTCTGCAGTTCGCGCAGGACCTCAAGCTCGGCCACTACATGAAGATCCCCCCGCGCCCCATGTTCTGGTGCCAAGTCGTCGCGACCGTCATCGGCGGTACCGTGCAACTCGGCGTCCAGTCGTGGCTGTTCTCGAACATCAAGGGCATCTGTACGACTGAGGCCGAGGGCGGCTTTATCTGCCCTAGCACGCAGGTGTTCGGCACGGCGTCGATCATCTGGGGTGTTATTGGTCCTCAGCGCCAGTTCTCCCAGGGCCAGATGTACTACGGTCTTACGTTCTTCTTCCTTGCTGGTGCTCTTGCTCCGATTGCGCAGTACATCCTGCACAAGAAGTTCAAGTGGAACTTCTTGAAGTACGTCAACTTCGTGAGTACACACGTCCTTGCCGTTGTTATGTGTCCGGGTGCTGACGATTTTGCGTAGCCCGTCATCTTCTCGGGAACCGGCAACCTCCCGCCCGCGACGCCGCTCAACTACATCCCCTCCTGCATCGTCGGCTTCATCTTCAACTACGTCATCCGTCGCCGCCACTTCGCCTGGTGGTCCAAGTACAACTACGTGCTCTCCGCCGGTCTCGACTCGGCCTACGCCATCGGCACGATCCTCATCTTCTTCTGTCTGCAGTACCCGCGCAACGGCTCGATCGGCGCGAACACTATCCAGACGTGGTGGGGCAACAAGGGGTGGACGGACAGCGTCGATGGGAATAAGACGCCGTTCAATGTTGTGGCTGATGGGGATATCTTTGGGCCTCCGGTGGGGAGCTGGTAGAGGGTTTGTTTTTGGGAGAACGTGGTTGTGTTGATGTTGTTCATTGTACTTTACTGTTCTTTTTTTTCTACTGCTACTGCTGCTGCTGCTCCTGTTGCTTGTACTGTAGGTGTAGATTGTACAACAAATTTTGTGCTCTTCATTGCGTGCCTGCGTCTTGGTCGTGTGATCGTTGAGTCCGAGCTTGGTTGCCCAAGTGAGATGTTCGAAGGGTGTAGACGTTCGCTATGCGCCGAGCCGTCGCCCAATAACTGCACACGTGTCTGCTTGGTCGAGCCGGAGCTCACTCATTGACAGTCATCTTTCGGTGTGGCAGGGGATAACCCGTGCAATGAGCCGCATGGACGCGTGCGGTTGGAGTAATGCACTGCCCTTTCGGCGCGCGTCGGGTAGAGTAGAGAGCAATACTCGCCACGACGGCGCACCAACCTGGGCGTTACAGGCTGCTCGGCCCCTCTCTACAGTACAAAGGCGCCGATGGCGCTAAGGCATGTGATCGCGTCGAGGCCGGCCCGAGCGGTCCGAATGCACTGGCGTGCAGTGGCGTTCTGGCAGTGGCAGTCGAGTGGCAGTGGAGGCTCGCTTCCGGCCACCATCATCTGTCTGCTCGCATACGCCCTCCCGTTTTCCTCAATCAACTTACAATCGCAAGCCTTGTGGTACGTAGACTTCCTCGCCCCGAGACTAGTGACATCCTCTTCTCACGTGCTGTATTTCCAAACCAGCTTGCACGCGAATCTCTAAGCGCCTCACACCCGGATGGAGCTCTCGAGGACAGATTTTGTCGGAGGATCCACCCCACAGCCGCCAGAAATCCGATCGCCCTTCATCTTCAGTCTTCCTCCGGAGCTACTTGGGGAAATAGTCGCTGCCGTCGCAGCGACTGAGGTCCCGCGAACGCCGTTAGCCGACGACGAGACATCGACTCTTGCTCAGAACGACTTACGCCGCCCACGCGCCATTTGGACTTCTATCTCACAAGGAGGCACGCTGGGCTGGCTACGCTTGACGCATGTCTGCCGTGGGTGGAGGCGTATTATCTGCGAGGGCATGCCTTTACTTTGGGCGCAGCATATTGGGTGTTTTCGGAATGCCGATGCTGTAGAAACGATGCTTCGGCGAGCAGGCGATGGCGTGCCTTTGTCTGTTCGATCCGGTCGTGGTGGAAACACGGCTCTCGATTTCCCCTGGATCACCGTACAGACGCCCGTGCCGTCTTGGTCGAAGCTTGAATGCACGATCTTCCGATCCCGCATCCGGTCACTTGTAGTGGTCGACACACGGAATGGCCCTGGAGACGAGGCCGAGTTCGAAAGCTTGGCCTCAATACTTCCCGAGCTTGTCGGTCTTCAGGAGCTCGAAGTGCATTGTGCCACTACAGATGACAACAGGCTTCGGAGCAAACTACCCCCCTGTCCCGATACGTGCATCATATCTTCCCGCACATTGCGCTCCTTGCGATTCACAAACCACTTTATCTCGTGGAATTCCCTCAGAATCACGCGCCTATCAATTGCCTTCGATTTCATAGGCCTTCCAGGCGACGTAATCCATGATGTCCTGAGATCATTGCCGTCGATAGAGGAGCTGGAACTCGATCGGGTGCTGCTTGGATACTCTTTACTGACTGGACTGGATCAAGAACGCGCTAAATACAACCTTCCAAGTCTGAATTATCTCTACATCCACGATCTTGACTGCTTCGTTCTTAGCCTTCTACGGCAAGTACAGCTGCCGGACAGGGCGAAAGTACACCTATCTTTCCTATGCACCGAATCATGGGGAAGCACTCCTCTTGAGTTGGCAATGCAGAGCGTCTTGTCCAGGATAGAACTGGTGCCAAGCCGGTCGATCGTTGTCGCAGCGTCCTTTGGCAAGGATGGCCGTGACGAGTCCGCGGTCGTCTGCAATTGGGCCCAGCTTTACTTTTTGGAAGGCGCCTCCCTTATCGCTGACGATGCAGTCGATCGCCCTTATCTCACCATTTCCGTCGAAGACTTGACCTATGCAAGGGATCCCTGGGGAAAACTGGCCAACGTGCGTGAAAACCTCGGCCATAACTTTCCCGATGTGTGGAAAGGCGTGCAGTCGCTGGACTTTGACGTACCATTCTGGCGTTGCCACTACGAGATTGGACAAATGCTATCCTGTGCTTCACATCTTCGCCAAGTACGCATTGTTGATCTCTTCGAGGGCGTGGAACGTGATCACGACCCTGCGAGCGACTGGCCCGGGAGCGCTCTCTTCCCAAGCAGCCTATTCAGGGACCCCGCGCCCTCCCTCGATCTCCTGTGGATCGTGCAAACCTCAGATTGGCGCGTCAACCACCTGCGCCAGTTCTGTACTGCCGTTGCCGAGAGTTTGGCCAACGCGATAGATGGCAGTCATCTGCACCATCGACACGAGGATAACACCGTCGCGAAACGGGCCGTTACATTACTTCGCTTGGACCTTATCCACCATTCTGGGACGCCTTGGAACCCGGACGAGGAAGAGTATGACTGGGCGGATACGTTCGATAAGTTGGCGGAAAGAGTCGAGATACGTACTGGTAGTGTAAACTAATAATACAAGTTGACTATAACGCGAATACACTCGATATATCGTATGACGCGTCGAGACCCACGTCAGCACATCGCCACCCCCCTCCGACCTGCAGTTTTGCGCAGCTATCCGCGCGTATGTTCATCATCGGGCGCAAGCGTTCCATTTGCGGGCAACAGCGCGCCAAAGTTGGTGTTCTTCGCGCTCCCGGGGGAGGAGGAGAACGGGATTCCTATATATTAGTCAGCGTGTACGCGCCTTTCGGCGCGAGGGTTGAGTAATGGAGAGCGACATTCGCCACGACAGCGCACCACTCTAGGCCTCACAGGCACTGAACCCCTGCCCTCCCTACCTTGGTTCGCGAGTATCAGGAGTCTGCTTGGAGACTAGTTGGACCCCTCTCCACGGTACAGAGGCGCCGATGGCGCTAAGGCATGTGATCGCGTCGAGGCCGGCCCGAGCGGTCCGAATGCACCGGCGCGCAGTGGCGTTCTGGCAGTGGCAGTCAAGTGGCAGTAGAGGCTCGCTTCCGGCCACCATCATCTGCCTGCTCGCATACGTCCTCCCGTCTTCTTCTACCCACTCATTGAAAGCCTTGTGGTACGCAGACTCTGTCAACCCGAGACTAGTGACATTCTTTTCTCACGTGCTATATTTTCCAATCAGCTTGCATCAGCACGCGAATCTTCAAACACCTCACACCCGGATGGAGCTTTCGAGGCCAGATCCTGTCGGAGGACTTCCCTCACAGCCACCAGAAATTCTACCGCCCTTCATCTTTGGTCTTCCTCCGGAGCTACTTGCGGAAATAGTAGCCGCCGTCGCAGCAATCGAGGTGCCGCGAGCACCAATAACGGACTATGAGAGATTTCATCTCGAGTCAAGTCAGCTACAATCCCGCGCCACGTTCAAGTCCATCTTTGGAGAAGGCACACTGGGCTGGGTTAGGTTGACGCATGTCTGCCGTGGTTGGAGGAGTTTAATCTGTGAAGGGATGCCTTTACTTTGGGCGCAGCATATCGGTTGTTTCGGGCGTGCCGATGCAGTAGAAACGATGCTGAGGCGAGCAGGGAATGAAGTGTCGTTGTCAGTTCGATCCGGTCATTGTGGAGCTGCCATTTCCGATTTTCCCTGGGAGACCGTAGAGATGCCCGTGCCGTCATGGTCAGCACTCGAATGCACGATCTTCCGATCCCGTATCCGGTCCCTCGTAGTGGTCGACACACGGAATGGCCTTGGCAACGGAACCGAGTTCGAAAGCTTGGCCTCGATACTTCACGAGCTTACCTGTCTGCAGGAGCTCGGAGTCCACTGCATTACTGTAGATGATGAAAGACTTCGAGATGATCTACCGCCGTGTCCCAATACTTGCATCATCTTCGCTCCTACATTGCGCTCCTTGCGATTTACCAATCACTTCATTTCATGGAACGCTAGTGGAGTCACTCGTCTTTCCATCGTCCTCGACGCTATCGGCCTTCCCTGGGACGTATTCCACGACGCCTTGACATCACTCTCATCTATCGAGGAGCTGGAACTCGACTATGCGCTTCCTGCGAACTTTTCACTATCCAGATCTGTTCAAGAATATACCACATATCCCCTTCCAAAGTTGGGTTACCTCTCCGTCCGCGATCTTGACGACTACGCCCTCGGTTTCCTGCAGCAATTACAACTCCCGGATAGTGCCAGACTTGACCTACGTCTTCTGTGCACCGACTCGTGGTATAGCGCTCGTTTTGAGCTGGCAGTGCAGAAAGTCCTAGCCAGGGCCCGATCGTTACCGAGCCGAACAATTGTCGTCGCGGCGACTTTCGGCGAGGACGAAAAGTCCGCGGTTATCTACAACTTCGCTCAGCTTCGGTTCTATGAGGGCGCCTCTCTCATTGCTGGCGGTACGGCGGATCTCCCGCATCTTGCCGTCGCCGTCGAAGACTTGGCCGAGTCCGAGAAGAACTCCTGGGAAGGACTGGCGGAAGTGCGCGTTACCCTCAATCGTCATTTTCCAGACGTGTGGCATAACGTGCAGTCTCTGGACTTCAGCGTGCCATTTTGGCGTTGCCGCTACGAGATCGGACAGATGCTATCTCGTGCTTCATCCCTTCGCCAATTGCGTGTGATTGATCTTTTCGAGGGCGTGGAACGTAATCACGACTTTGAGACCGACTGGCCTGGGAGCGTTCTCTTCCCGACCAGCCTATTCAGGGACCCCGCGCCCTCCCTCGATCTCCTGTGGATCATACAAACGTCAAATTGGCGCGTCAATCACCTGCGCCAGTTCTGTACTGCCGTTGCCCGAAGTTTGGCCGACGCGATAGATGCCAGTCGTCTGCACCATCGACACGAAGATGCCAACGTCGCGAAGCGGGCCATTACACTACTTCGCTTGGACTTCGTTCACCAGTATGACACTTCCTGGACCCCGGACGAGGAAGATTCTACGATTTTCTTCGAGAAGTTGGCGGAGAGTGTCGAAGTACATTTCTTGTAGTGCATATATCAAAGGATATGTAAAACCCGCTAACGTACGCCCCGACCATACTGTATAACAAAACATTTACGTTTGTACAATCGAAGGGCCTACACGGCTACATGATCGTGGTGGGCGAGATCTTGAGTCACGGAAGCTCGGCCCAAGCCTGCCCAAGCGCTTGCATTCAACCGCCATCTCTTCGCCCGTCGCCACGTCAAGGATCGTAACCGATGCCCAGGGGTGCCAATGATGTTGTACGCCATATCGGGGTATTTGGAACGGAAGATATGCTCATCGAGCACTTTTGACCGCCGACCAGTCGGACTTTCCCACTCTTCTCCGACCTACGGTTTTGCGCAGCCACGCGCGCGTATGTCCATCATCGGGCGCAAGCGTTCCATTTGCAGGGGATAGCGCGCCAAAGTTGGTGTTCTTCGCGCTGAGCTTCCAGGGCCATACGACGTAGCGCGTCGCTGTGCTGCCTTTGAGGGGAGGAAGAGCACCCGCGATGCGCACGCGATACCATCGGTTCTTGTAGAGTGCCCACGCGGGTTCGCCATCCTGTATATACGAGATCAGAGAACATCGGTAATAGAGCATAGGCAGGCACGGACGTCGAAGACATGCGCATTTGGTACTGGTAAGGCGCGCACTTGCTTGATGATGAGCTTGTCGAACATGGTACGATGGTTGGCCCAGCTGGGTATAGCGTGGTTGAGGAAGCTATGCGCGCGGGTATTGAGTGAGTTGAAGGGATGCAGTACGTTTTGTACTGTCATCCAGGACTCTATCAAATGGATCAGCGGTTCTGACGACACCGTCGAGGCGATTTCCGATGTCCAGCAATCCTCGAGGTTCATGATGTACATAGTTCAGCGCGGTATTGTCATCCGGCCTGTGTGAGCGAGGCAGGCACTCATATCCGTCTTACAAGGTTTAGCCGTCTCCGCAGGCTCACACACCATTAGACCATATACATGTAAAAGCATCATAGTATTCACAGTCAGGATACAGTCTTACAGCTTCGAGTTGGTCTTCGGAGGTTGAACCCACGGCGCAAGCGGCTCATACTTGACACTCTTCTTCTTCATCGCCGCATGAGCGGTAGCAGCCATATCCGGTGCCTGCTGCACACCCATATTCCACGTCGCCTGATACTCGAGCGCATCCTGTACACTGCGCTCCCTCGCGTTCGCGATGAAGCGCTTCGTGCCGAGCGTCGCAATCGGGCTATTCCGAGCAATCTGCGAGGCCATGTCTAGTGCCGCTTGCACAACCTCCGTGCGGCTTCCCGGCACTTCGCGGGAGATGAGGCCGAGAGTGAGGGCCTCTGCGGAGGAGAAGTTGCGTGAGGTAAGGGCGACTTCGTGCAGTAGGGAGGAGTTGCCGGTCAGCTTTGGTAGCCTAGCAAGAGTACCGATGTCTGCAGCGAGGCCAACAGCTGTTTCCTGTGCGTGTTCATGAGTCAAGGGGCCAGTTCAAGAGGTAAGTCAGGACTCGCCTTGATGCTGAATGATGCGTCCGAGGAGGCGATCCGGATATCACACGCGGCGATGATATCAATAGCAAGGCCAAGCGCGAGACCATGTACGGCGGCAATGATGGGGTAGGGGCAACGCTCGGCGGCACTGATCGCACTCTGGAACTCGAGTGTAACCTGTCGAATGAGCAGCCCACGGCGGCCTGGGTCTACCGCCTCTGGGAGACTTCGCAAGACCTGCACTGTAGGACAGAGTAAGTTCAAGTACGGATACACTTCGCGCTGAGGGAGCACTTGCAGTCAACTCCTGCGCAGAAGAGCTTGGGTAATGCAGACGACACCACTACAACGCGGACATCAGAGTCGAGGGAGATGCGGTCCAAAGCTGCGCCGTATTCGCGCCAAAACCTTTAACACAGTGAGTCAAGAGGCCTTGTGATACATGACCTACTCAGGAAGCGAACCGAGATGATGCGACTTACTCTGCGCTGAACGCGTTCACGGGCGGCCTACAAACGTGCCGGCAAGAGTTAGCCGGAGACCCAAGTTAATAGGCGGGGGTGCATACCGGTTGAACTCAAGATGGAGAACACCGGGCGCAGAGAAGCTGAGCTTGAGCAGCTTGAAGTCAGAAGCATATGCGGGAGACGAGGTCGGCATAGTGGTGGTTGAACGCAAGGTGCACAGCGCGCTTCGGCCATCAGAGACGCGACGTGCGGGGAAATTCACGTGCATCGTGTCGCGGGTGTAAATCCCACATATACAGGCTTCTCATCGCGATGTCCCATTCTGCCCTAGCTATAGGTGTATCAGACGTCCATAGTGCTTCAAGTAGTGGCAAGACTCGACTGGGCCTCACGGAAATGCGATACGACGCGCCAAACACGTAAACATTCCATCTCATGTGACCGCGTTCTATAATTTCTGGGAAGCCAGCAGCGCGTCCGGCGCGTTCGCGGGACGCGTCTTGCGCTCCTTGGACCCGACTATCACCAGAGCCCGTTCTTGTTGGGCTGTCTGTGCACCGCTTGAACTAATAAGGCTCAGCAAGACGTTGGACTAGTCTCGGCCAGAACATGCATCTGTTACAACGTGCCGTCCGATGCCAGCACCGTGCATGTGCATGTGGACCTATAGCCAGCACGTCTCGTCAGGCATCCAGTGCGTAACTTCATCTGGTTTCGTGGAGTTTTCAATGAGACTGATTTGCAAACATAGGCTATCAGAAACAGCGACCTCGTTCACGGCTGGATACAAGCCTTGAAGCGCAGGGCAATGCTAGCCGAGCTCCATTCGAACGAGAAAGCGTCCCACATGAAGGGCGCTACGCTGCGGGTGAAAGGCCCACCCACATAAACTTGCAGGAGCGTCTGGCACGTCGTCGTCAGCGGTTAGACCGCCGTGCAGACCGCGATGCACAGCGCTCGGAGCGACTTGACCTTCCACCGAGGGCGAGAGACGTACGCGACGATCAGGAGCCGGAGAGAGAAAGGGAGAAAGAGCAATTTATGATGGATGATGTAGCGTCAGCATTCGACTACGCGACGCCTGCGACTCCTATGCAAGGACTTCCTCAGACGTTCTCTTCGCCACCGTTGACACCTGGTTTACGTTCTTCTGTTCACGACTTTCTCGGGCACGAAGCACACCCGACGCCCATTCAACGTCTAGCCCTGGCCAACCTTGTTGGAAGGGAAACGCCTACACATGCGATGATCGCCGCGGAGACCGGATCGGGAAAGAGTCTTGCGTATCTGTTACCCATGCTTCAAGAGCTGAAGCGCACCGAACCCTCTGCGCGACAAGGGCATGGTCCACGTGGAATCGTGCTCTCTCCAACGCATGAGCTCGCGCGTCAATTGGCATTCTTCGGGAAGCAGCTCGTGCATCACGACAAGCTTCGCGTCCAGACAGCATCGCGCGCCAACGTGAAGTCTAACGCTACGGCGTCGAAGATGTCGGAAACATTCAGCGATGCCCAGAGTGGCGAGGGAGAGTTCTCCGTGGCACCTGGAGGAGCAGGAGCCCACGGCGTAGATGTCCTCGTGGGCACGACGCGCAAGTTGTTGGAGATGGCCCGTGGACGAGGATGGCATAAGGCTGACGAGGACTTGTTCGAAAAGAAGCGGCCTCGCAAACCAGCTCAGCCGGAGATCTCGTTGAAGGATGTAGAGTGGGTCGTCGTTGATGAGGCCGACGTTCTCTACAGTAAGCGCTATCCGCTATGCACTCAAGCTCCAGACGCTGACAAACCTGACCTCACAGACAAGGACTTCATTGAAGAGACTGAGGCTCTTTTATCCGACATCGCTCATGCGCGCGGCAGCCCTGTTCCTGCAGAGGGCCTCGCAGCATACCCATTCAACTTGATCCTCTCGTCCGCTACCATCCCAGTCGCCTTGAACACCCACTTGGCGACCCGTCTCCCGAACCTCCAGCGCCTCGTGTCGCCCTCAGTCCATCGCCTCCCGTCGAAGCTCGCCGTTGAGTTCAGCGCCTACACTTCCGGCAATCGCCACGCAGATGTCGAGCGCAAGATCAGAGAGCTCTGGGCAGACGACGCACATATGGGACGCGATCGCAGCCGGATCGTTGTCTTCGCCAATGGGCGCGGTACTGTCGAGATGCTTGGCAAATACCTGTCCGACAAGGGTGTTCCTAACGTCGCCGTCACCGGTGGCGCCGATGTGCGCTCTTTCGGCTCGAATAGGCATCTGAAGGGCTTCCTGTCTAGTCAACCGGCGCCCGCAACACCTGCAGCTGAGGAGCTGCCCGAGGGCATCCCTAAACCAGTGGACAACGACAAGTCACCGCGCGTACTCGTCTCGACCGCTCTCCTTGCACGCGGCATGGACTTCGCCCCCGATGTGCGCACTGTGTTCCTGCTGGACGCTCCGGCGACCGCGGCGGACTTCTTGCATCGCGCAGGTCGTACTGCGCGCGCTGGGCGACCGGGTCGGCTCGTCATCTTTGAGAGGGCGAAGGGGCGCGGAAGCGAGTATGGGAAGGTTGTGAGGAGGAGTTTGGCTGCGCTTGGGAGGACGAGGCAGAGTGTGAAGCAGTAGACGTACCCGGGGATGGGGCCGCGGTTGTCGGGAAAGGTGCCCATCACTACTCAGTTTGCTTCATGTTATGCGCATTATAATCATGTTTACATCAATTGCTGTGCACAGTGCTTTCATACGCCAATGATACTCAGTAATACAGACTACCGCTCATAGTACTCCTGCGTCGAGCTCTCACTTGCAACTGGACTGCGATCGCCTTCGCCGCGTCATGAGGGTCCAGTCAGCATTTGCGACCACAATCACTCCTGCGAACCACAACCACAGAGCGCTGCCGCCATATATATACAATCGATACCTTCTCTCAAGACAAAACCCTTCTCCTTCTTGCTCATCATACACGAAATACCGCATAGAATCATGTTTGGAAGCCTATTCACGAAGAGCTCTCCCGGCCTCTTCCCCAGCACACACTTGCTTCAGGTCACCTCTGCCCCTCCTCTCTTCTCTTCCAATCTCTGACCATGATACATAGAACGGAGATGCCGCCTGGGCCCTGCACGATAATCGCTGGTACCGCGTCCGCGTCACAGCCGCGTTCCCACCGACCAAACGCGGAGAGACGACGACGTACACCGTGTGGCACTGGAACTTGTTCAACAAGGATTTCGGAAGCTTGACGACTGAGAGCGGCGCGCTCGCTCTGGATGATGCCAATACGCGCTTGTGGTTGAGGGAATGTGTGGGGAAGGACGGTGTAGTCAAGACAGACTGGCCGGCGATGGGGCATTGATCGATGTGTGGTGTCTGGCAGTGGGCGCTGCCCTTATGATGGGGACGTTCGCTTGATATTTAACTCGAAAGAGTTGCTGTACTTTGCAAACATGGGCCTAACATGTCTTTCAACGCCATGCGGTACCATCTCTGGCGTTCCTTCGATGATCTCTAGAAGCAAATGGTCAAAAGCAGGAGACAGTTTGGGCCCAGCGCCAACTCCATTCGCTAATATTGATGTCAAAGCATGACATAAAGCGAAGAACGAATGTGCGAAAGTCTGATCGCAGTGTTGAAGGATGTGTAGACGATTCAAGGGTTTGTGCGATAATGGGATCAACAGCCTCGCAGGCAGAAGATGAGACCGTCCATCCGTGGACGAGCCGCCCACGGGGTCCACCAGCCGCAACCGGCGAAGTTGGGATAGAGACCGGATGTAGTGAACGACGACGTCGATCTCGCCTATATGCCAGTCTCTAAGCGACATATCAAGATCTAGGTCTGTCACATTCTCCCATGGTGATCCAGTGGATCCACCCAATGTGTGAAGGAGGAGTGTCAGAACGCGGTCACGTCGGGCAGGTCTCACGATGCGATGCTCAACAGTTATGCCAAGGCAATAGTCATCGAGGGGCCGCACGGGCGAAGTCGATCCATCGTGCCTAGAGACCCTGACTTGTAAACCGTTCTGTGCGTCGAGAGGATGTTGCGACGCATCCACGATAGTTATAGTCTGGGTGCGGATGGGCCCCCACTGCAATCGGCCAAGTACATCAAGAGCCAGCGATCTCACTTGGTCATCCCAGGTAGAGCTACGGCCACCATCGATCGTGAGGTTGACCTTCGCCGTGTCAGGGTAATGGATGTGCGGAAAGAAAGCAACCAGAATCCCGCTGAGCTCACGGATGTGCAGACACCGCAATCTTGGGAAGGTATGCTCAATCGGGCCACTGTCCACAAGTTCGATTGATATAGCCATATCCAGTTCCAACTCCTCGATAGTATCCTCTACCTGAGATAGAGTATCATGTAGAGTGGCGGGCGAGAGGCCGCCATCAGCAACACAGAATGCGATGCAGAGAACGGTGAGTGACCGCGACGTCCATGGGATAAAGTAGTTCGTGAATCGTGCTGCGCGCAGTCTATCTGATTGTATGATACAGCCTTCCGGTAAGACGATGCTAGTGCGGCCGCGGTTCATATTGACGGAGTCTATATCGAGGAAGTGGACATCGACGGCCTCTAAGCTTGATAGTTGTCGGCTTCTTAAGCTCAAAGATATGGGGGTGACGCTGGCAGCACGCCTGACGTCGATGTAGCGCAGCGTGCGTATACGACCACTTGAGTGAAAAAGGCTATTGACCAGTACGCGCTCCAGGGGTATACGGAAGGAGGTGATCGACTTGTTGTAGCCAAGCCGGACATCCAACATCGCGCTATCACCTGCTCGTCGGAGCATCTCCTTGCATCCATCAGGCAGGCAGCCGATGTCCTGAGCCCATAACAAAGGCATGGTCTCGCATATTCTATTGCGCCAGTCGCGACATACGTGGGTCATTCTGATCCATCCCAGTGAACCGCCATGCACGGCTAAAGCCCACGGAGGGTACGCTTCCGAGTCTTTGTTTGCCCGTACCAAAGCGTCTTTAGAGGTGGGGGGATATGGTCTGTCGAGCTGTGCTATGATCTCCATCATAGAGCGGAATATATCGTCTGGGATCCCGAGGATGGGAGTTATAGGTTGCTGGGCGCTTATAGAGCTCATGGTGGTTGGGATGTGAGCCGTTGCATCATGATCCTTGCCGTCTGAGAAGACGGACGGGCTACGCGGCCCGATGTGCCGATATCTTATCACAACCTCGCGGGGACGATCAAATAGTTGACGTTCAACTTCGGTCTTGGAAGCCTTGACATGTAAGAACTTGCCATGCCTCCCATAGATTCCATCTTCTCTAACTACAGTCTCTCCGTTTGTATACGATCAAACACTATATCGGTACGGTAAGCTTCAGGCCAGTGGGAGAGTCGTTATCTCGGAAGTTCGACGCGTCGTCCCGACGGCGTTCAATATGACTACACCGGCTCCGCATGGCTCTCAGGCAACTCTCAGGGCGACCTTGAAGGTGTTCAACGACGACCACCATGGTCAAGCCCGTGCTCGCTCTTCTAAGCGTCGTTGGTGTAGCGCTCGGCTCGTCCCCGTCGCAGTGGACGACCGGTGACGCGTGGAGTGCGTACGACGCGCCGGCCGACGGCTTCTCAGCGGTCGGCGCGCTTAGCGCGGTTCAGACAAGCGCGTTCACGTCGTTCTCGCATCCTCTCTTCCCCAAATACAGTGCGCGCATCAAGCAGACTGAGTGGTGCGATAGTACCGTGAAGTGAGGAGTTCGCGTCATGCCATTGAAGCCAGCTGTGGCACAGAGCTAACGTAATTTATAGTGCGTATACGGGTTACATCGACATTGAGGCTCGGCATCTCTTCTTCTACTTCTTTGAGAGCAGGAGCAAGCCCTCTGAAGACCCTGTAGTCCTGTGGACCAATGGCGGTGTGTCCCGCGACTCCAGTCTCCCTTACTCATTACTGAGCATGACCGTACAGGTCCGGGATGCTCTTCTTCACTCGGTCTTCTCATGGAGCTCGGCCCCTGCCGCGTCACCAACGCTACGGGCAAGCCCGAATTCTTCGCGGAGGGGTGGAACGACCAAGCCAACGTCTTCTTCATCGACCAACCCATCAACGTCGGATACAGCTACTCTCAGTTCGGCGAGACGGTTTACACTACTGAGGAGGCAGCGATCGATGTGGCGAAGTTCGTATTCTTGTTCTTCGAGAACTTCCCGCAGTTCAAAGGGCGCGCGTTCCACATGGCTGGTGAATCCTACGGCGTAAGTGACTTCTGTATTCATCACGGCTAGATCTGCTCACTAATGCCTCTGTGCAGGGTCGCTACATCCCCTTGTTTGCAGCAGCTGTCTACGACCAGAACGCACTACTTGAAGCCAACGGATACGACACTATCAATCTTGCGTCCGCTATCATTGGTATGGACTTCTTTACGCCACCAGCTTTCTTTCACTCACGCCGCGATAGGCAACGGCATGACCGACCCGGCTAGCATGGTCGAGTCGTACTACGACATGACGTGTACAGCGGCTTCTGTCTTCCCTGTTCTGCCTATCAGGTATGTATACTATTCCCAAGCGGAAGCTCCTTTGCTGACATATCTTCAGTACCTGTGTGCGGATGAAGAAGGCGGTAAGATAGCGCACGCGTCTGCCATTCCACGGTCTGACTTCTCTTCGCATAGCTCCCGCGATGCCACAAGTGGGTCAAAGAAGCCTGCATCGACCAGTTCGACTCCATGAACTGTGAAGCTGCGAGCGCCTTCTGCTCCTCAGAGATCACGGCGCCGTACTTCGCGACTGGTCTGAACTACTATGATATCAGCCAGCCTTGCGAGGATAGGGCCAACCTTTGCTACTCTGTCACAGCGTACGCTATCTCATTCCATAGTATGGATGTGTTGACGAATAGCTCTCCATAGTGAGATCTCCGGCTACCTCTCCCGCCCCGATGTCCGTGAGATGCTGGGTGTCGATAGCCACGTCCCGCCGGTGTTCTCCTCCTGCAACAACGACATCAACGCGGGTTTCCATGCAGCAGATGATAGCTTACGCGCATCAACGGCACAAGTTGGAGCTCTCCTCGAGCGTGGCGTGCGAGTGCTGATCTACGTCGGCACATACGGTGCGTACAAGTCGTTTGTAGCTCGTTCATTCCCCTGTAACTGACGATCTTGGGCAGACTGGATCTGTAACTGGGTCGGCAATGAAAGATGGACGAGAGCTCTGGAGTGGTCTGGGCAGCAGGCGTTCAATGCTGAGCCTATGCGCAACTGGACCGTCGGCGAGGAGAAAGCTGGCATCACGCGTTCGGCGAAGGGCTTCACCTTCGCTACTGTGGACGCTGCTGGACATATGGTGCGTTCTATGTGTTGTTTGCAGTCCAGTCGGCTCAGCTGATCTTGAACGCGTGTGCAGGTCCCGTATGATAAGCCCAAGCAGGCGCTGGCCATGGTCAACCGCTGGCTCAATGCTACATCGCTCTGATCTCTATCTATATTGTATAGTAACAGTGTCTGCGTCAGGATCGGTCGCAATCTAGTACACTGATGTTCACGAAGAGACGCGCGTCCTAGGCCGCGTAAGCCTATCAAGGTACATATATCCAAGCGGGCTGTGATCATCGTCCTCCGTGTTAGGGCTCTATCCGTGACCACCATGATAACCAAGCTCGTACTTGCTCTTTCCACCTTCAGCCTCGCAGGCGCTTCTCAATGGCCCCCTATCTTCGACGGCCTTCTTCCCTTCGCCAATGAGTCGGTGATCCTCGACACTGACGACTACGCTCATATCCCCCATCCATTCCTCCCTGACCATGGTGCACGCATCAAGCGCGTTGACTGGTGCGACCACACTGTGAAGTTCGTAGCGTCCGTGATCGTGCGCGTACTAAGGGCTGACTCGAAGAAGCACATACACGGGCTACTTTGACCTCGGCGCAAGGCACCTGTTCTTTTACTTCTTTGAGAGTCGTTGCAATCTCGATACAGACGACGTCGTGTTGTTCACGCACGGCGGACCGGGTTGCTCGTCGTCCTTGGGGCTGCTGTTCGAGCATGGTAAGCGCCGCCCACTAAGCCGCCTTGATGATAGGCGCCCATTTCCCACACAGGACCGTGCCGCGTTACCGACGCTGCAGCTGGACCGGAGCCCTTCGCGTACTCGTGGAACAACGCGGCAAACGTACTCTTTCTTGACCAGCCCGTACATACCGGGTTCTCGTACGCCGAAGATGGTGAAGAGGCGAACACGACGGAAGAGGCCGCTGTAGATGTGGCGAAAGCTGTGTTCTTGTTCTTTGGCGCGTATATGCTCTTGTGGACGAAAGAGTATGCGCTGAAGGAACTGCAGAGAGCTTTCCGCAGTACAAGAACAGAGCCTTTCATATAGCCGGTATATCTTATGGAGTATGCCTTCCTTCGCTTGATCCAGTATCTAGATCTATGATGCTCAAATGAGTTTCGCAGGGACGCTACGTACCCATTTTCGCATCCGCGATACATGACCAGAACCCAGCCCTCATCTCGCGCGAACAAACACCGATCAATCTCAACTCTATCATCCTTGGTACTTTTCATCGCTTAGGGTGCGTTCGGCAAAAATGAACGATGACGAAAATCATGATATTTTGCCCAAACAAGGCAATTCTGACGAAACTTGAAGTCCTTCGAGAGCTTTCTGGCCAATCAGGAGGCTTAGTCAGGCCAAAAGTCATAGATTTCGAAGGCCTTCGTTTTTGCCGAACGCACCCTTACTGACATCGTGAGCGGGCGGCTAAGCATGGGATAGGCAACGGCAATACGGATATGAATGCGCTCAGACAAGGCTCCTACGAATTGGTTTGCACGTCAAAAGCAAGTACTGAGCTCGTAATCCCAATAATGTACGTACGATCATCGCGTATCTGAGGAGTCTCTTAGCTGGCGAACTGACTTGACTCGTTCAGGGACTGTGTACCCATGAAACAGGAGGTACGCCGATGGAGTCGTAAACCATCGAGAACCTTGCAAACTTCGTTCGTCACCCTTATAGGTGAAGGAATGCAGGAGACAGATGACGGAGTTTTGTGAAGACCGCTTCGACCTGGAGCCCTGCAAGGCTGCATTCGACCGCTGTGACCAAGCAGTTATGGGTCCCCTCCTGAAGACTGGTATGGAATGGTGTTGTGGCCCGCGCGAGAGTCCGGCTCATGCTGCGCAGGTCTGACAGCTAACGAAGAAACGATAGACCACGACGCGCATGGGGTCCGTACAAGAAAA